TCATTGGTGATGCATTACCTGCTACCTCCCCTTCTCAAGGTAAGGAGCGTTAGGCACAGATTGTTTCAACCAATGCAAACACAATGACAGTTTAAAGGTTAATAGTCACATTTTCATTAACAGGTTTCCAGTTTGCTAAACTCATTTTAATTAATGACCAGCATCTCACTTTTCCTACTTAGTCTGAAAATATCACATAAAAGACTAAGACGTTCTAGCCTCCATGTCTTGTCAGAGTTTTGCATAAACAACGATGTTGAAAGTTAGACTTGGTTCACTTCAACCTTCAAAACACTGTTTGCACAGCATTAGCAGAATAGCCTGTTTTTATGCCTTTTAAACAAAATCTGGCTCAGATGATTTGCTTTTGCAGCCATATCAGTGGATACAAAAAAAACAATCTTCACTATTTTAATTATCACAAAAAGTAATTTAGAAAGCACCAAACCAACAATAATTTCACAAAGGGTTGACTTAAAAAGCTTAAAGTGATTGAAAAACTGATAATCAGACCATCAAGTTACAACAACTGAAGTTATAAAACTATCAAGCTCATTCCAGTTATAAATTAGCATTTGATAACTATGAACATAAACTCAAAATAAACAGTTGAACCACATACTGTAATTAAAGATGAACAAAACCGTAATTAGGTTCTGATAGTTATTGAAACAATCTGTACAAAATTACTGAATATTTTTTTAAAAAAATCCCCTTTTAATGTAAGAACCTATTTTTCAAAGTGTTAACCTTTCATTTTCACTTATATTTAAACTGAAGAAAAGCAACAAACAATAAGATGTTGGGAATGTAAGCAATAACAATTTTAAACACTCCATAAAGTCTTAAGATTAAGTTTAAAGAATTAATAAATTAGTGAAACAAAAATTTTCATAAAAAAACTCTTTGGCACAAGACTGAGAATCCCCAAGTCTCTGAATTTCAGCAAATTTAAGACTATGACACAGTTATATAAACATGTACTTTATGCTACAATAGCTTTCTATCACAAACAAAACAGCATTTTAACATATTTTATAACTCTTAACTCTGCCTCTCCTAATCCCCAATCCTAACCCTGAATATGCTTTTCTGGGTAAAAATAGACATTGTTGCATTTCATCTACACCACAGGGAACCCTGAGAGTCTTAGTGCAAATCCTAAATAGGTTTAAATAAGCTGTGAAAAATATTGCAGGCCAGATACATTTGCATATATGACTCCAGATTATACTTGCAAACATGATCATAGCAAGGCACTATTGGTGCAATAAATGTCTCAAAAACATGAATACAGTTAAATTCTATAATTCTAACTACATTTTTTTTTTTATCATTTTTTACTTATTTATCAAATATTTATGTAGCCTTAAATTGCACTGCTTACACTAAAGACATTTGTAAATCCATGCATTCAAAATCACGTAAAAGGAATTTTATTCTATTGAAAGAGCATTTCCTTTAAAAAAAAAATATCTCAATTTTTAATGAGAAGAGCGTTAGTTCTTTTAAAGACAAAGGAAATCCAGATCAATACAGAAGTACGGTTACTGCAGCAAAACAGCTAAATGTCTTTCCTCCTCCTTCTTACTGTTTTGGGCTTTTTGTCACACTGGCCATGAAGACTTATCACCTGAGCTGAGGGAGAGGTCACCCAGCACAACACACTGTGACATTTTTGGCCACAACACTTCAAATATGCTCCTCCTAGTGAGAGTTCACACCTTTATTTCCCTCTTCAGAAAGAGCTTCTGCTCTGGACTCAGAGAAGAACATTCTCATACACACTTACGTCCTGTACGCTGTAGAGGGAGTAGAGCCAAAAGGAAAGGAGAAAGCAGATAAATGCACCCGCGGTTTCAGACAGACTTAAAACATTTTTGCTCATTTGGGAGCATGCAGTGCATCATAAAAATATTCACATTTTACTTTTTTTCATATTTTTTTAAGGTACAGCATTATTCCAAAGTGTATCAAATTAATCTCTTCCCTTTGACATTCCCAATTATGACAAAATAAAATAAGAGCAGAGCAAAGCAAAGTTTTTTGCAATGTTTTCATAGACAGATATTTTCCAAGCTACAGGTTGTTGGAGGACAAACTTACTCCTATTACTTCTTCTGTTGTGACCATTTTTATAAGGTGATCCAACATTTTAGTGTTTGCGCCTCCAATTTTCTGGAGGCACAATTGACTGAGCTCTTACTGCCATTAACTGTTTAACTTTGTTTCTCACCTGCATATAAAACATCTGGAGCATACAAACAATAGACTTCAAACAAAGTAACAAAGCACATTGAGCTTTAATTCTCATCTCTAATCATTACATTATATATTTGGGTAAAGTGGCTTTGTTGGGAAAACAACTGGTCCAGTATGCTTCAAAAGTGACAGAGAAAAAAGAAACGGAAAAAGAACTGCCACAGATTTGTAATCTTGTAGAACCCAAGCAGTCGTAGTGAGACAAAAAAAGAACATTTATGGTAAGTCCAAACTGTAATTATGTGAGCCTTTTGGATCAGGCTCTACTGGACTCGCTGCACTTCTGCTCTCTCCGTTTTCTGTTTGCCATCATGCTGCTTTGGCTTGGCGTAACAAGAACAAACACAGTTACCATCCTAAACATAGGATAGATGTTTAAAAAACATCTGCCCTATTAACTGGGTTTGGCACTAGTTATGTTATATTTGCATATTAAAATGTTAAACATCAATGAAACGATGAACAGAACCAATTGTTCTCAGTTATTTTTTGTCACTTCAAAGAGTCCTGAGTGAAGTCTTAGTGTTCTTGCATTTTATTCAACATGTAGTGTACAGATGAACAAAGGATGATTAATAGAAACCACAAAAACAAAACTTTACTAGGCTGACTTGTCTTCCCCCCCAAAAAAGATAAAATCCACAGAATTTGGATCTGTTTTTAACTTCAATAAGGATAAACATATACAAAGAAATGGCATTCTACTTTAACAATAGAAACTAAACTCACAAAGCTTTTATTACTTTGGTAATTGTTTGAATATGGAGAATCCATCAAAATATAAAAACACGTTTATATATTTGGTTCTCCAGTAGACACCTCAATAAAAAATTAGGAGTTAACTAATCTTATCACAAGTCATATCTCGTTTGACTCAAACACTGGTTCATTCACATTCCATCTCACTAAATGCATATTTGTCTAAAACCTCAGACAGGATTAAATAACTCTGCACATCAGAGTCAACTATAGCGTGTAATTTAAAATAAGAGCAGAGCAAAGTTCTGATGGGCTTGTTAAGTTTCCACCATCTGGCTAAGAAAAGCATTTCTTTCATTCTGAAGTATAGCTTTATCAAGAAGGCAGCCAAATTGCGGCAACATGAAAGCAGCTAAATGTTGACACTGATAAGGATGCAACAGTAACCAGATTTAGATGTAGACAAACAAACTGGGATCAACTCATCCTGACGCTTTTTGAAGCAGAAGCTGTAATTTAGGTCTGAAACTGTGGTCAAACATTTGCCAAAAGTTTCAGTCTGCACATTCAACACCACTCCTCCATTGCAAAACACACACAAAACACACACAATGCGTTTCCAAATGCTGCAAAGGAACACCTGTTTTAGATCAACAATACAATATGAGGCAACTATTCTGCTGCATAGTTTTGTACAAAATATTTTTATTGAATATGAGTGAAAATATAATTATGTACAAAGTTAGAAACATAAATTAGATTTACACAAATGACAAAAATAAAAACCATCCCAATGATAAGCAACTAACAAAGAGACAAAAAAAAAAAACAACCTATATTTAATCAAATCAAGAGACAAAACCTCTGACTGCATTGTTATAATAGGTAATATCTATTTGGAAGACTGTCTCAAATATAAATATAGCAATGTTTACAGTAATTGCTTTAGCTGACACCTTCTTTTTAGCTCATAACGATTCATAAAAATCCTTTAAAACTATTTTATTGCATATAATGTCACACAACTATTTTTAGGACAATTTAACCTTCAATGTGAGTACATTTATTTAGTTGGTTCAAAGTAAAACTGGCAGTGAACTAAAGACTCAAGTCTTACCATAAAAAAATAAATAAATAAAATTTTTAAAAAATCACAAAAAAGGTTCAAATCAGTCACATTCATAAGGGTATGAGTGCCTTTAAAAAAAATATATATATATATATTAATCGGATTTTTTTCTATTTAAATAATGCTGCTGCAATAAGTGACAAAAGTATTTTAAATTATTTTTACACACCTTTATCAGGGGTACAGATAAATGTCGAGACCAAAAAATGAAATAATTTTGAAAAACTTCAGTAAATAGTGTAAGACTTCATGCAGTTAGAAAACAAACATGTCTTACCTCATTTTCCCATTTTCTTGTTACTGCTCCCTGTGGTGCAGCTGCTCGCCTTTGCAGGCACTTCTGACAATCTCTCTCAAAACCATAAATGGCTTGTTTATTCTCTACTCTTAATTTGGTTTCTAATAGCTTCCTTCTTTGCGTTATTTCATTGAGTTCAATTTTCTCTGGAACGAGATGCATTGACTGCGCATGAGCAGAGCCATTGAATTACGCACACCGTGTTTAAATATGTGAGAATCATAATTAAAACTCTATTAAATGATGTACAAAAGTTTAAAAATCAGGAAGCCTTTCTGTTTTTACTTCCCTATTTTCATTGAATCTACTCTGTCTTCTGGCAAAGTTTTATCTTTACAAAATGCATACGAATCATTTCTCAGAGGTTATTTCTAAAAGAGGGACACTTCAGGAAATTCAAAAAAAATCTCTCTGCTGTCCTTCTGGTAACAGAACACATTTTAAGGTTTATGCCTCTAGACTGTATTTCAAAGGAATAAAACGTCCACTTTTCTCATTTTGAATCAGAAATCCAGACAATTTGAATCTTAAAGCAGATGGAAGCATCAATCTTTTTTCCATCTCAGTGTCACTTCACTCAGTCTGCCTTCCATTCCCCACTGAGCATCTTACCTTCTGAGATCTCGTTGTTTTCTCGTGTGACATCACTCTTTTTAGTCCCCTGGGTTTGAGCTGTTACAGAGCCTGATTGCTGAGCTGGAAGGAAGAATAAAGAATGAAAATGAAATTACATTTTTGTTAACGAACAGAAAAAAGATCAAATAAAATAGGGGACAAGATAAAAAGTTCTTGGCTAGACTAAATTCATTCAACTAAAGTTTTTTAAAATAAAAAAAATCAATATTTTTCTGAAATTAGTACAAAACATGAAAATGTAACATATTTGAAATCGTCTAATAGATATGGCATTAATTTATGTTGTCATGTCACATCAAGAGGATAAAACTGGAACACAATGCAATCCAATCTATTTGACATGCCTCAATACTTTGCAGGTCAATTAATTCTGGGCATGCCTCCACTACTTTACATATTCAAAGATAGACAATATTTTTCTTCGCAAAATAATTCAAGTAAATTAGCTGGCTAGCATCTGAGAACATTAATTTGTGAACAGACATTCTTAGTTACTTTTCGCTAAGTCATTTCAATTGCAATAAATGATTTGATATATCATTGGAGCACTGGCTCTATCATTATTCTGTTTTTCTACTGGAAGATCAACCATCATCTCATCAGCTGGAACCAGCTCTCCTGTTCCTGCTGCAGTTAGGTATCCCCACAGCATGACACTATCACTACCATGTTTAACCATGTGAATGGTCTGTTATGCTGAAACACTTTAAACACATTTACTACTTTAACCATGACATCTGTTTGTTGAGTTTCTCGGCTAGCTGTTCATGTTTGTTTTGTAACAAACCTCTGAGGGAGCTGAACAGCTGAGATCATATTGCACAAAAGATGACACATTTTTTTATACATGTCGATTGCATTGGATACACTGGATTTCTTTCGAGCAATAAGAGTAAGGAGAGCTGAATGCAAATGTGTGATAAACTTTTCATATTTTATATCTACAAATAATTTATCTATTTACTTATCATTTCCAATTGTGTGCCACTTTGTATTGGTTTAGGACGCAGAATACAAATTCATGACATTTTACACACATAAGTATGTAAGGTCAAAAAATGTGCAGTTATGCAATGCTCTTTCTGATCTGCCAATGAAATTATTTTCAGTGCTTAATTAAAGCTCTATGAACACAACCCTTTACACCTGTGCATTTATGCATGCAACAGACACATTATAAGCTCAATATGTTCTGATTTAGAACAGCAAGTAAATACTAGCAAGTCTGTGAATGTCAGTGTCTGAAACAAAGGAAACACTTGGCCTATTTCTGTGTATTCCCCCAAACCAGCATGCCACAGTAAACTCAGGCATGCTGTTGTTGTGCTTATACAACCATAAACTGGCAAAAATAGGAAACGAATATTCCTGAAGGAGATTACTTCCCTTAGTACCAAAAAATAAATCATAAAAAATTGCTAAATCAATACATTTGCCAAAATTGTAGCTCTGTAAAACACTTCAAATAACTAATTGACATTGGAATTAAAACGTACAAAATTTTTAAGCAAAGCAGATAAAAGAATATTAAAGAAGAAATCCCTCCTAGCACCATCAGATAACACAGAAACACTCTAATGAACATTTCTGGAACCTACATAAGTCTAATTATGTTTTCAGGTAGATAAATGTTGCTAAATGACCTAAGCTATTAGCTGTATCTAACTGATTGACAGAAAATACGGTCCCTACAAAACAGCTCGCAGTTGGAATAAAGAAAAGGATTCCAATCTTCCTTCAAAGAATTGGTGCAGAAGGTGAGAAAAGATTCTAGTGGCTTCTTGTCAAATGTCCAAACAAAATGTGAATATTGTTAAAGGAAAACAAGCAGATAGACCATAAAAGTTTCTTAAAAGATAGAAAACTGAGAGCACTCAATTTCTAAAATAAAAAATCATGCAGAAATAGATACAATCAACAAGATTTGTTTCTGCTTTAATACAACTATCCACTCAAACTAAACCAAAATTATATCAATGAAAACAATGTCAATACATTATCGATGTGTTATTTATTTCATTAATTTGTTTCTTGCACTTTGAAAAAACAAAAACAGCTATATTCATATAATTTGCATATTTCATTAATCTTATTTCTTACTATTCTCTTTAAACCTATTTATTATAGATGCTTAATTTTAACAGGGTTTTTGCCACATTGAACTTGGAGGATAACCTGAGGCAGATACAGAAGTCTCCTGAGTTACTGTATCTCGTTTCTGGCTGAGGAATCCCTTGCTATGTAGATCAAGGGCCAAACTGGAGGTCTGGGTTTCCCTACTGAAGCAGTTCACACTGCAATCCAACATCAGAAAATTAGGAGTGAGGGACAAATGATCAGACAGTGTGTGCCTCAAACTGTCCAATGAAATGCCATCCATACATAGAAGGATAATTTGCTCTCAAGCGAAACAGTACCAAGTGAAACTCTGACAGAGTACTTGACATTCTTTTAAGCACCAGGGAGAGAAAGTGAACTCTGATGCAGCTTAAAGTGGGGAAACAAAGGCTGCTTAACATCCACCTGAGAGGAGCAAAGATACAAAGAACTGAGCAAAGAAAAAATTGTGCTGTATTTTCAATGACAAGCCCCTACTGTGTGCCCCTGTCTCAGTTTCTACAGTTTCAAACTGTTAGGCTTACAGCTCCTACTGCCACACCTTACTCAGACAGCAGGTACTCAGCTAGTCACATTTGATGCAGGGCTCCTGCCGCTAAGCTAACTCGCAGCAAGTGCAATTGGTTGTTTTATGTCGCATTTTAACTTGGTCAATTATTTTCGTCAAAATGTATATTTGCATAAACTTAAGCAGGTCATGTCAGCTTTTAATCGGGTGATTAAAGGCCACATTATTTTAAGTATTATTTACCTTTTTGATTATGTTTACTCATCAGGGAAATGTGACCAAAATCTGATTTTTTCTTTTGCACATATCCAACTTTTCCACAGCAGTCCGAAAAGCCAAATTCCAATTTTTTCACCCCCTAAAAATGTCCAAATTCTGCCACTTCTATATGTAGCAGTAAGTCGGATACATATCTGATTGTTTTGAAGCCATCTGCAGTCTGAACATGTTGTATTTGTATTTTATCCACCGTTTCTGTCACTGATGTGAGTTGCACATCATAATGTGTAAAACCAGACATAAACAAAGGCTGAAAATTAGAACAATGAAATTATGAAAAATCTGTAGGTGGGGTACATCACAACCCAATTCCTCCATCCTGGCCCAACTACGCATTCAGACAAACTTCTGTGCAGAACTTCCAGTGAATGGTCCACAAAAAGCTGTTTCTATTACCTGCGTTTTCTTTTTATTAGCTTCCCTCATGTCATAATTTTGTGATGATCGTGTCAGCTTGGAATAGCTTTAAAATTGATCCAAAAATAGTCATAAACAGTGTACTGTGGATGTGTCGTTTTGAGGTTGAAGGTTAAATTGTTCACACAAGACTCTGATTGTGGTTGCATTTAATACATAATGATGAAAAGCAGCCAGAATATTCTGAATTGATCATCTAGACTTGCTTTGTGAACTTAGCCTTAGAAGTATCTGAGTTTGTTGAAGATTCCTACCTTCATGTTTTCCTTGAAGAGGTTTGCTCTCCTTCCCACCATTCACAGCACTAATCTTAAAGTTGTAATCTTTTGAGGGGTCATAATCTTTAATGACCAGCTTTGTTTCCTGCTTTGCTAGTTCAAGCACCTTCTGTTGTCCACCTGTGTCCAGGGAAGAAATGCATAATTAGAGAACAATATCTTCAAAGACCACTACCAAAAGCACATTAATATAAGGTTTCTTTAAAGTCTAGTTCAAAAGTATTTATAGACCTTATGTGTTGATATTGCAACACATATCTCAGAAAGCTTTATGGGGATTCCAACAATTAGTAGTCCATGAAAGGAACACAGAAAGTTAAAGAAGTTTAATGTGCATGAGTGACCGGCGTGACAGAACAGAGCGACTTGCTCCTGTAACTGCACATGTGCTTCAGTCATAAGTCACCAGTTTTGAAACAAAAACAAACCAGAAAGACCAAGACACACACAAGATAGGTTAGGAGTAAAGTTGATAAAGAAGGGATGGGTTATAAAACAACATCTCAAGCTCTGAGTATCTTAAACACTTTATCTAAAAATGGTAAGAATAGGATGTGGTCCTCCTTTCTGACAGGCTGCGAAGAAAAACAACCTTCAGAAAAACAGTCAAGAAGCTGATAGTAGCTCTGGAGGAGCTAAGAATCCACAGTGAATGTATGGCGAGTTTTTTAAAAACTTTCTTTAGAACTCATCCTCTCCTCCTTCTTTGTGAAACTACACATTACTTTCATAGACTGAAAAAAAATCATCAATATTCAACAAGACCTCTTAACATCCTTATCTCTTCAGGCTGCACTGACAGCCTGAACAGTTAAGGACTCATATTAGTGAGTCATAGTCTCACTCATCTGAGAATCAGACATCCTGCATTGCAAACCTGTTTATAGCAGTTGAAATGAAAGATATCCAAATTAATACATTTACATGCAAATAAAGGTGGTGACACTGAATGGTAATCTAAATATTTCTTCTAAGAGAAATGTTTCCATGTTCTGTATCTTGGTGAAAAAAACTTTCATTTAAACTACTTAAGTTTATAATTACATCATTCATTGTTCTTGCACAACTTCAAAAAATGACAGGATCAAATGAACAACACGCTTCTGCTTCAGAAACATGTGTTTTTGTGTCAACACCTTGAAATATTTTGGACAAATTACTGAGATGAAACACATTATGCATTTCCATGCTATTAAGGTCTTAGTTTCTGAATAAATTACTGTGTGCTGTCAATGTGACTGCATCTTTACACACTTCACAGAACCACAGTTATCTCCATGTAAGTATATAGATACAAATCAGAACCAACATTCTCAACATCTGCTTTTCTAAAATAAAGACCTAAAGAAAGAAAACTAAATCTTCCAATCTAATAAACTAAATGCGGCAGAAAACACATTACACCTATCTAGACAGCATACAGTATCATGTATGCTTGCATTACATTTTTTGTAACATAAATAAAAATACAGCACATTGTTTTTATCTCTAAAAAAGACAAATTTAGTAAGTAGGAAAGACATGGATTAAAAACTGAATCAGCTATAATTGCCAGGATTATGTACATAAACAAGGAAGTTGTATGTGCTCACAGTGAACACACATTAAACTGTGGAGGTCATTAAAAAAACTGAAGAACACTGTGTACATTTATTTATATGTACATTCTTGTTTAACTGCAGCTGATTACTCTGACTGTGAAGTGTTCATTATGATCATCACAGACACACCTTTGGGGGAAAAAATGCCTCTGTGGCAGCTAGTTTTTACAAATATCTGAACGTTTACCTGAAAGTAAAAGTTAGACAGTTTATATATGGGATGTGTGGGGTCTGCAGAAATGTTAGCTGGCCTTTTCCTGTCCCTAGAACTGTGCAAGCGATAGATGGAGCCAAGCCAATGAATGAGAAAATCTGAGTTTTTAAATGTGTGAATTTAACTTTGAACTTGTCCAAGTAAAGGGTTGACTTGCATAACATTGTAAACAACCCCTAATCAGCTGTCTGTCTGCAGTTTTGTTTGTCTACATACTCAGAGTGGCAAGATTAAAGCTGAAGAAACTACGGTGTGGGTTTTAAACAGATTGTGTAATCCTGTCATGTCACTCTGAGGCAGGACCCTAGAACTAATCTGTTTCATAAATGGTTACATTCATTTACCAATTACTTTTGATAAATGTATGTGGTTCACAAGACCTTAGTTGGCCAATCTGTTTGATTAAAATATGCTACTCTAATTGGAGATGTTTCTCAAGTAACCATGAAACAAAATCTACAAACTCTCTTCATACTCTTTTACATTCCTAAATAATTTGAAACCATCATCTAGTAAAGAAAAAAATATTTCTCTCCAGTAAGTTTATTTGAGAGAGGTCTGATCTTTGACATTTTGAAGTCCTGTGGAATCACAAAACTAAGGAGTGCAATGTTTGGTTTTATTAATGCCTAAGGGAATGACAGCTTACACTGGCAGCAAACAGTACAATAGATAGCAATATGAACAAACAGAGAAATGCATCAACCAATACCCAAAGACAAAGTAAGCAATAAGAACTGCAAATACAGATCAAGTAAAAGAAATATGTATTATACTTCTAAGCCTGCAAAATTGCTATTGCTGCTTTCGAAGCTGCAAGTCAGCAAACTGACTATAGCAAATGCTCCTTCTTCCTGACTTAATGAGATGATGTCTAAAACATATTAACTGAAAAGTTCAGGAGGAACAAAGCTGATTAGTTAAGTTTATGATGAAAGAAAAGTGCCTATTGTTCCTCAGCTTTCCATGTGATTAAATTCAGTTTGTCATTTGGCCTACTGCTTGATTCAGTTGCCATATGACTAAATGTTCCAGGTGGGGTCGATAGATCTTCTCGAACTGACAGCTTTCAAAGCCAATTTTTCCATAAATCTAATTTCCAGCTGCTGCTCCAGTAAAATGACTGACAGCAGAAACCAACTTGCTTCAGCATTTTTTGAAAAAAACATTCTATGCTTAAACTTTAAAAAGGTTAAAAATAAGTTTTCTTCAAACTGGAACATTTTAATAAAATGATAATAACTTTAGCCTGACATTCTGGAGGTAAAAAATATAAAACTTTGACATTAAAATGCACAAACCTGCTTCCATTGCAAAATAACATTATACATATTAATTCAGACCCTTCCCTGTTGTTTGCCATGATTATTATTGCAATGCTAATAAAAACATACTCTGCAAAGACTTATTATTAGCTATTTAGTAGGAATAATATTTCCATGCATGTCATTTATTCTGGTTGCAAAAAAATGCAGAGTCTATGAAGGCTGGAAGACAGGAAGGCTGGGAATAGAAATAAGTTGCTTGCTATGGAATAAAAGCAGCCACTTAAAAATCTCAGAGTTAAGTCTGGTTCACACAGGAAGATGATTATTCAGATTTTCTTCCCAATTTTCCCTTTTGAACAATCTTAAGGACACATTGATTGTTGTGATGACTCCACAGGTAATCTTATGAGATACTCCTGCTGTGTGTGGTGTGTTGTGTTAAAAGGAATCTGGGCTACTTGGAAGGATGTTGGGACTGCTACACTCTCATATTTGGAACAATCAATAAGTTGGATCGTCTTGGTCTGATATCGCCACACGTGTTGTATTCCCACAGGACGAACGACATGGCAGCCTGTTGAATGTGACGTGTAACCAATAAGAAAGCAAAGCGATGTAAACATAGAGAGGAGTACAAAACACACAATACAAAACAACTGCATAAAACAGTGTGCACATGGCGAGAGCTTTTTAGTAACACCAACATCACTAATATGTGAACTTATTACATTCTGAGATCTATCTAGATTATAAACTGGTTTCTCATTTTATCCTTCTTTTAGTATAATTGTAAAAACAAATTTCCAATAACTTTTTATTTGTCTACCTGTAATATAAACAATGACATAATCGTCATAATTAATAATGACACCAATACAACATCTAAAAATGTTTTTTAAATTTGTTGTATATTATGGGTGTAATGAGAGATTTGAATCAGCTGAAATCAATTCTGGCAGGTGAATATTTTACAAAACACAGACATTGGAAATTGTCTGCCAAATTCTGAGTGATGCATCTTTATACTCAAGGGCTATTAAAAACAAAAGCAAAAAAATGCATGCAAAGTCACAGTGGTTGAAGGTTTTTTTAAACAAACACTGAAGCAAGGCTTCAATTTAACAACCAGAAAGAATGTTCAAAGGCTAAACATGAAAAAACAACACAGAAATAAAACGTGTTTTGGTTTTAAGGTCCATTTTTTTCCTCTTTTTGTTTCATTCATCTTCATTTTGACTCAATGTTTCTACAGCTCTGAGCTTCTTCTCCCCCTCCGTCGCCATCATTTTACACGCCGGTGTCGCTCCTGCTGTCCCCCTGCAGTCTCTGGGGACAGCTGCCTGGGCTTACTGCACCCAACCTGGCAGTTTCTCCATCGATGTCATCAAGCAGACGGGCCAAGCAATACCAGAAGCTACAGGTTTACTCTGCCGCAGGCAAAACTAATAACACAGAGCATGACATGCACCCTAAAAAAGCAGGTCACATCAAACTGCCTCCAGTACCTCATAAACATTGGTTAAATGTCATTTAGCAAGTTGTACCTTAACCACAGGATATTTGTTGACATATTTTGGCATAATTCTGCTAGAATATTATGTTAGTTAATTTCTTGGCACCGATCTAGTGCACAATTATTTTTTATAGCATTCAGGTCAGAACTTGAAGTTTCTACCACATGAACCACACTGATGAAATTAAACTGGTTTGGAGCACCATGTCAGCCAAAATCTGGAAACTGATGGAAGTAATACTGCAGGTAGTCAATTTGGTTTTCCATTACCACATAACATGGGGGTCTTGACCAAGGAAAAGAACATTGGTATAAAACTGACAACTTCAAGCATTACTGAAATCTCCAGCTCCCCACAGTGACAAACCAAATATCTCCTACAGAAATGTTTCCTTGTTGATGCCAAGCTTGAGCCATTTAGAAGAACAAAAAATAAAAGTCAGGCTTCACAACCAAGGAAATATAGAACTGTAAAATATTGTGCAAGTAGCATTTATTCTACATCCAATTATTAAATCACTCAGTTTGCATAAGCAATTTTTACAAAGGTTTTGTTTTGCACATTCTCCCTTGAAATGTTCAATTTAACACACTTAAGACATAAACTCCCACTAGACTGCCTCTAACTGGTACGGTCTGGGTCTGCCCCGACCAGATTCATTTTCCAGTAGCAAATCCTGTGCGACTCTACCAGGTTGTTCTCTGCTCTTGGTATGTGGTCAACTTTCTGATGGGGCTGCAGTTTTGCGACGGTGTGAAATATCGAAGCTACATAATATTAGCTTATGATGTAAATTTTTCTGTGATTTTCCTTTGGATTTAATAAATAAATAAATAGATAAAGTTCAGGCATAGCATATTTTTGCTATATTCATTGCCTAAATCCAAAAGGCAATGAATACTTAAAAAAATAAAGTTAAAGAACATAATTATATTTATTTGTATAGGGAAATAAACTCATCTGAGTCTGTAATATGACATTTGGGCCAGCAATCAGCTTCTATAAAACAAAGTTAAATATCTGGGATTGGGTCCGTTAAAATTATGACCTCAAGCTTCTCCATTGCTGAATGTTGCTTGCAGACATCATCAGAGAGTTGACCACAGCTGCTGCACGCTGCCCACAATAGCAAGGAACAGAGTGTATAATGGAAAAGCTCACTACCTGGGGTAAAACTGAACCGCACATTAACCGGTTAGTGTGTGACTTGCCAGTGGAAAAGCGCCTTCTGTGTGTTCAGTCTTGTTCAAAGCAGTCTAGAAACTGTTTTTATTAGCATCACTTGACAAGCATGAAGCAGAAGCGCAGACACAACACATCACTCATCTCCACACTTCACCAAGAAATCAAGAAGGTTTGGCACTGGCAGCGAGAAAAAAAATAACGAAGTCGGTGACACAAATAAAGGAAACATGCATCAAAAAAAGGCTATTTTTTAAAAGGTTCAATATTTAATCACATGTGCCTCCCTCTTCACTTTCTACTGCTAATAGTAAGCCAAATGAATATTGCATATATGTTTTTTAGGGTACAACTTAGGTTTGCTTGCATGGCAAACATGTGGGAAAGGATGAGACCAGACTAAACCTGCTGGCCTATGTGTGAATATTAGTAAGGGGGAAAACTAACATCGCACATTACCATGAGAGCACCATCTCTACAGCAAAACATGGTAATAGTAGTATCATGTAGTGATGTTCGTCTGCAGAAACTATAAAGCCAATCAGAAAATTTGAAATCCCTGTGCCATTTTCCTTATAACTTTACAGTTAGCGGCTTTGTGTTGGTTTGTAAGAGAATTTTAAAAAAATATTTAGATACTATTAACCCTTGTTAAATGCACTGTATTTCACTTAACTACTTATCAACTTGTATCAACTGATAAAAAAAGTATAGAAGTGGACTGAGGGCTGTAATATTTGTCCTTGTGACTGACCTGAAAAGTCTGCTTCTACCAGAAACTTGTCTTTTAAAAAACATACTGCATAAAATACATCTCCCAACATTTAGATCTTAATGCAAATTCTTACAAAATGGGCCAATTTAGGCTCTTGGCTCATGAATAATGAGAATAAAAAAAGATGAGACATAATAAGACAGCTGTAGAGCTTGACAAGCAGACAAGTCAAGCCTTCCAATGTGAATCAGGAAAACATTTAAAACATACAGAGCATAGATTTCCATTGAATGTTGTTAGTGATCCTTAAAAATTGTTAAATCGAATGAGTATGCCTAATCAATAAATGTTACAACAGAACATTTGCATATTTTGGTCTTGCACAGTCAATTTAAAAACAAATGTTTTTGATTATCTATCAAGGTTCACAAAGGTCATCTTATGTTTTTCTCTTTTGACTATCATGATAATACATTTTCAAATCCGCAATCTTGTTTCAAAGGTAACAGCTGTTTCAATACAAACAATTCCTGACAGCTTTATGAAATATTGTTAATTTCTGGTTAACATAAACAACCACAGTCTAATTGAACAATATTTTGATGTACAAAATATTGCACTGTTAAGATGGTAAACAAAAGGCTTAAAAGTTACATTAGCGCATTTTCACTGAAGTCAGTCACAGGTGTTTACTGTGTGCGTAACCAGAGTACCTATTATATCCCACCCTGTCTGCGGTTATGTGTAACTTTTTTCTGCATGATGAGCTATGAACTCAAACATAAGCGAAAATGAAATGAAAATGTTGATTAGTTCTCCCTCAGGGAAAGAAGTTTTACTGTTGCACTCCTATTTGCAGAACAACATTTCCAAACATCAGGAAAAGAAGCATTTTCATAGGAAGAGCATAAACTATTTACATTTTTAGTCCTTCATTAAATGAACGGTCCTTGTATAACTTGCATGTATTGGACTTTTTACATTTATTTTTGGATATTTTTTATGCAGAAATTACAATGGAGGGGCCCTTAAGCTAAGCATTAGCCAATCAAGCTGTCACAGTGAAATCATTGCTGAGCTACTGGGCATGAAGCAAAGTTAACAGTGTGAACAACAGGGCAGGATTGGACAAGAAAATAATATTCTTGAAAAATTCTTTGTCATATTTCTTTGAACTGATCAAGTTGAAACTGGAAGGTTTTTCAATGGAGAAAAACTGTTGCTGAGTTTGCTGGGTTTGTGCAGTTCTCTTTCACTGGCACACAATATTTCTCTTAAAAATGAATCGAAGAAACTTAGATAAATAAAATACATATTATTTTAGGTCAATTTAAGGTTAGGTTTATTATCTTTGAAGTACTTTTTTACAAGTACATGCTTGTGAACATATTTTGCCAACTAATGAAGACAATAACAATGAAAACATACACATTTTTCAAAATGAAAACAACATTGAACTTCAAAGCTCAACCTTACCTGGACGTGTGATGTAAATAACCTTGTATCCTTCAAAATCTCCTTTCGGCTCCTTCCATGATACCTCAAGCTTGTCCTGTCCCAGGACTTTTGCACGAAATCTCCGTGGTGATGAAACTGTTACAGACAATGGAAAAGAAACCATATTAACAGGTCTGAACAGTCTGACACATCTTGTAAGAATATGCATCAAATGCAAATTACAATAAAACATTCTCATGCATCAGAGAATGCATGGTACTTTCCAATATTTCGGCTAATACTGGAAAACTTCAGTTGTCATTAATGCCTGAACCTTCACACTGGGAGGAGTCCAACTTTTCTGCTCACAAGTTCTCAAAAATCACCAAAACTCATTCTGAGATCTTAAACAGTGTTTTGCAAAAGTTTTCTCATAAATTGAAATTTAATTTTTCAAGTTCTGCATAATTGGGAAGAGGAATGAAGTGATAAATCTTTTAGTATTTTGGACTTTTTCTCTACCAGATTTGCATATGTAGAGAGTAAATGTACAATTGTAGAGATCTTTGCACATTTTTCTTTGCAAAATAGTACAGTCTAAGTTTGGATGGAGAGAGAATGTCTGTGAACTTAAAGGTTGTTGTTCTACTGGAAAGTCAATTTTCACCCCTTTCCCAAGACTCTGACAGCCTCTAATTGATTTTCTTTTAGTGCTGCCCTCAATCTGAAAAGCAACAATGGGTGTGAATACTTTTGCATGGCACTGCCAGACATTAGAATGGATGTGTTACAGAATGTGCTCTCCATTAACTTTCACTCACGCACAGTGACACCAAGAACAAACCACAACTGTGAAAGAGGTAAATGAAATTGAACTCCCTCCAGAGTTCTGGTGCCATTGAGACAGTCACTCTGTTTTTAACTGTCAAGATACAGGGGGAAAAAAAACAGGATATACTGTATCTCATCCATGTGGAGGATACACATCAGAGAGATTAGATAGAACAGATGTCACATTAAAAAGCCCCAAAGTCCCATTCTCCTCCTCTTCCTCGTCTTCCTGAATTGTGCTCGTCTCTGTGGGTATGACAGGTCTTGGTCGTGCTCATCTTACCGTCTAAATCAAAGCATCGTTCCTGCCTCTCATCCTGATTAGTTGCTGGCCCTTTCAGCTGTCTGGAGGCCTCTATCCCCCACTTTTCACCCAAACCCTTTTATATTATTCATTTTCACTGTCTTAGCGTTTCATCTGTCTGCTCTAACATTTTTCATATTTGACTGATTCCTTGCTCTACTAATCTCAGAATGTCTGCTTGCTTTGAAATCAATGAGAAATGAGGGGAAGACAATGAAAAGGAGAGAATGTGACTTATTTTAACCAATAGGAAAAAAAAAAAAACAGGAACAAAAAGGTACCAAAGGGAAAAGCCCTGGAATAGCATGTCAGTGCTATTCCTCTCCTGTCCTCGCCAGGATAATTTAGATGTAAATCACATAATAATGTGATCAAATGAACTCCACAAAACCCAAAAACACTTTACAATTGCCTCCACCTGTTAGTGACCTGCAGAAAAGTCAACAACACTGTAAATTTTTATATGAGTATTTGAGCATATATTCACTTTTCACTGCGGTTTTCTGAATAGTGTTGTTAAGTTTTCTTAAAGGACACAGGTTAAAACTATGGAATATGGCTATTGTAAAGAAAAACAATGGAAGGAGCCACATAACCAGGTCAACAACCACCCTATCATTTCCACACCAGCAAAGCCAAATCCCACATACTAAAAATATATCTAGATGCAGTACATTCCCCAGTTAACTTTAATTGACTACAAAGAAAAAAAATGAAAACCCAGGGGGTGGAAAATAAGATATGAAACCCACAAACGAGTTTCTGTGTTTGTGCCTTCATTATGAGGTAAACAGTCTGCTGCTGCCAACTTCTTTAAATACCTACACAATGACTGATGCCTCATGAAGCTTTGATGCTCTGAAGCGAAATACACAAGAGGCTTTAAAAAAATGGCTCACTCAAAATAATCAAATGGGAATTGAAAAATGCTCCATTACAAATTTTTTTTTGGTGTCGAATATCTGTTTGAAACAATATACATGTGTGACCTTCCAACAAAACATAAACATAGAAATCGATCAGTTTCAAGTTTTTAACAGGTGTCGTATTTTTAAAAAGTTGAGATTTTAAAACCAAAAACCCTTTTTTTCAGGCATTTCCAGCAGTTGATGTGCTTTTTATTATACAAAAGACTGATCAAATGGGGTGTAGAATAGCACTCCCTTTCTTCAAGCACTGCCAGTCAGCTCTGAATTGTGACTAAATAGGAAAAAATATAGATTTGTTTGCTCCATTTTGGAATTACAGACATACGATATAGAGGAGCTGGCTGCCTACGAATGTGAAGGCAGTTTTGTTCGTTACAAAAGACATCTCAAGATGGAATACAAAGTGTGAAGTAACTTCAGTCATTTGGATAATTTGTTCAATTATTTTTGTTATTTTAAATTATTTACACTTCTACATAATATAACTATAATTCATAGAAATAACACATTTCTGATTTCAAATAAAAGTAATGATATCATGGAATTCAGTCAAATGTTTTTGGTTTAAATTTTTGTTTTCATTTTGCAATACTATCACGATGTAGTTTTGTTCAGGCTTATCGTACCATTAAACTTATATCAGTCCATGTAAACAAAATATGTTATTTATGGCTGCATACTAGTGTTGTGGAAAGCCCACATTTTCATGCCTGTTTGTTCTTTATCATGAGTGTCTCCACTAACATCTGTGGGCTTTAGAATCTGAGCCTCCAAAAATCTATTTCACAGGTGGATATTAAGGCTGGTTACAGCCTATCCAACTGGACAAATATATTATGGCTATGCAGGACATTAATGCAATAAACTTAAAATATAAAATTTTATTTAATATTGCATCTAAGCAGTATTAAATAAGCTCCTTTTGACATTGCATATACAATTTATTGTGCAGCCCTACTTTGTTGTTCAAACATTAATGAACTAGTTAGCTCTGTTTCAAGAATTCTTGAAAGACAAACTGTTTAACAGTATTTTGTATTCACACACTTTAACTTTGAAATTTGTCATGATACAAATATGAACTTTTTTTAAAATCTCAAAAAATTACATTTTGCCCAGTGAATTTATCTGCACAATATGCTTTTGCTGGTCTACCACATAGAATTGGAATACAATGTCTTGAGTTTTACAACAGTAATGCGATTTATGTTTATGGAAATTAATACTTTTGCAAAACAACATTTTGAGGACTACGTCAAGGGCTGGTGTTCAAATAAAACTTAGATACCTTTCACTTAAAAAAAAAGTAAGTTTAAATGAATGATACCTGGCTAAACATGATAGTTTTACATCTGTTAATATAGAAAACCTTTTAATGATCTTAACATTAAAGATAAGAGCATTCTTCATTGTTCTTTGCATCAATTTGAAGAGCCTTTGGTGTTGTATTTTACCTTCTTCTGCATTTCTTTCTTTGCAACAGTGGGCTGAGTAACATTGATATCATCCACAAACCCCTGCAGCATTTTGAGTGAGCCACTTCTTTTATGCCAGAGATCAGTAACAGAAACCACTTATGTAGGTATGTAAAGAAACTTGAGTTCAGCACAGGAAGGATAATTCTCACTCCGGTGGAGAAAATGAAAAGCCCGTGCATTCAGGCAAACATATAGTTAAATGCAAACACAGGTAAAATTTTTTTAAAAAATACAGTACCAATTATCTCACCAACCTGGGGATGAGAATGAGGGCTGCATGAGATTTCAGCCCAGGGCTTAGCTCTCTCGTCTGAAGAAAGCTGCTGAAATCCCAAATGATTCAAGATGCAGATTTCGTACTTCGCTATTTGCAGTGTCGCTCAACTGTGTTCTGTGCCTTTGTATCTGCATGTATGTTCATAAATTATGCATGTTTGTCCACAGCTGGAAGCACACGTATTCTGATGTTTACACACAAAAAAATGAAACCTTTGGTGGCTGTTTTCAAAAATCCTCCTGCCTCTTGAAAAATCTGTCGGTTCCTTTGCAGCATTTTACACACACGTGCGTATATATAGATACACACAAACACACATTCAGAAAAACCTTGGGATCTTTTCTGTGAGATTGGATACTCACACACAGGGAAAAGTATTGAATGGTGTGCAAATAGCCCAGCAAAGACAGACAAAACACCTTGCCAACAGAGATAGGAACTTAATTCTCATCAATTTTTCATGGAGGATCCCATGTAAACAGCAGGGGCCGAGTGTCCGTCACACTGAATGCTAGTTCTGCAGTAAGTCGAAAGTGCATGGATTTGACTGCATTTTAAATGAAGTGTTAGAGTAGATGGAGGTGGGCTGTGGTATCAGGGGACAGAACAGAAGTGAGCCGAGTACAGAAAACAGGAAAACTCATCTATAAGCAAGGAACCTCTGACGTGAGCGCGTTTTAGAAAAGACCCTGTGATCTATATTCCTATTGCAACGACAGAGATATCTTAGAGCGGCTACAGTGTGGATTTCAGCATCAATAAATCAACAGAGTACACATTAATTACAAATATACCATTTGTTTTTCAATCCACACCTGTCAACACTGACACAGAAGGACAAAGTGGCTTTAAAAGATAAAGAAGAAAGTGTATTTATCCAAATATTTTGTGTGATTTGGATTAGTTTTAAATAAAGTTCTTAAAATGTTCTAATTCATCCAAAGTTCTGATGAAATTAATATGTTAATAACTCATACATGTGACCTAAAATGATAACACAGTACACTGCTGGCATGTGATTACATCCCCCAGCCTGTTTCCCTCTAGGTGGTTTTACCTGAAGATACTTCATCTAGTCTTTCTCTGTGGGGGGATGGTAAACATGAGAAGTCTCTGCAAATCCTTCACTGAGCCACTGAAATTCCACCTTTAACCTCTGAAATTGGGATTTTCTGTCAGGTGTGGAAAGTGATTTAAGACAGACTAAGTAATTACTTAATGGCAACCCTAACTTACTGAGATGTAGGGAAATTGGATAAGCCCATCCACAATACCTGGCTTTAAATTTATACAATTAAGCCAGATGTTTTCTGTTGAATTTTATCAATCAGTAAGCTTCAAAACTGGAAGTCTGTTCTGCTACAAAGGCTTCTCAGTCTGTCTGACCCATTTGAAAATAAAGGTTCCACAGGAAAGGTTGGGCTTAGCCACTCGTAAGTCTTCAGCTCCTCCCGGGTTGCCTCTGCAGCACGCAGCGCCTCTAACTAAGGAATGCTGTGGCTGTTTTCGGTTTTCTCATATTCAGACCAAATCCTAGCAACTGTCCATGTTGTGCAAGACCTTCTCTATTGCAAAGTTTTACCAAGCCAATTATCTGTCCAGACTGACCGGTGCAAACATTATTTGAACATACCAATGGTCAAAGCTGGAAGAATTAGCTTCTGTTTATTCTACCGAATCAATAAGTGGCTATAAATTTTCCTAAATGGCAACAACTTTCACCTTTTGTTTTATCTTATACAAATGTAAAGTAAACATGAAGGTTTTAGTTTATTTTCTTTAGAACATAATTAAAGTGGACTCTATATTTATTGGCAGCTATGGTTAAAAGACCATGTGTGACACTTCTTGAGATAAATTTAGATTTTTTCCAACTTTAAAGTCAAGCATAGAACAACTGAAAGCTCTTCAGTATGGAGAGAAGAAACATAATAAAATAGTTTTAAGCAAAAATCACAAAGCAATTATTAGCTTCATGGGTATATCAGCCCTTTTTCATAATAGAAATGATTAGAGAACATGCATTTCCATTAAGGCAGAAAAGAGCAAATCAGTCAGAAAAGTATGATAAATCCATTACTTTACTTGTATTATTGAAACCATTTTACATAGTTGCTTTGTGTCTTTATACATACTACATTGTTTAAAATATTTGCTCACCCATCCAGCGTAGTGAATTGTGAAGTTGTTCCAACCACTTCTACTGCCACATGTGCTTAAGACCAAGCACCTAGGCACACAGACGTCTTCCACAAACAGCTACCAACCCATTCCAGTCCGACACGCCAACCCTGAGGTGAATAGCGGATTGACATGGCCACAGACCTACAAACCACATATGGCCATCACACAGCTAAAGAACAGAGTTTGTGGAATGGGTTTCTATGGCCTAATATCTGCCTCTAAGCCTTATATCACCAAGTGTAATGCTCAGTGTCAGATGCAGTGGAGCAAAGCACACTCGACTGGACTGTAGAACTGCAGAGATGTGTTCTCTGGAGTGACAAATAAAGCCTCTCTGTCTGGTATTCAAGAGTTTGAGAATTGTCTGGAAAATAGCATTCCAGTGCTGACTGCAGAGTGTCAAGTATAAAGATAGGTGTGGGGAAGTGTTTTTTTTTTGTTGTTTTTTTTAGTTTTGTTGAAAGCATACCGTGACATTTCAGTTCAAGGATGATCCTCCCAACTTAGTGAGAACATTTCAGAGATAATGTTCTCATCATGACTTAGCACCAGTGCACATAGTATAATCCATGAAGACAAGAAGGAGCAAATGTGATGTGGAAGAATGTGATTGTGATGCACATAGACCTGACAGAACACATTCTGGTTGACTTAGAGCTGAGATTATAAGTCAAGTTTTCTCATCCAACACCGATACCTGTCCTCACTTTTTTTTTTCCTCTCTTCGCTTCTGGACGAAAGGTAAAAAAAAAAAATTCTGACAAACATACTTCTAAACCACATGGAAAGCCCTGCAAGAAAAGTTTAATTTGTTTTAGCCAAATTATTTGGATTAGGGATGTTATTTAAGTTCCTATGTGCACGAAGCCACACCAACAAACGCTTCTGGTAATATGGTGCATCTTATATCCAAAGATTTTTAATCTTGGAACAGATATCTGATAAATGATGCCTTTTTGTTATGTACCACTTAGCATATGGTGAACTAAAAAAATAACTTTGATTTGAAATGGTGATGATAAAGTTACTATGCACACAAACTTTCTCATATGTCAGATGAATGCTGAAAAAGACTGCAACTGCACAAAGCCCTAAGTTCGTCAAGCCTCAACCCATGCAAACATTCTGCAAAAGAATCTTGCAAAGACTCTATACACAAAATTCAGTAGGAATATGGTTTGCTCACAACCAATCAACACGTCAGGCAGACAGCATAAGTGCCCAACACCGTCTGAAATAGAACTGTGGTAATCACAGTTCCCTTTCTTTTGTATAAAATACCTTAAGAAAATACCATAACATGAATCTCTTTCAACTAAATATATCTCACACTGACCTTTATTCCTCTGATTTTGTTTTATGACATGCTAAAGCGTCAGCATATGTAATCTTAGTGTGGTTAAGGAGCCGGCGTCACCGTGAAATCGGTTTCAGTGCAGTCCTGTTTTAGGTTCACCAATTCCAAAAACCTTTGGGAGCGCTCCAATCAGGGAGGTGTCTCACTGCAATAAAACCCTTGCACTGGTTCAAGACAAAATGTTTCTAGTGCCTCACACAACACTTGAAATCCAACAAGTCAAGACTGAAAACTTTAGCTTTAATGTTTGGATAATGATGGAAAACATGATGGAAACAGAACTAATTAAATAGGAACACAAATCAATCACTTTCATTCAGTGAACAAAAACCTCTTAAAAAGTTGATGTTTATTATAGGTCATTATGATAATGATGATGAGAAAACTCATTTTAGACTAATCAGGTAATGAGTAAATCTATTTAATTGCTTCAGTGTTAAATGAGCTGAAGACAATGAAAGTGTAAAAATGTAAACTTAAATTAGAAGTTTACTTGTTTTATACAAAGATCTGTGCATAACAACCAATAAAACAGAAAAGATGCTTACACATTTTCAAAATCTGTAGCCAGTACAGCTTATAAACTCTGTGCACTTAAATCAGCAGGTTCGATAAGTAGATTTAAAGAGTTATGGAAGCAAAAGAATTCACTACCAACATCTTTTTAACGGCTGGAGCAACTTGTTTTTATGACTTTATCATCATGGCTTTTCCCTTAAAAAGGCACAGGAAGGTCAGAGCACATGGGAAAGAAACAGTAAAAGAAATACAAACTTTAAAAGTGAAATGGTAAAAGCAAAAGTCCAAACTCAGAGTTTCCAACATAAGATATCTAATAATTAAGCATCTTTATCACATTGTTAATTTTGCTTTGTATTGATTTTTTTTAAATTGGTGTCATGCCTAAAGTAGGTGGGCCTTATCTAGTAGGCATATCTTGCCAACTTTCATCTTATTTTTTCCAACTAAACTGCTGGAGAACCCCTCAAACCTGTGCCCAGGTTTTAAATCAACACAGAACGCTCTGTGAATCTTCATAGGAAAAAAAACAAAACAAAACACATAGGGTTGCCTAATGTTGGTTCCATTTCTGCAATGGAAAGCACTAAAAATGCTCACTTTCTTTGAAAGTTCATACTTGTCCTTTCAATTATCCTGCTTGTCCTCATCATTAAAAGCCAACCTCTGTTATGTTTGGTCCTTTGCTGTGAAGTCATTTTGTCTTTGGTGACACTTATTAGTGAGGCAGAGGTACTTACCTTGGCCTTTTGCTGTGTGAGGCAACACTGCGATGAAAACAAAGCCCAGCAGGAAGAAGCTCAGTCTGACTGAGAACTGCATCCTGATTCCAGGTGACCAGAGCACACAAAACACCTGAGTTTAAGAGGAGAAGAAGGGAAGGAACAAAGGAGGATAAAATTACAAAAAATGATCAGAAACAGAAGGGGGTGACAGACTTCAGTTTTCCCACTTGGCCTCCAGTGAGCATTTCATTATAGATTCTAAGAAATGTTGTGTTTTTTAATCTGTTTAGCAGCGAATCGGTCAGTGGCATTTTTTTAAAATGCAGTGCAAATTAGTAAATCATCTATTCCTTAATAGTGACCAAAAATAACTGAGGGAAAAAATCTGAACATGTTTGACAAAGTTTTAAAAAGCCAGCAGGAAGATCATAAATTGTACCGACTCTTCCAATTCAAGAATTTTCCAAAGTATCCATAACCAAATAACTTTTTCACAATTCATTGGGTTTAATAAGAAACTTGAATCAAAATTGAAATTGCTTTTATTGAAATTTATTGTATTAGAAAAGTGCACAACTGTGAATAAAAGGGTGTTTTCAACAAATAAAAATGACAAAAGTGTGGTCTTAACATGACAAAATGGGAAAAACATCAAGGACTATAAATACTTAGATCAAATAAGAAAAAATTACTCACTTTACCTGCTAACACATGCAGCTTTTGCAAACAACCTCTCAATATGACAAAACTAAAAGCTATATTCAATATTTAATTAATCAAAATATCTCAAATTAATTGGATGAGCCATTTTGGCATAAAAATATTATTACAATTAAAATCAATTATAATCTTAACGGTAGAGTGAACTGTATTTATGCTAACCATAAATTTTAATCAAGTCCAGTAAGAAGTTAGCAGCTGGTTTGGAATTGAAATGTGATGAAATTTCGCTGCAAGAACCGCAGGAAATGTGTGCAAGCTTTAGAATTTGGGCAGGTCCTGTGATCTTAACGTAGGTTTTCCTCCCATCATTATTAGTTTTTTGTGAAGGAAATCTTTGATATGAGCTGAGGAGGGTGAGGAGAGCTGGCAATGGAATGAGCTCCATGCGAGTCTTTCAAGCTGCATCAAGCATGAAAACATGTTACTCCAGAGGGATTGAGGCGCAGCAGCAGACACAGCTGTCACCTGTAAGAGCTGCGTTTTCACTAACAATACAGAGGGAAAACTAGATATCCTCTGCAAGTACAACCTGAGGGCACCAACTTGATGTAGAATATTCTGTATTTTGTTTGCATGGACATTAAAACACAAGCAACTACAAATGCAGAATTATAATTAAAATACCTTTACAACTGAAAACTTAACTGAAAAAAAAAAAAAACTTCAAGTAAATTTCCTGCATAAACGTTTACAGTCTTAACTTTCATTTTGGCTTCAGACATATTTCAGCGAGTTTGCATCGTATCTAAAAGATCAATGAGTATTTATTATTTTACAGAGAAAACAAGTTGAACCTCCTGATGAGATGATATATTAAATCGCCTTCAGACTCGCTGTGTCCTGTTTCAGGTGAAGAAAAGCAACGGAAGTTCTCCTTAATTGATTTGAGCGCAGGTGAGACCTGCACGTCTCGCCATCAGCAGCCCAACAGTGAAGCGCTGAGGTGGAATATAAAGGTTGTTCTAAGAGCGGGCTTTTCTTTGGGTCTGTGCAGTGTGAATGCAGAGCAGCGTTACCTTCTCAGATCATATGTTTCCAGGTTCTGCCGCTTCCTCGGTCTCAGGCTCGTTGGTCCCACACGGACTCCCCGATTCGGTCCGTTCAACAACTCTCTGCTGCCGACCTGGAGTCAAGTTACGCTCAGTGACCCACAAGACATCCGGTGGGGAATTTCAAAATAAAATACGTAGTTACCAAGGCTAACAATATGAATATTTATCATCCATAGACCTCTATTGAATTCATCACTGGCGTTTCAGTATATGTTTGAACGTCTCCTTCTGCCACTGCGACAGAATCTACATAAAATCTATATAGATTTGTTTTATGTTAGGTTTACTCTTCTTCATACACCTTGAAGCCACAGGTTTCATTGTCTGATTTCTAGTATGGAAATTCATTATTATTTATTTTATAAATCAGTTCTACCTTCACAGAAAAGTCACATGTCATATGCAGTAAAAGTACTATATTAGGTGGCTCCAACTCCCCAAGGATAATGCAGTGGGCCCTAACATAGAATTAAGGAACCATAGCTGCCCACAAACAGCTAATACTTGTGAAGCTCCTCTCTAAAACACTTCAAACTGCCTATATCTAATGTGTGGCTGTTTTATGTCTTCACAACAAATTGCACCTTCATAAAGTTCTTGACTTTTGGGTACAGTCAACAAGCCCCAAGGAAAATGCCAGCCAATAACATGTCAAGTAGCAATGCATCTCGGTAATCCAGCTTTCCATTTGTATTTTCTTTCAAATGTCTGAATATACTGCAAGAAAAATAACCTAATCGGCAATTTTTCTGCATATGAGTTACATTCCCCAGAAAATCTGAAGCTGAAAGAGAATCCATTAACACTGAATCATTAATAGACAGCAGTCCACCATGAGTTGGAGTTTTCTTGCCCAGCTCCATTCTGTGCTTACAAAACTACTGGGGGGGAAGAAAAAATCTGCAAATTCACTTAAGCTTATTTACATCACATGGATTCACAGTAAACGTCAGATCTTGACATGTGTAGCAGGGCTCTGCTATGACTTGGACAAAAACATTGGCCAATGCCATAGTTCACTTCAGATGGCAGTTATTGTGCTGATATTCTGGTGATAAAAGTTAAAGAAGCTGTGCAGTATATTTAGAATGGACATCCAGTTAAGTTAAAAAAACCAAAACAAACAAAAAACAACCAGTACCTTCATAGCTACCTAAAAGTCTAACACCTTCATTCAGTGAAACTTGTTTGAGTCCAAAACTCAGAGTGACTTCCTGTGCTACAGAGTCCTCTTTTATAGAGGCTCCGCCCACAATAAACCTCACCCCCCAAAAAATAAAATAAATAAACTGATAATTACTTCTAACTCAAGTGCATCCATATCAAAAATACAACGTGATTACAATTATTACAACACAGAAAAAACTACAACCAAAATATAATATTCAATTCAATAGAAAACAATCAGTGCAACGCCCTAATGTTATCACTATTACATGATCACATGATATGTTAACCGGAAAAATGTTCGACAATGAAAATTGCAAGGTATAGATTTGACAACAGAGGCAGGAACATCACGTGTGCACCCACGACGAACCGGGCCAGTTTGTGCTGAAACCAAAAAGTAAGATTTACGTATGTCTGTGTGCTTTAACGTCGGGCATGAACTTTAGTACAGGGCAGGGGTGGACAATCCTGGTCCTCGAGTGTCAGTGCCTGCAACTATTAGATCCAAGACACTTCAAGGAAATGACTTAATCACTTTCAAAGTGCAGTCAAGTTCTCCAGAGTCCTGCTAATGACCTCATTATTTAGCTCAGGTGTGTTGAAGTAAAGCCACATCTAAAAGTTGCAGGAGCTCTCGATGCCTGGAGTTGCTGACCCCCGTAGGACAACGTCCCAGCATATGGTCATTGTATCCCAAACTGAAGAGGAGAATGTACAGTAAAATAAATAAACAAGAAACAAAACAAAACAAAACAAAAATATCTTATCTGGTTTTATGTTGCTGGATTTCCACGCAGGACGAAACAAACTTACGTTTTTTTGTAAAGAAGTCGAGATCGTTCCAGGAATCAATGGAACAATCTGTTCCAATCAACATTGTTGAGAACTTTTATTTTGAGATAGACCAAACTAACAGCATTAAGAGATGTTAAGTGTCAACTTTATAATAGCATTTTTTTGGTGAATAGTTTGAAAAAATACACTTTTGCATCTCCCCAGGAATGCATGAAAGTCTGTCAGATTGCCCCCAAGATCCCAAGCGAAAGTACATTTCCTACCATTATTTTTTTCTGCAAATAATTTTCCACGCTTCTGTTTTAATTTGAAGGGGAATTTGAAAATGCCCCTTATCTTACCGTGCCTCTTTTCGGGCAGCTTAACTTCAGCTCGCTCAGTTGAGACTTGCAGCGGGCTGATGGGTGTTTCCTGCCTCATTCACCATCCACCCCTCCAGCTACTCATTCCTTTTCCTCTGTTTAATGCAAGGTGCGGCTGCAGAAAAATGCGTTTGAGTGGCAGGCGGGTTGAGCGGCTGCAGGTATAATATGTATTTCTGTGACCCACCTGACTTTGCATGCTGTAAGACTCTTCTGGGGCTCCAGTTGATACAGCCTCTCTTCGTGGGCAGGTGCTTGTTGTAAATCATATTTCCTCTATAGGATGGAAACGCTTGAGACAATTGATTGTTTTTTAGGTTTGCCTCAAGCTTATGAGGAATGCAGAAAGGTCATAGCAGAATGATAATTAAAATTACTAAATCAAAATGAAATGTTAAACTTCATGATCTTTTTTCCAATATTGCAGTAAGCAGAATTAGGACACAATGGCTGACAAAATCAATCAATAAACGAATAATAATAAAAACATCTCACATTTTCAATTAACCCAATTCCTAGTTTGTCTATTGTTTAAATTCTAGCCAAATTTTGTGAAGTCATTTTTAACAGAATGTCTTTCCTACAGAAAAAGTTTTTAGTTCACTTTGTTCATGGACCTATTTGTGCTAAGTATTTTTAAAGGTATAATTCCCATTTTTTGGCTAATTTCTGTCAATTCAGTTAAAATTAACTTTTATCTGACTTCATTATTATTTCAGGTCACCTAATGGCATGATTCATTGAGTTCATCAAGCCCTAAGGATGAATATAGCTGAATGTTAAGAACATTCAATAAATTTTAAAATTAATAAAAAATCATTTATTTCTGTTATTCAATTTACTTTTCTTAAAGTGGTACATATAAAATCAATTGGCAGCAAAATATCAAACAATATAACACATATTTAATACAGACAAATGAAAAGTATGTTTTTAAAGATCCTTTTAATCTAAAGACGGAGAGTCTATATCATCATTACACTCAATTCCAGTGTGACTTCCTTCCTAGATCTAAGTCATGAATTTAAAGACAAACTTAGCTCAGCAGAAATGTGCTCTCCTCTAGAAGTCTAGATTACATGCCAAGCTTTGCACAGGTGTTTTAGCAAACTAAATTAACACAAATTTTGCCTTGTAATTTGGCATCTGTTGTTTTCTCCCTGTATTTATTTTATTAGCAGCTGCTTAATGATAGTGTTTTGAGTTCAATTTTTTGACATAAAGAAGTACATCATCATCTTCAAAGACAGATGATTCCATCTGTATCACATGAGATATATTCCTTTAGATATTTTACTGCAACGGAGCAGAGACCACACAGAGCTGCAGCTCTGGATGTGCATGCATTCTTATGTCTAAGATACTGCAGAGCCTTGAAAGCATAATGGGCCTCTATCTGCTTAGGGTGAGGGTTAAGTCTGTCTTTGACTCGGTTATTGTGGGTTTGTTTGCTGTGCATGTAGCCTTTAACAGAAGAAATCAAGGTCTCGAAAGTCTACTGCATTATCATATTCATAAATATTTAACAGGAAAATTTAGTGTTCCCTTCAAACGCTGAGTTGCACAACTCCCAAAATGCATCTTAGATACATACCTTAGTTTTCTTCAGCTGTACCTAATGTCCAAACTGGGTACATTTAGTGTGTAATGCTGACTAAAGATGATTCAGTATCTAAAGCTATACCGTATGAACATTAACTGTCAAGTACGTCAGATACAGAAGCAATAAAAAAACTTTCAATTTCTACTTTTGAGATGATTTTGTTGGATGAAAATTGCAATAATTAGAATTATAATAATATGGTTACTGTAAAAAAGAGATCAATTACAAAAGAACTAGAGTAAGCATTAAGAATTTTGCAACTAGCATGGAATCAAATGATACGCTATGAGGGGTTTGTTAAAGATATAACTCATCTCAGATTTTTAGCATCTTAATGTGGTTCATCTTCTTCGAAAGGAGAAAATAAGTTTAGAAAAATATTGATCAAATTATCATATTAACATTTCATCCCGATCCAGTGATGTCTGTTTGTTTTCATTCTTTGGGCATTCATAAAATTAAATCTTTGTTTTTTTTTTATTCCTCTCAGTGAAAGCATGTATTAATTTATTTCTTAGTGTTTGTCAACTTTGGATTTTAATCATGCATATTTAAACAGTTTTCAAATTTTGGGCAGAATTATACATGCTGTTGGAGTTACTAAAGTATCTTTTGTTTGACTTGGATGTCTCTAGCCCATAGATACTATGTTGATGATTTTAAAGTTTAGTAGTTAAAGTGTCCCGTCATGCTGATTCTATACTGTAATTATCCAGGAATTTTTTTGAATGTCTGTCTTGGAGCATGCTTCATTCAGCAGGGGGCAGTACAGAACTGCCCTGTAGGTAACATCTGTCAAAGGAGTCTTCCTGGCTATTTTTTTTTTCCTTTTTATCAAAAATGTGAACAATACACACATACACATATGTAGTATCTTAGACAATGGCCTATTTTGTGTTTTTCTGTAAAATGGCATATTTAATGGGGTTTTCTAAGAAAAAGAATCTGAAACGGTACTGGTGTACCAGTCCCAGTGCATGCCCAGTTCAAGTCTTGTTTTCTGCATCACGTCACATCACATCACACTCACCAACTCATGAATAATGCTGGGAGCTTCTCTCCTTGATCTCTCCTTGATTGATTTTAAATGAGCTTTTTTAGAGTCACTGAAGGATTTGAGGACCTCTCGTAGCAAACAGTGAACAAGGTGAGAATGTTAAGACCTTCATCTGCTTTTATAGTTTCATCAAAGCTCAACAAGACATTTTACTATTTATTCCTAGCAAGTGAGCTGCAATGCAATTTTAAAGTTTCAATGGAAAAACGAGAACATACTTTGATAGGCATACATGAAATATTAGAGTATTTTTAATAGTAAAATATGAATATAATAGAAAATTGAAAATAGAGATCTAACATAAAACCAGAGCCAAAGTATATGTCATAAAAGGCAGGAGACCAAGAGTTTTAATTAACAGAAGTGCGGTTTATCTGGAGAATAAGAATTTTAGTTTTTCTTCTTCCAAACTGGAGAAATGTAACAGCCATCATCTATTTAGATTATCCATAAACATTGCAATTTACACACATGAAATTTAAAAGATATATGTACCTTATTATAACTTGTAAAACAGTGACTGGAAATGTCTCAAAATGAGCTACAGAAGGACAATGTAAACCAGTAGATACAATTACCTTAAATCAGAACCCTTGGACTTAGTATAATTTTAAGCTGACATAAAATAGTATAATTTGATATTTATGAAGAAAAGCAATTTAAAGCAAAACCTGATACATTTATCTAACACCTCCCCTTCCAGAAAGAGTTGATGATCAATAGAATAAAAAGATGAGGTCAGATTCTGCATAATGTCAGCAAATCAAATCAAAATCTGCATATGGTCACAACATAGCAGAGACTTAATATTTTAGTAAGTCTACCATGCAATGAATTCCAATATATAAATGTTATGACTCAACAAAATTTGTTTTCTTTTTATGGAATTCATGTGCTCAAAAATGTCAACAAAATCACGTGGGATTTTTGCCCCAACTGGTAGAAAAGCTACCAGTGGTAGTACTGAAGACTGCATTTTTCATCAACAAGCTTCCTTACATCATCAGCCAAACTGGAAGTTTTCCCCTCTGCACCTTTTAGTGTTTGGGATTTCTTCCTCTAATGCATCACTTTTTTTAATGATGTCTTTTAAATGCTGCAGCTGCAGCAGGGACTTGTTTACATTTCATTTATCCAGCTGTCCACAGTAATCACTACATCCCAAGGTGATGTTGGTGTTGATGCGTCAGTGACCAAAATCACTCTTGAGACGTTTTTATGAAGCTGGAGCCACAGTGCTAGGTGTGATTTTTGTCTTTGTTGTGATGACTTGTCAACACTTCTGTCAGGAGAGGAGTACTGAACCTTGAAAAATTGTTTTCTGTCATTTTTAATCTTTTCATTTTTAGTCACATGCATTGCATTTACTTTTTGTTTTGCAATTTTCAGAATGCTACATTGGGTACTTATATTAAGAATCTATGCAAATGCAGTGGTAGTATTTTTAAGAGAATCCATTACAGGTTTTTGCAGATACTCTCCTAATTTGCATGATGATGTCTCAGCTGTGTCAAGTCTTGAAAAGAATATTCCATTGACCTTCCTCTGTCCTTTCATTTGCATTTCCTTTTCATTACAAAAGTGAATTTATTAAGTATAAATCAATAATAGATCAAAGCTCCACCTTTCTGGAAAGAAGCTGGGCAAAATGATTTACATCAAATTAAAAACCCTTGTAAATAATTTATACGGATAACATATTGTGCTAATCTTAGATAAGTTTATGATTTACAGTATCTTCAATTTTCATTGTTCACAATTTGCTTCAGTGTTACTATTACGGTGATGTGTAATATCTGCAAATGTTTTAATTGTTTTCATTCACATCAGCAAATTTATTTTAATAACTCTGGTTTGAGCTGTTTATTTAATTTGATTGTTTTCTGTAAGTTATTGTAGAGATATTTACTAAAGATGCCTCATCTTTTTAACTTCTCTACTCTGTTTCTCATTAAGTTGGACATCCAAATATAAACTTATTCTCACAGATTTCCATGAGAAGTATTTATGGGGGGCTGATGGGAGATAAATGTAAGCAACAACTTTGGCAGCAAAGAAAATGTTTTTGTGAGCGTGGAGTTGAAAATCAGACAGGGACTGTACTGGCACAAAGAAAACATCTGAAACCCTGAAAACACTCCAGCTCAAGAATAAACCACCATGTCTAAACAAGCTAGCAAGGTCCAGAGGTCCAGAGGGAAGAATAGGATTAAAAAACAACACACTGTGATGACAGAAAAGAATGCACAAGAAGATGACATGGACAGATCTGCAACAAACTACAAGAGGGAAAATAAGTGTAATGAAATAACATTACTTGTTGATTTGATAAAAAGAGATTGGGGTGGTATAATTCAGTAGTTACTTTCAAGGGGGATTAGATATGTTTTAATGTATAGGTTTCTGAATTAACGTCCTGTTAGATACACATGTACTGACCATACAGTCATTATTTTCTTTTCTGACAGAGAATGTTGGCCTGAAATCTGCTGCAAATCATTTGGCCACCTTCCTCCTCTTATGGAATGTATGAGTTAGAAGTCAGAGCCACTCACCTGGGATTGCCAAAAAAAAAAAAAAAACCCTCACCTTTCATGCTTATCACAAAGACATGATGTGATTCTAACACAGCAGAAACTGTGGAATTGTGATTTTGACACAAAAGAATGTGTGATCTGCAGGGCTGAGGTGTTATTACAGTGAAAAAGAGTCCAAAGGTATTTCAGAATTTTTATTGATCAAACATTTGTGTTTTTATTCTTTTGACCCACAAAAAAATAATAAAAATATGGTCTTTATTTTTCAACTATTTACGTTCCCTTTATTCATGAAAGATTTTTTAACCTTTTTTTCATCAGCTGATAGATACTCATCAATCACTGAGAGGTTTCCCTGCTGACAGGAGAGAATGTAAGTAATGACAGTAATTTTACACTTTTTCTGTCATTCTTCCAAGCACTGAAAGCTTCTTGACAGAGTTCAAAAGTTCAGGAACAAAGCCAACATTTACACTATCTTCCCTAAATGCTGCTGGTGTCACACCTTGAGTTAAAAAATGGGGCATCCAGAAATGTCAGAGATAAAACTTTTGGTGCTCCTTGTTACTTTTTGTTGACCTTTTTGTTTTAAGAAAATCAGTTGTCATGATTTTCATAATGAACACATGCATTTACTGTTTTAAAAGGCATGAAATGAAGAATATAAATATACCAATTAAAAAAAAACTGTACAATCTGTACAGTTTTTACAGGAGGATCTGTACAATCTCAATATTTAACAGTTTCCTACAAGGTTTTTATTAATAGAACCTGTAAGATCACTAAAAAAACAAAAATATTTCCTTCTGGGGGATGATCTCAGAATGTAATTTGGTTGAAAAATGTAATTGAATTGGATACATGAAATATAGAAATGTGTGTTGAAATTTGGTTGTTAGCAGGGTTTACCCCTTGTTTTTTTTTGTGTGTTTTTTTTTGTGTGTGTGTATTAGTGTTGTCATTATAGTTTATGCTAATGTTCACGAGCTTAACTGAAGGACATTTGGATTTGTTTGCCAGAGACAAAAATCACTCGTCACGGAGAATGTAGTCCATACTGCCACCTTCTGGTAGCAGTGTAGTATATAGCCAATTTTATTTGTTACTTATTAAATAATAAATGGTTATTTAATTGAACAAGGTTACATAAATGTATGTTAATATTTAGCATTGACGTATATTGCCGTCATGTTTGAAGGCGATGTCTGTGACAATGAAGAGCATTTCATTGTTTCTCACATTTTCAATACAAAATGTGAAAGAAAAAAATTGTAAAAACACAATGTTTTGTCAGTTGTTTAATAATTTAAACAATTGAATTTAAAAGGGATTTCTATTTACTTTAAAATCTGAAAACACATTTAGGGAAAAAAGAAAATACATTCATGTAGAATAACAATATTGCTGAAGAAAATGTATTATCTTACACTTTTCAAAACCAATTCTTTGCATTTTCTCTACGACAAAAGAAAAAAGGGGAATAAAGACATTCACTGAGGCTGTGGAAACAAGTCCTTGTAAAGCATTCTGATTAATGCAGAAAAAGTGCCACAAAACAAAAAAACTACACAATAAAAACAGATATAAAGGTATACAATGTAAATGGAATAGTAGGCTGTACAAAAATACTTGAAAACTAATCGTGAGTCACAATCTTTATTTTTGTTAAGTTGTTTATTTGCCTCACACTTCAACTACACACTTCCTATTTCCTTTCTGGGAATCAGAATGTGTGGATGGAAAGACAAACACAACCAGGGGAGGTATTAGAGAGGTGTTTTTTTGTGGCCAGACATGTTTTTGTGTGAGCAGGTCAGTGGAAAGGGTCCTTCTGTTGATACTGCGTTTGTGAAGAGACAGGCAGTAAAGCGGCAGAGTTCAAAGTCCAAGTAACCTCAGAAAAGGAATGAGAACAGCATGATTAATTCCAGCATATGTTTTCAATATATTCTCCCAGGGACACTGAGGTTAGCATTTAATAGGTAGAAATTATGATGAACCAAATTAAATAAGCTTTAAAATCTATTTAGGTCAAATGACGCATCAGATAGATCCTGACTTAAACTCAAAGATACTCAAATGATAACTGCAGCCATAAATGCTGTGCTGTGTGTTGGCTCAGATGGGCTGTCTAACAGTTGCAAGGAGGTAATATAGACTTATAGGGCACACGTATGTTGAACAGGGAAATACAGGACAGGTGGAATTATTTCTGAATTTTCCCTAACAACCCAGTGTGACTTCATAGGACACATTTTAAGGTGCTTTACAAGCTTTTAAATAACCAATTTTCAATTGGAGCAGTTCTAGTTTTAAAACAATTCATTTTTGCTGAGGCATTCATATATATTTTCATCTATTGTTCACATTTTTTCAGACAGATGTCCTTTTTTGCCAGACACCTTAGATAATCTGAAAAAGTCACTCAAAATCCAGGTGTTTATTATGTTTTTTTATGTTTCGGTGATATAAAGCATTTTGATCTGCCTCGTAGCTGAAATGTGTTACACAAATAAGCTTGATTGATTTAATATTTTAAACCCATTTAAAGACATATAAGCTATTTCTTGTTTCAGATATTCCAATAGCCTTTTAGCTGCCAGTGAAATACAATGCATTTAAATTTTCTGCAGAATCCTTTCCAACAATTCTAAGGCTTGAATTTGAACATTGTACCAATTCTTAATGCCATAAATGGCAAAAATTGAACTCTTGGACTAATTCAGTCTAATAGTCATATGCCTTAATTTTGGCCATTTTTTTCTTCTGGATCTCTAGAAATCTTGTTTTTTAGCAGGTTGTTGGTCAGTGATGAATTGGCCAATATGTTCATCTAAGACTAAATTTTATAATTTTCAGAACACAAGATCCCACGTGTCTTTGTTAAAATACTGCACTACAAAGTTGATTCAAAACTACAATCTTAAACAAACCTATCCTGCCTCTCAACACATGGTAACTATTCTCTAGTTTAATTCTTGAGTAAATTGCATTTCTTCTTCTTCCCAGTGGTCTCTTTCCTCCATCACCTCCATCACTACAGTTCTGGGTCCAGTGAGGATCAGGTGGCTGACTGTCCTGTAGTCCAGATCAAGAACATTGAGCCCATTCACAGAGACCACAAACTGTCGTACCTGTAAATATGGAAGGTATTCAAACATTAGTTAGCTGCAAAACAGAGGAAACTGGTTGATTTATGGTTTATCTAAGATAAAATTTATTTTGAATAATTGTTTGTGTCTACCTTCATCCCAGCAGCAGCAGCTGGACCAAATGGCTCCACAGCCTGAATGTAGCACGGCTGCTTTCCTCTAACCACAAACCCCCATCCCACTGCATCACCCACAATCTGTAGAGAACCACAGAAACAACAGTTTATAGAACTGAAATCTGTGCATGTTTAGAGGTGAAAAAGGCTTTTAATTTAGGCAAATGTAAAACATACTGTGAAAGTTTTCTTAATGTAGGGGCCGCCTGGTGTTTGCAGTTCCTCTGTGCTCACTGGTCTTCTCAGGACTAAATACAAGGGAGAGTTAGAGATAGACGAAAAAGAGAGAGAAAAAAGACAAAAAAATTAGACAAAAATAGAAAAAGTGTTATTTTTAGTTTTCAACAGGATAATTCTAAAGAAGAAAAACATTACGAGGCTATTTTGAATGTTGTGGACTGACTCTACGTTTATGTATATTTTTGCAACATTAGTCCTAACAAAACATAGTAATTGCCTCAAAGATACTTCAAATAATACCTGATTTAGGGTTGGAGAGTGTGAGGGAAGAGAAAGAACTGCAGCCACCAACTGTTCTTCTGGTGTAAATGCTTCCATCGCTGCTGCTTCTTAGCCTGGGTCTTGCTGGACCAACACAGCTCCCACTCATAGTGGCTTTTTCATTCTTAGAGGCACTGTCTAAAAGGAGACAGAAATGCACATCATGGAGAACTTTCTGATTCACATAAACGTATAGATTTATTTTTCTATCATTGACTCATTCATTTGTTGGCCTAAATGTGTTTTTTCTCCTGACTCAATTCAAGTGGTTTTGATTTCAAGACTTTGTTGATTTGGTTAGTTGTTCAGTTAGTTTTACTTTAAACCAAAATAATAATGTAGAAACAAAAGTTTAATCTTACTAAAATGTAATGTAATGGTATTTAAACTTTCTTGAGCTCACTGGAATTTGGCTTTCTCTTAATTGACCAAGTATGCATGCTTGAAACTTTGAGATCTCTTTTTTGAACCTAACATTTATGTTTGAAAATTTACAATTATCTTTCTTGGAAATGTAAAGGAATTTGCAGGTTTCTTTTCCTGATCATATGAGGCATTTAGAACTCCTTTCCTCAACCTACTAGAAACTCTCAGGAACTAAGAGACACATTTCTCCAACTTTCATGGAGTTGACTGGTGAATTTTACAGAACTTTCCAGGTACTTCCCAAGAACCATGGAGGTTCCTTTTCTAGAATGACCAAGTACTTTACCTGAATTTGCAAGTGATTTTCCCAGAACTTATATGTTTGTTTTGAAAACTACCCAAATACTTCCTTGTAACTTTCTTTGTACTTATTAGTCATAATTCACAAATGCTTTCACTTTCACTTTAGCACATACTAATGTTGTGGATCAGCAATAAGTTTGACTCCTATACAGGAAGGGATTGTTTTAGAAAGTACACCAGGGACATTTATTTTAGTGAGTTCCTGTCAACAACCAATAATTTCCACAAAGTTCTTCTGGGAAATACCAAGAAAGTATCAGAAAGTAACAACTTTCCAAGGGTTCAGTCTAGTAGTAAACCAAGGTGCAATCAGTTGGATTAAAGTGTGTTTGTGTTGACCCAGTTCTGTGTAAATCTACTTATTCTATCATCTGTAATTCTACTTCATTCCTCCTTGACAAGGAGGGAGTTCTTTTGAATTATAGAGATATGAAAAACAAATATTGGCCATGATGTTGACTTCTGCAGGGATAAAGAAACATGTTCAATTGTTCTGTTCGTTGTTTTGATACAACGGACAGGTTGTGCTACTATAGTTTCCAAAAGATAGTATATTCACGTTTCCATAATTTACTGCTAAATATTTATAAGCCTTGGCTTTAAACAAGAAACTAACAAAAATAAGTCAGTGCTAAAAAAACATTTGTACCACAACTTTTAGTTTAGCTAATATGTCTTATGACTTTCTTTTTTGATATATTTAATGCACTCAATATACATTTGTGTTTCATCAAAGTAACTTTTACATATTTGAAATAAATGAGCTTTTGTGCCTGGTTAATGTAAAAGTATATTTTTATACAAAAAATGTTTTTTTACAAAACTGACATCAAGCACATCAATGATAAACCGAGTGATGGCGATAAAAACGTTCTCACCTGCCCTACTGGAAAGTGACACCATGATGTATCAGGCAGTTATTTGACTATGTAATAATACAGTTTGTTTAATGCCAGCTAAATAATGAGGTGGTGTCAAGCCTATTACACCAGCCACATTTTCTGTGAGTGATACAGTTATATACAGGTTGCTGTTTCATAAGCATGTTTGAGTTGCACAGGGAACATTTGCTTTCTTTTTGCATGTGAGTTCTCACATAGCTCTAAATGTTTTAGTTTGTTTTTTGCTGTTTATTGAGTTATTTCTGGCACTCCTTTTTTTAAACCCAAACAGAAGTAAGTTTTTAACTTTGTAGAATTACTTTACATTATTGCTTGTTTTTGTCATTTGGTTTGCCTATTGATATCCACATTATGTTTTAGTTGTCAATATTTTAATAAAGTAAACTTATTTTACTTAAATAATATAATTTAAACATTAACATTTCTCCATGTTTTTCTATTACACATATTTTAAAATTATTCAGATGGGGGACCCATGTTGACTATTTCTGTTTGTAGCATCTAGGAGAAATAAAAGTTTGCATTTGGAAAATATAAACAGTTCTTACCTGTTGTACAAGGACCCATTTCTTTTCAGACGTTCATCAAACTGATAAATAAAAGGGTAACTATTGATACATGTGGAAAACCAGGCACTCTAACAATTCTTCTGCACATAAAAAAACTCTAATGAAATTTGTTTTATAAAGAAATTATCTTCAAGCACTCAACATCAATGTATCCCTAACCAAGCCTGTACTTTAAATGCTCTTTGTGTTTACAGTTCTAAAAACACATCTGGTGAAGTGGTTGGAAAATGCTTCAGAGTGAGCTAAATATTAAACCCCAGAGCAAACAAGTCAGCCGTCAGCAGGAGGTACGTGGTGGGAGGAGACGTCGCCAATGGAAGGTTTTTACTAATTACTCCGACATTTACAATCTTGAAATTTTACCACATCATTTTTTCATCTGATCTTAGAATGCTGTAGCTAATGTTAAGTTCATTATGACATTACAGATGATGTAAATAAATGAATCAAGTACATTGTGCGATCAATACTGTAATTACTTAAGTAACAGAAAATGATGGTTAATAATATAACAGCCACAAAAAATTATTACAAAATTATTTTCTCTACCAGATTAAAACATTGTAAATCAGTTTCAAGGAAAATATCAAAATTCAATGTTAGAAACATATTTCTTGACCAAAATGGGGTTTTTCAGGAGTTGTTGATTTTCTTCAGAATTATATGTTCAAAACTGGTAAAACGGCACAAAAATATCACGTGTTTATCCAAATGTTAGTGTTTCTCTTCAGTAATTAGCTCTTTTTCTGAAAGATGGGGGACCCATTTAACTTTTGCTCCACAGATTCCTACAAGTTGGTTGGGATTTAATTTGATACACTGGTTAGTTTTAGCATAGAACTAACAAAGAGCAACACTGCATGTATTCCTGAAGCAATGTACCAGACAGGCTGCAGCTTGGTTGCCATGCAGAGCGTGGGAGGGTGCAGGTAGAGAGGGAATAAAGTTAAATTATTGAAGCTTCAATGGACCACACGGATACAGGACAATAAAAAGCTCAGGAAACCACATCAGCTGAAAAGAACAAGACTGGCTGTATCATGGGGAAACAACATTATGTGGAAATACTGATGACTCCAGGCATACCATGGGATTAGTGGCTCATAGGAAACAAGGTCAGTGGATGGAGAAAAAGACGACCTTCAATACTAAATTAGTTGCATAAATGCTGTAGGGAGGAATGGGCCAACATTTTTATCAATCTATTTTAAAAAAAATAATGAAATCAAAATGTTTGACCCGAGTTGCATCATTTAAGAAAATTGTGCCAAATGATAAAGAAATTTATGCCAACTTCAAACTGAAAATAAACTCAGAAGTTTGTTTGGCCTAGACAAGCCTTCTATGTTGAAATGAAAAGTGACAAGCAACTAATAAATAACTTCCACTGCTGTTTTCCCTTTCAACCTTCAGCTGAGTCAATTCGACAACGTGGCCAGGAATGACATCAATGAGGAAACATGCTGCTGTTTTTCACCACCTTCAGCAACAACATGCTGCAGACAGAATAAACATGTCTCTGTTAACTCTGCATTCTATTCTGTCTACATGAGGAACATTCTTTACTCTTTAGGTCAACCAGTGAACTCACTCACTATTTCATTAACTAATTATGAGTTAAACAGCATGACTCAAGATAACATGTATATAATAATTCACAGCAAAATATGAGAGAATCTTTCCAATCTGGAGACCTCATGAAGGTGGAAGGATTATATAACACCAAGACCAAGACTATGTGTTTTAGTAATTAAAGTTTGCTCAAGTGCAAATATAAAATTCTATATATTCTCATGAACAACAAAAATGCATTAAATCCTATTGATTAGACTGAGTATGTCCAACAGTCTAATTGTATTCTCAGATAAATTGAGGAAAGTCTAAAAAGGACTGGATCTGTCTGTGTTGTGCAGAATTGCATATTTTTTGCTTGATTAAGCAATTCTTCAACTTCAAGTTATTGTCTTCTTTGCTTTCAGTGACTCAGCTTTTTGTTTTAAGAAGAAGAAATCAATAATTATTGCTGTTCCAAAGGCTATCTGAAGTATTGAAATTTCTTGAAGTTCTAAATTATTCTTGAGGATTGTGAACTTTTTTAACCTCAGATTTCAAATTTTTCCATCCATCCTACCTAATCCTTTCAGGGTCATCAGGAAACAGGTCCTTATCTTCAATGTTCACCAGGCAAGAGGCTGGATACCCAGAATTATGAAAGGGTGACACAAAGAGAAGACATTCTAAAGTGACCAATTAACTTAAAAGTCATGTTATTGAACTGGAGATGTCAGAGTCCCCAGAAGGGACCCACTCATGCAAAAATAAATTATGCAAACATTGTGCAGAAAGATCCTAAACTGGGATTCAGTCCCAGAAATTTATAAGACAACATTGCTAATGTCTGTGCCACCATGAAGTCTATGCTTCTTTTATCTGCTCAAGACAGCAGATAAATCATTTACTAGGATTTTTTGTTCTTCATGGTATGCCAGTATTGTGAAAAACCTCATAATCTAACCTAAAATGTCTAAAAAAGATGTTAAAAATCTGGAACACAGTGACCTCCGACCTGGAACGGGATTAAATATTTAACACAGCTTAGCTTTATTTGCTTTGTCAGAAGCTCTAGAAGACACAGGTGCAATCATCTGGATCAATGATTATCTGACAAAGATTTTGTCAGTTTGTGACACTGAAGGTTTTTGAGGCTAATCAAGCTGTTGTGGAGCACAAGAGCACCACAATGGGATGTACTTTCACCATAGTTTTTCCCACTTTGTACACCTCTGATTTACAAAGCAAGAAAGCACCTTCATCTGATGGGGACACAGCATCAGAACCAGGGACATAAAAACCAAACAACCTGATAAACAACCTACAACAGATAAACTTCTGTTGTAGGGACTAATTTTATCTGGAAAGAACAGTGCAAAGAAGGATGCTTCTGAAAATGAAGAACATTACAAACAACCCTGAGCATCCTCTTTATTGGACAGTCAGTGTTTTTAGCCAGAAGTCTTTTCAGGTCTTGAAGACACAACTTTACAGGAGATCCCTCCTCCCGTACAGCCATCAGCCTCTACATCAACTCTTTGAAGAGTGGATAATATGGATAATATGTTCAGCAATATTTAATTTCCCCTTAGGACTAATAAAAATATTTTTGAGTTAGACTGAATAGAACAAATGCAGAGAATAAAATGCTTTTGGCAAACTAGAACAAATCCAAGAACTGCACCCACTGCACAGGTAGACTGTTGTAGAATTGAAAGTACACAGAGACAAATCTGAACTTTCTGGTACAAAAGATATGTAATGTATAGCTGAAGTTTTCTGTTGGAGCTAGCTTTAAAATGGTGGTTTGTATCTTTTACAAACCAGTCTGAAAAGAATGGAATAGTCCCCCTTATCTAATTGGTTTTCAAAAATTTAAATTTAATAGCAAATGCTGTGAAACAAATGCTGAATATAAATGTTTGTCCACAAAAATCTATTCTGGGGACATTCTGTGGCACCTCCCTCCAGGATTGACCTCATAAACTTAAACACTTAGTGATCTCTCGCTGCTGTGCGACATTGATTTCATAGATCAATAAGCTCATTGAGTTCAGGGTACACCACAATCAATGTACAGAGTGTTAGACAGACTTAACGTGTTGTTTCATCATTGAATGATTCTGTTGATTTAAATGTAAATTGCACTTTCTCTGTAGAAATTTCTGACACTTTGAAAGGTCATGCATAAACAAAGACGCCTTATCATTTTCTGGTGTTTGCACATGCAGATGGAAAGCTGCAGGTGTTTTTTTTTTCTTTTCCACAGAGATTTTGCAAATGTTGCAAACTCTTTGGTAGGATTATACTAATAACATTCAATATCATTTAGCCTGAGACAACTGGTTTATATCGGAAGATATGGGAATAATAAAATTTTGAGGTATTCTGTGGAAACTTTAGTACTATCTCTTGATAATGCCTGAAATAAAGACCTCTGCTAATCAGGGAAAACCAAACAAAAGCAAATATCACATTATTATTTTTTTCAGTTTAAATAGATAAAACTGCCATTAAGTGGAGAATATGAATACATATTAGTTCATAAGTGGGCATCATACTGAATCAACGTTGATGATCTCTCTTATCTGCCGTTTCCCTTAAGCTTGCATTAATCTGATTTTCTACTGCCATCTGCTGGATGAAATCTTCTCTCGCAGTCATGGTAAGATTTGTACATTTAAATTTGAATAGTTGTCTGTTTTGTAAAAACTTATGAATCCTTTTAGGAATTAAAGTCAAAAATGTATTCACTTACCAATTCAATGCATCTTTTTCTTTCAATTTGAAGGCTGTCAATTCTGAGTAAAAGCTGCACTGCAGATAAATTGAGAATAAAAAGCATTTCAAGCAACGGAATTAAAATAAAAGTAAAGGAAAGTCCTTTTAAGGAATTTTGTAAGCTGATTAAGCAGCTTTTGTATTGAATAATAATTTGTTGTAATTATTCAATAATTTGGTTTGGTTGTATATACATTTATGGGAATGCACAGCTTGGCACAAAAAAAATAAAATGATTGAATTTCCTAAATAAAGAGAAAGAAAATAGGCTAAAACATCAGAAACCAAACATAAGATGAAACAAAGAGAAGCTCCATAAAAGTGGCAAGCAAGTAAAACTTTCTGGAGTGCAATAAGCTTCATACAGTAATTTGGTTTTCCAATAGGGGGTACAAGTGGGTTAGCAATGGAACAGTTGCATTTACCTTTCCAGTAAAATTACAGCAGTGCAACATTTTCCTGCAACCTAACAGAAAGCCAGTCAGATGGTTTGAAGAGTTTCTGTTTTAAAATTTTGCTAAGAATTTTCAATTGGATTTGTGTTATGGCCGTTTTGTCATATGAACCTGTATGTTAAGGGCTTTTATCCTGCAGGAATGCAGATCTCCTCCTCAGTGTCAAGCCAGTTCCAGCCTCTAATAGATGTTCTTCCAGGTCTGGTCTCACGCTGCTGTCTTGCATTCTGTGTAATTGCGCTCACCCGATTATGGTGTCGGTATCAATCTCTTCAGTTAAATACTCGTCAGTCTCAGTTTCAAGCATTGTTTGTTTCTGTTTCCAGCTCAGCATGGTTCTCTGCTGATTGTTTTATGTTTCTCTGCAGTTCTTACTGCTTTGTGCCCTCCTTCCTGTGTTAGAGTCCTTCTGCATGCAATTCTCACTTTATTTTTGGAAAGAACAATTAGAGAAAATGTGCCAACATTCTACATTTTTGTTAAATTTTGGTTCTATTTCATTTGAACATATGGACATTTAAATGCATATCTCTAGGTCTGTGAGAGTATTTGTTTGTGTTCAAATATAATAAAACAGATAGTAAAGTAGAAAGTACTTTGTTCCTGAACTACAGCACACAAATCTCAGTTGAAGGTTTTATGGGTCATCCAGTAATAAACTCTTTGGGAAGTTTCCAAATAACTTTTTCAGCAAATTCAGACTTTTGAATTTTTATTTACTTGTTTAGTTTTTAAACAATAATTTGTAATGAGCTGCAGAATTTTGTTGTTGATCTTTCAACTTGCAGGCAGCTCAGTGTCTATGTAGACGTGCACATAAAAATAAACAGTCATGTACCAGAACACAAATCGATACATGGCAGCATCATGAACTACTGTGCCACTGTGTTGTAATTTAACAGTATGAAGTCCAAAGTTACAATTAGCTGAATATATTGATGTTTCCTGTAAGAAGAGCTAATAGCTCAGCATCTCTTTCTGCTGAGTCGCTTCTGATTAACTCCAAATACTATCTAACAAAGTTGAAAAAAAGCAAAGCAACACTTTTTTTTAATCAGTCCAGGAAATTTTGTTTGAGAAACTCCCTGATTTTAAAGGTGCTTCAAATGACTCAAGTTGGTTTGGTTAGATAATTCACTTTTACTCCCATGTGTGCAAGCTGTTTTTGTCTTTGCTTTATTCAGTCACACATCTCTGGAAAAAATAGTTTTTTAAGTTTAATCTTGTTCATTTGGTTTTATTTCTCATATAAATGTTTGTGAATTAACTATAACTAAACATTCCTTTAATAAAAAATCTGCACAGAGCAGTAATAAACATTTGTGTTCTTTGTAAAAGAAAAAATAATATGATAAGATAAGATGTAACAAAACATGTTACAAGCAACAAAGGAAATGTAAAAAATCTTAATGCATGTTTCTTTTGGTAATTTTTGTCTGAGCAAAACAACAACTGTTCCAAATGGTGGCAGAGAGGGTATTTGACATATTTATGTTTTTATTTTGGATGTCTCAATGGGTATATTTCTGTATTTTTTTTACGTAGAGCTATTTCACATGTGTGAAATAGTATATTATGTCAATTTTTTAATGAACACAATATACAATGTACTGCATGTAGTACATTTTTGTACCATAACAGAATTCTTTGACTTATATAACTAAATGTTAATGTTTACTCACATGGTGTATGTGTACCTTTGACTTTCTAAGCACAAAATGGGAAAAATGTATTTTTGAAGAGCCAATTTAATTTGTTTCTGATCATGTTCATGAAAAAAAATCTGAAAGCACTTACAAAACAAGTCAAATTTACACAGAGCAAATATTTATTATTATTTCAAATGCTTTAACAAGAAAACTGATCACCATACACAGTGTCTGCTTAAAAAGCTGAGCTGTGTAGTGATTCATTTCTATACATGTCCACAGTAAACAAAAGATAGGCATTTTGTGACACAACTCTGGTTTTTATTCCAAATGTATTCTAATGATGTAATAAATAAATATAAAAAAGATTAACCCAAAGAGTGTGATTGTTTTCACCAGTCCGCTGATGTACCTGTTCAAGACTCACTGACAATTTCTTCAACATGGTCTCAGTCCAGGTGCATTGAAACTTGAGCTGCAGACTTCCTTCCTCCCGGGATTACTTACTAAACATGCCCTCAGGTCATACCAGCATGCTGGCCAATAAGCTTGTTGATTGTAATCTGTGCTGGGGGATGCTGGTGTGTAGGTATATTGTGCTTTGGCATCAATTTTCAAATCAAAGCCAGTGCCTCAGAGGCAGTCTTTTTGAGTAAATGTACAAACATCTTTGTGTGTTTGAGAGTTCCTTTGGCTTGCCTCTGTATGTGCTCTTGCCCATGCATATGTGACTGCTTAGGCATGTGTGTGGTCTTCGTAATATGAGGATTTTCTTCCCCCCGTGGTGATGGATGTACAGATCACTTTCAAAGAGCAAAGATTTGCTTCCCCCAGTGAACAAATCATTCCCAGCAGAGAGTAGGCCATCAGTGAAAGCAGAGCTTTTCAAACACATTAAAAGCCCTCATGTGTTTTTAAAGCCGTGCTGAGAATAGAAGTGTAATACAAAGACTCTCTATATGCTTTATCCGTAGAAATTAAAAAGCAGCTAAATTTCCAATGTATGATGATTAACTTTGAAAAAAAAAAAACATCTTTGGAAGTATTTACAACCAACAATTGGTAACAGAAATCTTGTAAAACAAAATATTTTAATAAAAGCAGTTGACGCATCACTTGAAGGCAAAAATAGATGTTTACTTCTTTGTCACAGTGCATGCTATTTACTCCTTGTAGCCTATTGATATCTGTCTCTGAAGTCAATTAAATTGTTGTTGCCCTGATTTGACTTATTCATATTTTCCTTTTCTAATAAAGGTTGTTGACGTCAATGTAAAAACCACTGATGTTGAAATCAGCACACATGAGGCTTCTGTTAGAGTTTCCTGCAGTTTGGAAATTTTGTTCTTTATTTGTTCCCTAAATATTACTATATCTGTAAGAAAATCTGCTATTTGCTGTTGTATAAAACACAAGGTCTTGTAAAAAAAATATAAAATGCGTTTTTACTGAAGAGAAATATCATGTTACAAGGCCTAAAATAAAACATAAAACTTGACTATAAAAACTGCACAGCCAAACTTAGGTTTCACACTGTCCACATTCAGCTTGCTAAAATGTGGGCTAAATGGACCAACGCTGCATCCAGGGTTAATAACTGTGGGATTGGTATCTAATGTTTACTTTAGGATTCAGTTTGCAGTACTATTAAAACTGAGAACTGTGTGTCTTAACTAGGGTAACGACTGATCTCTGGAAAGAATTGCAACTGCCACCATTATTTTGCTAAGGAAAAAAAAAAGTTCTGGTTGCTTGAGTTTGATTTTATGACACAATTCCTCAAATCCATGTTTCCATTGTCCATACAAGCTCAGATATGCACTGGTATTTTGTTAAATGTTGCCTTGCAGGTTGTTTGTTGATCACATGAGTGATTATATCCACAATCAAGTTTTTGATTTTGTTACAAAGGATTTAGACTAAAATAAGAAAAGTGAAGAGTCTGACCATCTCCCCTGCTTGACATACTTTTTATGTCTATGGCTGCGGCAACAGAGGTGGGAGTTTGTAACTGGTGCGTTGCTGAGTTGGATCCCTGCTCTGTCTGTCACATGCCTTGCCTTTTGGTGGCGGTCAGGGGCCTGGTGGCATCGGTGCAGCCTCACTTTGGTTAGACTGTCCAAAAGTAGCTGTGGCTTCAATGTAGTTTAAACCATTAGCATTCGAATGTGTGAATGATTGAATGAAGGGCATTGAAGTCCTGTGGCATAGATAAAGTGCTGTACACAGGTCAGTTATTATTACCTCAACACAAATCTAAACATTTGGGAATATTAGTTGGATGCATTGCATGGCATCAGATATGTTGGTGTAAATATAAACTCATTTAGTGGTTTTGCTAACTTTTCTTTGGAACTTTACAACAGGATGTTGGTTTTGTCATAAAAGTCTTTCTCCATCAAATGGCCTGTACTTGTTGATCTTATTGTTTTGCTCTAATGATATTACTAAAATTGTGCAAAAGGTCAAAGCTTCGTTCTTTTTCCATTATTTCAGCCTGAAAGCAATCGAAGGGAGATTTCACAAACCGTCCCTTTCCCTGTGAGTGCCTCTCTTTCCCCCACTCCGTGTGTGATCAGCTCAGTGCTGCCGACTGTGTTGGACTCGGGAGCGTCTGTCCGACCTGACGCACTCTTGTACCAAAGCGCAGCTGTCACCATTACTTCATGCTTATTGGCCCAATACCGAGAGAGGCAGAGGCTGAGCAAAGGCAAACAACGGGGGAGAGAGAAAGAGCCGGACCCCTGCGCTCTGCTCCATCGATCTGCAGAGGTGCACCGAGGATCCTCTGTCGGACGCTGGTGACGGATTTCTGAGTTTTTGGATTTTCTGGAATGCCAAAGGTGGATCCTGTGTTTGGAACATGATGCTGCTGGGAAATTTGGTACGGTAAGACTGTCACAGTGTTGTGTTTGGTTCCCATATCGCTGTGTTTTAGTTCTCATGTGCATGTCCGAAGGTTTCCCAGCTCCCCCTACAAAACCCCTCAAAACAGAGATAGCGCTGTTGGAGAACTGACATATCGACCTGCCTGCTATTTACTGCCTCACATCAGCCCAAGCAGAAACATTTTCAGGCTTTGCTTCAGCAGAAGGGGCAAATTACATAACCCCTCTTTGGATGAATATAAATTATGGAGCAGGCATGACTGGCTGCTGTTGTTCTGACTCAAACTGAGCAAGATATGTGACGGTGATGGATTGCTTCAGTGTTGCTTAATGTCAGCAACTACCCAGATGTGTTTACCTGGGGGAGTGAAAGGTAAACACAAGCTGTAGGTTAATGGTTAGACTGTGGATGACCTCCTTTCCGTGTACCACAGCGTGGGTTTGATCCGGATGAAACATTTAATTCATATTATTTATGCAGTAATTGTAATAATAATTAACAAGCAACATAACTGTATGTGTCATCAAAAAGGTTTTATGGCCTTTTAAAATGAAACAGGTATAGAAGTTCACTTTTTAATTGCTTTGTGGTTGTTTTTTTTTCCATTTATTTTATAAATTTGTTTTTTTATTTATGTATTTAAAAGGATGTAGCATATATTAATTGTACCATCTATATCTTAAATTCCTTTTCATCAGTCAGCCTACAAGATTCACAAACTTTTTATGCAATAGGATCACAATATCAATTAAGTCTTGAGATGCTTTTTGGTAATTAAAATAAATAATGATGATGATGACGGTGAAGCATAGCAATAACCATAAAAAGATACTCAATTCAAATAAACTCGATTCAAACTTCATTGTACACACAGTATTCTGCTCCATGGTAGGTATAAAAAGTGGAAAAGACACATGGTACATATTGGCTGTTGATTATGCCAGAGCTGTCTTTATGTGGCCTATACTTGTGTAGCGCTTTATAAAGTCCAGAGGACCCCACAGCCTTTTCACACTACATTCAGTCACACTACATTCATACGCACACATGCACACAGATGGTGATAAGCTACTGCATTATAGCCACAGCTGCCCTGGGGCAGCCTGACAGATGTGTGCATTTGTCTGTTTAGTTGAATTTCTGTTTGTGAGTCAGAAGTTGTGAAATGTTGAAACCAATGATTAAAAACAATGATTTTCACAAGTGTCGCCTCTATAACTACCTAGTACAACTGTTGCTTGAGGCATTCTAAGTTGTGCAACAAAACTTGGATTTTTCAGCAATGCTGACCTAAAAATCCAACACAAAAACATGTGTTGATATCTACATCAAAAACTGTTCACACATACCACACAGTACAATGTACTCCAGTAATCACATTGTTAGAGTTTTTTAATTCATAAAAGGCAATTGAAATGTACTGTTTTAATCTGTTTTGCTTATTATAGTTAGTCTGGTCACTGATCAGAAAATTACTTACAAATCCTACAGGTTTTTCAACTTGAACCAAGAACACAGATAAGCGTGTTCTCATTTATTATGTTGTCCACTTCAGTTTTTGCTGAGAGTTTTGAATGTTTTTCTACTCCCCTTTTCTTTTGGGTATTTTCTGATAAAGAAAAGACCAGTGCTCTTTAATAGATTTGTTGGTTGCATCACAGTTTATTTGTTTTTAATTACATAGTACAAGTGGTACTTGTACTTGTCCCATTGCTTGAGAACAATGGATTTAAAGAAAGTCAGGGTTCTGTAATGGAAAAGGATCATGGTTCATAATAAAATAAATGTTCTTGCCCAATAGGATTTTAGTTGGAAGCCTCCTGGAGATGCATCTGCAACACATTTTCCAGGAAAATGTGTTCAAGCTGTGATTCTGCATCACTGAATCTGTAACTGTATCATTGTGTCTTGGTTCCTGAGCTGAGAGTGTTCATTGTGTCCAGCATGTTGCTGGACCACTGGACTGATTCATCCAGTTTTTTAATACAGATAATGTGAGTACCAAGTTGTCGCTTCTGCAAATCTGAACTTGCTCAGTTACTATGTCAGCATCACTGACTGCAAAGGAGAAGTTGAGGTGTTTAAGATCTCTCTGAAAACTGATCCAAACACACTTTACAAATAGCCTGTTTTACAAGTTTGCAAGATCAAAATCTCATTTAGTGAGACCTTGCACTGTTCACATCACACAAAGCAAATTATGGCCATGTTGCAGGCCAGGAGTTCAATCGGTAGTTCAAGTTGGGTTGAGAACATTTGCAAAAGTCAAAACTTTAGAGCAATTGTAAAAAAACAAAACAAATCTCAGCTTGCATGAGGAAGTTCCTTTCAAAAACTTGGTCGAAACAACACAAACACAAATATCTGATAATTTTAGTAAAAATTGATAATAAACTATAATCATGCTAATTTTGGCGCAAAAAACTTGTTACACTAAGATTTGTACTGTTTGATGTAAAAATCAAACAGTAATGTAAGTATGTAAGTCAGACCAAATTTGGAATATATTTTGTTTTTCCTATCAAATCTAATGCCTTCAAAGGAATGTAGAACTTCATAATCCTCACAATTTGTCCAAGTAATTCCCATTTAAGAAAAACTTCCAGAAATCATTATGCAACTGTGCCACTACTCACACAATAACAGGCATAATGATGAAGAAATAATGTCATCAACCTGTATAGAATAACGTAGACTGAAAAAAATATAATAATTTGTGTTTCCTGCAGATTGTGTTGGTGTTCTGTCTTTGGGGAACGGATGTCAGTAGAGCTCACATATTTGAAGCCACACGACCTGGAGATGGAGACAACATATCGCCTGTCACTAAACGTAAGAACCAAAGTTATCCTCTCACTCCCTCTATCTTCAAGATTATATTTTTATTAACCGGATTTTTGATTTGATATTTTTAATCTTATCACAGTACAACTAATTTCAGTTCTCTTACCAATTCACTAAAAGCATGCTGCACTTGGTTTTTGAGCAGATGCTATTCATTTATTTTATGCTATTCATTTATTGTAAGCTGTTGTGCTCATTGCTCAGCAAAAGGAACAAAGTAAAAACATCACTCATGGATATTTGAAAATTACTTGAGTAAATAGTTCAGATGAGCTAACACAATTTTGTGATGGCTAGAATGGCAGCTGTTGTTTTTTCATTCTGGGTTTCTATCCCCTATAGTTGTATCAGAGTGGGTCAGCACAGCAGGATCCTGTAAAGGGAGGTGCTTTGAGTTGGAGGTGGCAGATCCTCCGGGATGCAGATGTGACAATCTGTGTAAAACTTACCTCAGCTGCTGCTCAGACTTCGATGCTCATTGCCTTAAAACAGGTCTGTATTACCCAGAATTACACGTCCACTCTGACCCCTTCTTGTTATTTTTGCCTAATCCAAAGATACACTGACCAGCCACTTTATTAGGTACAGCTATGTGTAGAAATAGTACAGAAAACAATACATTTTGAATTAAGGTAGTCAAAATAACATTTCTAAACACAACACAATGTACCTTGAAACAGATGGGCTAGAACAGCATTAGATCACACTGGTAGCTGCACCTATCAGTTAAGAACATGAAACTACAGCCACTAATCATGCTGGCTCCACAAACTTTTACAATAACAAAAATGATCAATATTTTGTAGCCTAAAAATCTGAAATTCAGCTCCAACACCTTCGGAAATGTCAGAATTCGACATAACCAGCATAAATGTATGGATCCATCCTGACTTGAACAAGTATTTTTGGCTTGTGGCGGTGCTGCAATATTGACATAAAATTTTAATCTGATGCAACCAGTAGCGGAGGTCTCTTTTTTTCCCCTTTAACAAAAAAACATTGGTTCATTGGGTCAAATTTTCACCATGTAACCTATTTGCACTCTATTTTGGAATCATTACAGCCAATAAAGCAGAGGTAGGTGTTTATAATAAGACAGCTGAATGATGAATGATGATTAATTTGGCTTCTTCTCTTAGCGGGGGGGTTTGAGTGTACATCTGATCGCTGTGGGGAGGAGAGGAATGAAGACCATGCCTGCCACTGTTCTGATGATTGCTTAGAAAAAGGAGACTGCTGTTCTAATTACAAATCCACATGCCAAGGTACATATACTTAAAATTTTTGCTCGTAAAACAGGATTTCATTTATTACTGATTCCGAGCAATTGAAAACTTTTGCTTGTCATTTCTTTCAGATGAGACTTCATGGTTGGAGGACAGCTGCGAAGAGATCAAGCGTCCTGAATGTCCTGCAGGGTAAAATTCATATGCTGAATATATTACACTGAACAGGTCAGGAGATTTTGACCTTGTCGGAAAGTTTTCTTCTATAAGTGCTAACGATGTTGGGTTCACTGAGACAACAATGTTATTTAAATACAAGGAAAATATTTGTAGTTTATAAAGTTTCTGAAAACTATTGTACTGACTTAAATGCAATGGGTGTGGTATAATGATTGGGGTTTGGAGTTGGTTTAAAAATGCCTTTGTCATCTGGGCAGCACACATGAACATCAAATTAAATAAATAGGTATGCTAAGCAATCTGAAAAGTAATTTTAAAAACATCTTTCTTTTATTTGGGCGACTGATAGGCTACAACACGCAGCATTAATGGAGAGATACTCAGTTCAAATATACTCAGTTCTAAGCTGGTTAAGAAGAGGACAAAAATAATTGCTTGCATTCAAAGCAAATCTTAAAAATAAAAGCTATCCCTACTCTTTGGTCAGATTTCCACAGGAAGCTAAAATAAGAATAGATAAGAAGAAAAAAATCGTCCATAAGAAGGTTTTGAGGCAAAGACCACTGATGAGCAAAGTAACACAAAGAGCCAACACACACAAATTATCTTGTTGACATTTGCAAACGGCAATTTTTTTTCTATTGTGTCCTACAAGAAAGCAGTGTGTTCAAGATGAGGCCTGAAAGAAAAATTGCCATTTTTAATTTTATTTTTTTTTTGTACTTTACAGTTTTGTCCGTCCTCCTCTCATCATGCTGTCTGTTGATGGGTTCAGAGCCTCCTACCTGAAGAAGAGCAAATTTATCATCCCTAACTTACATAAACTCAGTATGCTTCTATTTTTTGTTTCTGCATGTTTCTGGAAAAGAAAATGTGTCTTTGTTTTAATTTTCCATATTGGGAACAACTGTTTTGTAGAATTGGTTTTTCAAAGCAAATCATTTGTTTTGTTTTAGGATCATGTGGTGTGTCGCCTCCATACATGCGACCCGTCTATCCATCAAAGACATTTCCAAATTTATACACCCTAGCCACAGTAAGCGATGTTCCATAATACTAAGTAAATTGCTTGAATTTTATTCTTGCGGAATGGATACTAAATCTAGTCTGTTAATGAATACCTTCATGTTTTAAAGCTAAGTACAAACACAGTGCATGTTTGTTTCCGTTCAGTTTACTTTTATGGTCTGTTCATGTTGTGACATTAGTACAGGCCTGATTTCTGCCTGCACTCACATAACACTGTGGGGTTTATCTGCAGGGTCTGTACCCAGAGTCCCATGGAATTGTGGGAAACACCATGCATGACCCAGTGTTCAATGCCACCTTCAGCCTACGCACAAGAGAAAAATTAAACCATCGCTGGTGGGGCGGACAGCCAGTGAGTACAGTTCACATACTAGTTAGTTTGCTTCAGGCAAAGTGCTGCCCAAATATCTCCACGTCAACAATAATGATATGTGGATTTATTACACCACAGACAATTAAGATGAAAGCACATTGTTATCATCCACATCCAGAAGATGGATGGGATCACCATGAACATTGAACATTCACCTTGAAGAATTTTCAACTTCTTGAACATTCTTGAACATTGAAGAATGATTTTTATCTAGGCTCCAAATGTAGAGAAAAAATATTAGTGCATCACTGAAAGATGGGTCAGCCACTTTGGGGATGATGCATCATGACCTCGATCTCCTTTATTGTCATCGGTATTGTAGAAAGAGTTCAGGGGCAAAGTGTTTTAAACCGGACTCTGACTGATCTTATGTTTGTAGGTGACAGTGCAGTTTTTGCAACGATGAAGATGAAGACTACTGATGTTGTACATATTTCAGCAGATGCCTCTTTGGGCGGAAGAGTCTGCCCGATCAGTGCAAACCTGACAAAAGTGCTAACAATGTTGGGTTCACCAGTTGGGTGATTTATCAGTCACCAGATTCTCCAAATAGTGATTGCATCTGTTTTGCAGATCTGGATTACAGCAGAGAAACAAGGAGTGAAAGCAGGGACTTTCTTCTGGCCATGGTACATTAATACAAAATGTTTTTGAATTGTTTTAAAAATCACTGTTTTTATACTGTTTTCCTTAAATAGTTTAACTTCTTCAGTCTGTTGTTTTTCTTCCAGGGTGATTCCTCTTGAAAGAAGGATTTTGACGATTCTCCGTTGGCTGACACTTTCAGATGAAGTGAGGTATTTTCAACTCTTCTTCAAAAGTTTGTGTAATTGAGTTTCCTGTTACAATATATTTTTTTTCATTTTCAAATTATAGTTACAAAAGCCTCATATTTATGATAATTGATAGTTGTCTTATTTGCCGCTTCCTTAAACTTTAAGCATTGCAATCTGAACAACAAAAGCAAAAAATAAAACTAGTATTTCTAGAAGCAGAAAGATGTACCTCTTTTAAACCTCTTCAAAAATCAAGGTTGCTTGACATCAAGCATTCCTTACAGTTAAGTATGAGGAAAAGCTGAATGACTTTCGAGTGTTTTTGGTTTTGGGTGCCACAACAAAAACTAGTTCTAGCCCAACATTTCTTTGTAATTTAGCATTGAAAGTCCTCTTAAAAATCAATAAGGGATGATAAATTACATGAAATCAGTTAGGAGAGGAGAAAGAAACTCGGGCTTGTCTGGTAAAGGACTCTCTTGTCTTATTGAACTTTAAATGGCCTCATATCAAAGACAATTTCCAATTAAACAAAATGAGTAATTGTGTTACTCTTTAGGCCCTATGTTTATGCAGTCCACTCAGAGCAGCCAGATACCTTTGGCCATCGCCTTGGACCACTCAGCAGTGAGGTACGAAAGGAAGATCCAGATAGTGTCTCTGAAATAAGTGGTATAATTAATTTTTCTCAAATGGTTTAATCATGTTTTTGGTCCTCAGCTGGACAACCCTTTGAGGGAAATTGACAACATCATTGGTCAGCTAATGAATGGACTGAAGCAGATGAATCTGCACCGATGTGTCAATGTCATCATTGTAGGCGATCACGGTACACCCTGACTTCCTTCTGATTTTGTTGTTATTGTTTATAAGCGGACATAACACAAATTAAATTTGATTGTTCATTTCAAAAAAATTACGAGAGACTTTAATTAGATTTCTTAAATCTAAGAAGTAAAGAAATTTCTCAGTTTATTATCTTATTTGTAATTAACTTGGGATGATTGATCAGTAACAACAAATACATGTGACATAATGTTTGTGACAGGTATGGAAGAGGCCCACTGTGACAGGACAGAGTTTCTCAGCAACTATCCCCTAAATCTCGATGATATCATGCTCATCCCTGGCTCCATTGGTAGAATTCGCCCCCGTGATCCTAAATCCACCACATGTAAGATGAGAATGAGTGGAAATAAGTATATGCGTGAATTTTTAAAAAAAAAAAAGTTAGTCTTCATCATCCCTGATTTTTCTTTTCTTTTTTTTCCAGATGACCCAAAGGTTGTGGTTGGAAACCTTACTGTAAGCATCTGTGACTGGCCACAATAAAACCAGGAGCAAGTCTCCCGCGGGGCATTTGCAGATTCTGGAAATCTGTCAATTTTAAGCTTTCTAATGATGTAAACCACATATAAATAAAAACATAAGAGGATATAGCCATTTGAATGTTGGTACTCTACTAAAAATATGAGGGAATAAGCAGCCATCTGAGTTTTCAAAAAACCTCAAACTTGATGAGCTTGTTCCTGGTTTTGCATCACATATTGAATGAAAGGATGGTGCATTTGAACTTGTTTTTATAAGTTCAAGATGTTCAACAGAATGCTTTCTGTTTCAGTGTAAAATGCCTACTCAGCACTTTAGACCATACCTGAAGCACCATTTACCCAAGAGGCTTCACTACGCCAACAACCGCAGGATCGAGGATGTCCAGCTTTTGATGGAGAGGAAATGGCACATTGCTAAGTAACCTGACACAAAGTTATACTGCAATGTAGGAAGATATTAAAGCTCCAAAAACTGGAGACTTTGTGCCAGGTTTAGCATTTGAATCAAAGATCTTGTAACATCTATTAAATACTAAGTTTCACTCTGTGTTCTCTGTAAATGTAAATAAATTTGTTTTGCTCTATGGCACTGATTTTTAGTACAGAAAAAAAAATGTTTTTCAGGAAACTGCCAGAAAAACCAAGATCTCGGTGCGGTTTCTTTGGTGACCATGGATTTGACAACAAGATAACAAGCATGAGGGTAATGAAGTTTTATACTTTTTCTCCAATTTACACAGTGCTCATAAAGATGTCAGGTAAATTTTTTGACCATTTGAAGAAATGAAGTCACAGGTCACTGTGAGAGGAATGGCAGAATTGGAGAGAAATTGGCCTAGAAATTCAGTGTGTGGCTGTGAAGCTCAGATTAAAACTGTAGATCTACATAAAACCAAATAAATCATATTTCACAATTTTGAGGAGTGTACTTTTGTGATTTATTCTTTCTCTCCTTGTGTGCAGACAATCTTTATTGGCCATGGACCAAGTTTCAAATTCCAGAAACGTGTGCCAGAGTTTGACAATATAGAGCTATACAACGTCATGTGTGGTAAGAATAAATTTTCCTCTTAATAAAGAAGACTGAACTAGAGCTTAGATTGTAAAAACAGTTCAAGGTTTCATTACACTGTTACATTCAGTAACACACCAACTGAGGTGTTATTTTGATCTTTTCATTAATACTTTGTTAGGTACAGCAGTATATTCATTTCTGATTAGTTGACGTGTAGCACTTTAGAAAATATAAAAACATGACTCATAAATAATTTAGCATGATAATTATTTGATTCTTATCTTAGATTTAACAAGACACTTCTAGGAGAAACTTGTATTCCTAAATGTTAGCATCAGATGAATACTTTCCTCCACTTACCAAATCGTCTAGTCCTTGTATTTGTCTCTAATGACAGACTTGTTGGGGTTGAAGCCAGCTCCTAACAATGGAACACATGGTAGCCTAAATGACATGCTGAAGAATCCGCCATTCCTGCCCACCATGCCAGAGGAAGTCACACCTCCATCGCCGGCGTCTGACTCCAACCACGCAATGATTCAAGATCTGGGGTGCAGCTGTGAGGATGAGGTTAGAAGAGAAATTTGGAAAGAAAAGATAAAAGAATAAATAAATAAACAAGTAAAAAGCAGTCACAATTCAGGCAATCAGTACTGTTAAAATGAGTTTCCATTTGCCTGTTCGTTCCTTCCCCCTCCAGAACAAGGTGGAGGAGATGATTGAAACCTTTACCCCTGCACCAGATGGTGCCTACGGTTACAGTGAGTTTTCTGTCCTCTGCAAGTTCCACAAGAAATAGTCAAACTATTTCTTGTGGAACAGCTGAATGTATATATGTTCTGACAAACACTTATTGTCACAAAGCAAAGCAAAGCAAAAAATTAAAAAAATACGGGGATGTTTAAATTTAATCATGAATATCTAACAATATTTCCAACAAAAACTCCAGCTACATTGGTTAGAGATAAGAAAATAAATGTTTTCATACAATATAACTCATACTTGCTACCCTTTTAAACATATTTTTACGGTATTGAAATGATCTATGATTGCACTTATTGCTGTGTATCACCAGCATATGATCAATTCCGAAAATGACAATATTCCACCGCATGATAAGGAACAGAAAACATTCATGCTGTCGATTCCTTGCACAATGTTTGTGGATTTCTTGCACAACCTTTCATCAGCACATCTATGAAATCCTTCCCTGACTTGCTTTGATCTTGCAAAGTTTCAGGATGTCTTTGGATTGTTCAAAGGCTGTCAAGTCAAGGTGACTGAGACATGTTACACAAGAAATTGACCCCAGCATTACCTGAAAATACTGAAATAAATACTTAGTTAATAGAAGATAGAATGCATAAAAATGTGCTGGTGACTGGACTTTGTGCCCTGCCTCATGCAGTCAGTGAGTTACCCAGTTAGCCTCCAGGTTGCCCTGGAGGCTATGCCCCATGGCATAGACCGTAGAGTTAGTAGAGACTTGACTGTTGTTTCTTCTTTTATTCACCCCCAACACCACCTAAGGTATCAGGTGTTATTATTCTGATAATTAAGTGAACAAATTATGATTTATAAGTTAACCAAACATCTGTGATGTAATTTTATGTTTATATATTTGCAGACACCACCCATCTTCCATTTGGTCGCCCAGCAGTGATGTTCAATACACAATACAGTCTGCTTCATCATGTGGAATTTATCAGTGGATACAGCAAAGAGCTGGCCATGCCACTCTGGACAGCATACACACTACCCCGACAGGTACACGCACAAACATGCACACACATATTCCCACACACACACGCCAACGGTATTGAAACTCCATAGCACTCTGTGGCTCATTAAAGTGCTTTACAACCTTGGTTTACATTGCATGATGTGTGCAGATTGAAGCTATCAACAGAAGTTACTGATTAAAGTTTTGTGTCAGATTTCTGACCTATATAGCTTTAGCATGACAATTTAAACTGACTATAACTAAGTTGACAGTATTAAAAACATCTTTTACTCGTCTTCTAACTCTCATCAGTCATTCGTGTAATGGATCTGCTTCCTGCAGCTCTTAAGAACCTCCATAGTGTCATCATGAACTCCTACCACAGAGCGCAGACACACTGAACATGTGTTTCCCTCCTGTTTATACAGACGTGTTGCAGGTTTACAAGAAACATCTGCTCACTTCTTGGGCATGCTGAAATACACACTTTCACATACAAATGTCTCTAAAAAGACTCAGGCATAAATCCAGAAGTAACTGTTTGCTTTGCTACTTTCCTTGTCTGCTTTTAATATTCTTTCTGCTTCCCATCAATTTGGAAATGACTCCCTCTGTATTTCTCTCTCATACTTAGTGTCTTTTTTTTAACAGGAGGTTTTGACTCCCACACCGGACGTTTCTCCTTCTGTTAACTGTATCCGAGTTGACCCAAGAGTTTCTTCAGTTCACAGTCAGAGCTGCACAACCTACAAACAGAACAACCACCTCACGTTTGGCTTCCTCTTTCCTCCAGGTAAAACTCCATGTAATATGGTGCATACCCATTCGATTTTTCAACTCCTTCTTTGCAATTAAATGGGGTTATTTAACATGCAAGCATTCAATGAGCAACAATATATTAAAATATTCTAAAAATGTTTTATGTCAACAGAACTGGCAACGTCTCCAGAGTCAAGATATGATTCTTCGCTCATCACCAACACTGTTCCCATGTACCCCGCTTTCAAGAGTGAGTTAGTCTTAAAATGCGACTGTGAAAAATAAGTTTTAATGTAGCACTTTTGATTGCAGCAAGAAACTAAATGTGTTTATTGGTTACACGTGATATGCTTAGAATCTTACATAATTTCTAGGTTTAACAGCCTATGTAACCTATATAACTATGGAAGTTCTGTAAAAAAAAAAAAAGTTTAGAAGAGAAAACTGGGATTTTTCATGTTCTCCGTCATGTGTCTTGTAACGACTCTTCAAAATGGGAATGATAGAAGAACAATTCATCCAGGAATGGGTGTGAGTCTAAGGTAGGAAAAAACAACTAGGAAATTAATTAATTAATTGTCCAAAACCTGCCCATATCTACCAGCAGTGAAATCATTAAAAATGTAAAACTGGAACTGGGTCTAACAAGGCTGGATGAAAGCTCATTTTTAATTTTCCCCCATATACTGTATGCAAAACGCCTTTGGGATTTTAACTGTGTGCCTTTGGGCAGGTGATACTGAGATTGACATAAAATAAAGGCAGGGACTTTCAGGGAAGAACCCCATATTGATTTTTAGGTTCAGTGGACGTCAGTCTGTTATAATAAAATTAAAAATGATGTGGACATTTTTGCAATAATGATAATAATAAATAGAAAAAATTAAGAGATGTAGGCCTCTACCTAATTGTGTAACAGAGCAAATGCATGTATCAAATTCAGTGCAATTTGAATTGCTGAGTTTGACAAAAGAAATGTTGTCTTTCTTTTTTAAGGCATGGTGGGTTTAAGTCTCCTCCTTTCCTTTGCATCAGTGACATTCATTGGTGTCACATGAGGCAAAGGACAGAAAGGGGCTGACATCAGGTCTGAGTCAGGACATACTGATACCCATTGTTTATGAAGAGAGAGAGGACTTATCAGGACACAACACAGCCACTGTCTATGAATCACTGTCCAGTTCAGCCACAAATAATTTATTATAGACATTAGATCTGTTTGTGTGGAGGGGTGTGTTGATTCCATGTCAGGGCAGTAAAATGTTTTTGTTTTTTTTACCAGTCATTTAGGTGAGATTTAGTGGTGTCACATAAAATATAAAGAAAATTGGTGACATTAGGTCTGAGTGAGGGCAGGCTGATACCTGTTGTTTATGTGGGGAGAAAGCAGGTGTCAGACTAAACACTGACTGTTTTGGAAATCCTCCCTGATGCGCAGACAAATCATTTAAGACTGTCATCAGATCTGAGTGTGTGTTGGGTCAGTGGGTTGTAATGGTTTTAGATTTACACTGCAAAACTGTCCCATAATTTTAAATTTCAGTCCTTGAAGATCATTATATTGAATAAAGTGATGCTACTCTTTAAAATCAAATCAAATCAAATTTTATTTGTACAGCACATTTCAGCAGCAAGGCATTTCAAAGTGCTTTACCACTACTCTACCCACTTTGCTGAATTTAGAAAAAGCAGATTTTAATAAAATTCTTCTGTTCAATATGAAGTTTGATTTCTAAACACATGGTAAGTTGTTTTTGCTTTAATTTTTTTGTGTGTGTACAGGGATATGGAGCTACCTCCAGGGGACGCTGCTGAGGCGATACAGTGAAGAAAACAATGGTATTAATGTTCTTTCTGGGCCTATCTTCGACCATAACTACGATGGCCTTCGAGACACCACGGCGCAGATTAAAGAGTATGTTTTCACAGCAGCTCCTAAATGTACAAATGGAGTGGTGACTAAAACGACATAAAAGGGAGACAACATGCAGATTTTAACTGAATTGGCCAATTACAGTTAACCTTTAAATTTCTAAAAATACTTTCTCTATTTAATAACCTGTAAGATACTCATTGTTTTGAGACAATAGATTCAAAATTGATAGACAAAAAAGTCAAAATTTTACAACCAGTAAACTGACTTTGTGTTTGGGGTTTTTGTGTTTAAGATCTTCAGCGAACTCACCCCTCATTCCTACCCATTTCTACACGATTGTGACGAGCTGCCAGGAGATGAACCAGACGGTAGATGAGTGTGATGGAGCTCTCACGGTGTTTTCCTTCATCCTTCCTCACAGGCCAGACAACAGCGAGACCTGCAATGTAAGTTCAAAATGACACCAGGAGGTGGCAGCATTGCCCAGTGTACTACATGAGTTTGCTTTGCTTATTGACATGTTGAAATAAACAAAATCAACATGAATATTGCGCAAGTTTACCAAAATGTATTATATTGATATGAAATAAAGCCTTACTTAAAAATATTCTAAAAATGTTGTTCAAACAGTGGGAAATTCCATGGGTTTGTGCAGCTTTAGCAGAATTCAATGAGATCACTCAGATTCATATTAAATTAGCAGAAACTATGATTTATATGTTGATTAACTTGATGTTTGAGCCCAACAACTGCTATCCCTTTAATCCTCCCATGTAGCTCTTTGTGCAAAGCTAGTAGCGTTGTGGATTTATGTAACATTTTGTTCCTTTTGGAATCCAGGATAAAACTTTCCGCTTGTTTTTGTTTATGCAGACACTTCATTTTTATGCATGCTGACTGGCCTTTTATGCTGCCTTACATGTAGTACTGACACATTCTGCCAAACTCAAAAACTATTCTTAGCTCCACAAAAGCTGAATCTTCACAAAATATTTTCATTGACATTACAGGGTACATGACAAATGTTACTGAGTCCATGCCATGTGACGTAATAGTTTATGCTGACATCTGGAGGTCAGATTTAGTCACTTTTGACAGATGCATTATCAGCGTTTGCTGCCCATGGGGTAATATATCATGTGCTCTAAAAGTATCCCAACATGATTATCATATGAAAGAAACTGCACAGATAAGCTACATCTGGTACAAAAATTTCTCATTTCTTTTCAAGTTTCTCTGTCAAACAAGAAAAATAAATTATGGTCCAAATTGACTTTCTTTTATGTTAGTTTTTTGGTGCTGTTACTTGAGTGTGGTTAAATTCTATATCAACATGTTGCAAGGTCTGAATTGAATTGTTGTCAGATTATTCCATTTGAATCCAAAACAAATTTTCTTAGGCAATTGTCTGCATTAAGCCCGCATCATCTTCCCAGTCATTGGTGAGGAAAAGCACCCATAAAACATGCTGCCACCATCATGTTTCTCAGTGGGGATGGTGTGTTAAGGATGATTTGCAGGAAGTTTTCTGCTACATGCAGCATTTTCAAAAAGTTCTGTTTTGTTTTTTGGGGACCAAAAGTCCCTCTTCCAACATATATGCGAACCATATTCTCACAATAATGTACTGCTTTATGTTAGTGGCAATATTATGAAATTTTAGGTACACGTCAGTGGTGGTGATGTGACAAAAAGTTTTACTGGTTTAAGCAGGTATTGTAAAGAAAGAGGAAATCACTGTCTTGTGATTTCAGAAAAGGATGAAGTCATCCTTAACCTGATGACTTCACCTAGAAACAGTTTCTTCAGTTAGATGCTCATAGAATTTCTCAAACAAAAGTTACCGGTAGCGTTAAAGTATGACTCATAGTAACGGTGTTGTATTACAGTTCACATTTAGTTCGGTAATCTTTTGTTTTCAAATGTCTTTCCGGGTTTCTGTGGTGCTTAACATTACTGTAGGTGGTGCACTTTCGTTTTAAATGCACTGCTCCCTATTCAGATATTGCAAAAAAAGACCCAGAATCAAATCCTTTGTAGACCATGAGAACTTTGTGACCGCATGTAAACATTTCAAATTTCATTTGGATGTAAAAATAGAAAAAACTTTCAAAAAAAGAAAAACCCAAACAAGCAAAAAAAGCTTGAAAACAGAAAAAAAAACTCTACAAAAGCAGTCATAATATTGTACTTTCCGCATTACACTCTGACATTCATATAGAGATAAAACATTTTGAAAGAAAGAGGAATCCATTTAGAATTTATATGAAAATTTTATATAAATTCTAAATGTATTTAAAATATTATCTGAGTTGTGCTTTTTGTTAACGTTTTCTGTCAGATGTTAGAACGTCAATGTTATTGTGAAAAGAGGGACTGGATTTTTGAACATTTGCTAACAATGCATACTGATAATTGAAACCAGATGCTTACATACACTGTAAAAAAAGACAGCTTTCAAATAATCAGACTAAAGACTAAATGACATCAATGTATCAGGAAAGGAACTGAGGTTTTTCACAACTATGATTTGTCTGTGGCCATATTTTCAAGCTAACTAACGGGCCAATGATCAGTACAGTTACGAAGTATGATGACTGGAACCTTGCTAATATCCAGACACGATATCATCCATGAAGGAAATTGATTCTGTTTCCCAGAGATGAATATGTTTTGGTGTGAAATATGCAATCGAACCCCTGAAAGGTAAAACACCTTTATCCCCAGTGAAGTATGTCTCACACCAATGTAGGCTGAAAGGGCAGTCTGAACAGAAGAAGCCATTTTTAAAAAAATAGCTGTGAATAGAGAAAAGTTTGTTTAATCTAATTTATTGCCACATCGTGAGGGGAAAATGGTTATGTGAAGTTTTATATAGTGTATGTAAAAATTTGGTTTGAACTGTAAACATGTAGGCTATTATTAAATGTTTCTTTTTCAGGATGTAAATAATGTATAATGAAATCACAACTATTACATTTCATCACTGGTGAACTTTGAATCTGACAAAACATCAAAGAATTGAGTCTGTGAGACAGATTCTAAATTAATTTAATTAGAAAATGCCCTTTGAGCCTTTTTCTATCAAGAAAAGAAAATAGTACAAGGGTTTTCTTTAGCCTTTCACATATGTTGTTTCTAAAGAATAATGTTATTTCAGCAACATCCTGAGGAATTCAGTCCACCTTGTGCAAATTGCTGTTCTGTCATAATACAAATATTTTGAGGCCCCTGTCATGACTTCCAGTGAAGCCAGTTTCTTTTAAATGCAACATCCATAAACCTCATTTTGACAAAAATACAAAAGAAATATAGTTACTCATTTTACTGTCAGACCATGTGGGTCACTTCACCCACCACCACTCTGAACCAGTATAACTGTGGGTGAGGTTTTTTTTTTTATGATTTTCTGACTGTTCGACAACACCTGCATGTACACTACACCTACACATTTACAGCCTCAACAGCAACCTTTAGAATAAAGGTATGAGCAAATTTAAGCTAAGCTGAGCAGCAGAATAGATGTTATCAAATATGCATTTTGTATGGTAAATATGGAGTTGCAGACAACACATGTCAACTGTAGTTTACACTGAATTCACATTACAAGGAAGTGAAAGTGAGCTGTCTAAAAAGTAAAGGGACTTTGCCTCTTGTCATTGACAACTGGAGAAGGGTACCAGCACTACTTATGACAACAAAAGGGATAAGCATATGATGGATGGATGGATGGATGGATGGATGGATGGATGGATGGATGGATGGATGGATGGATGGATGGATGGATGGATGGATGGATGGATGGATGATGGATGGATGGATGGATGGATGGATGGATGGATGGATGGATGGATGGATGGGATGGATGGATGGATGATGGATGGATGGATGGATGGAAAAATCAGTAAAAATGCACAATAAAGGTATTTTTGAAGCATAAGTTGAAGTTTTGAACTTCAACTTTTTTAAGTGATATTAAAACCTTGGGCTATCCTGTTCTTGTGAACTCATATCATGTCTCGTCTTGCCTTGTGAAACATGGCAAAAGGTATGATTTCACTCCGAGTGATTATTAATCTTTGCTCATAGGAGGAGGAATCTTTTAACCACCAAACAAGGCAGAGACATTTGCATTTATTTTTTCTTGATGCAGTATTTTTGGAATGTGGATACTGATTGTTCTCCACCACAAAATTTCATTGACGTTGCAGAAAGTAAAATGATTTAGTCCAATGTTGAACACATCTGCGCGTAACACAAGATGAGTTTTGATGTAATTGTGGAGTAATTTCACAGCTTCTAGAGATTTGTCCAATCTCCAAGCTCCAAGCTCTGCCAAGCTGTGCCTCTCCTCAGTAGTCTGTGAATGACCAGGAGACTGGGGGAAATTGCCAAATTCACAAGAAAGCTGCTGAGTTGAGAAAAACAGCGCTTTCCATCATCTAAAATATGATAATGTTTGAACATCTTGCGGCCATTTGGTCCCTATGACATTTCTGGTCGTTTCAGCTGTCTAAAGGTTCCAAGTAATTTTCTGTGTATCATTATTTCCAGAGCTGGGAAGACATGCAACATGAATTGGGTCAAGGAAAGTTTTGTAATCCCGGAGAAAATTGTTTTTTGCTAATTAGTGAGGACTATTAGACATGTTCTGAAAAATTCCTTTCCAGTGAAATGGAAGTTTGTCATTAGGTTATGTTGGCATTGACAGTTAATAACCCTTTTTTCTGCTTGTGTTTGCAGAGTCCTGAGGATGAGTCCCAGTGGGTTGAAGACCTGTTGAAGCACCACACAGCCCGGGTTCGAGATGTGGAGATCTTGACTGGCCTGGACCTGTACAGATCCACTAACCTCACCTACATCAGCACCTTGAGCCTCAAGACCTACTTGAACACCTTTGAGAGTGATGACTAGACAGACAGATTAAGATGCAGTTGCACAGGATGTCATAAAAGCCATGTAATATGTCTGCATGCTTGCTGGAAATTTTATACATACATTTTGCTCCAAAGGACCCATTTAGGAGGAGTTTTCACAGGGAAATACATTTCTGAAAATTAAAACAATGTTAAAGAACTTTAGTGGAATTTTTGAATACCATTGAAAAAATCAGGGAAGCAGCTCGAGCAGAGATGCAGATTTTATTAATATAGGTATATTCTCTTGCATACATAAAGCACTATAACAGTGTAGCTCTATAAGTATAAATAATTTTTACCTGAAATCTCCAGTGAATCCCAATTGCATGCAGTCAAATATTAGAAAATATTTAATAGTTTTTGTTTTAAAATCTGTAGATCATAGCAAGTTTAATGTAAGAATTAACTTGACATAAGAAACTGGAAAATGAAATAAAAAATATGTATATGAAATTCTGAAGGTGAGTTTTAGTGTTTGCAGATCCAAGCTAAACCAAACATGCAAAATTAAATGAAATCTTTATAAATATGATGAATTTCTTTTTGGAGTTCGTAGCTTAAAATTGTGTGTCATATCACTTTGAAAATTATTCACTGTTCTCTAACGTCATGAAATCTGAAGCTAAAGGTAGCAATATCTGAGCAAAAATAAGCTAAGCTAAGCAGCAGAATAGATGTTATCAAATATGCATTTTGTATGGTAAATATGGAGTTGTAGACAATACATGTTAATTATTGAAAACAGTGAGACATGTCTAACCCTGTGATCTGTGTATGATTAAACACTTCTCAAGTCTTTGTGTTAACCAAAGCTAGTGACCTCTTGTAAAAATACTATTCAATTAATATTTGCATTAAAAAAACAATGGCCACCTCGTTTATAATGCTTAAGGAATGCTAGAAGTTCATACACATAATTCAAAAAGTGGCTCATCTCATAGTATAGCCTGGTGACTAACTGTTTGCAGGTTTCAGTATTGACTCATGTTTTACTTTGTTTTTAACTTGCATAAATATAGTTAAATTTTGGCTCCATCATATATACAAAATAAACCAAAATATCATCAAAATATCCCTTACTGTACATACTTAACATGTCTAGCTTTGGGTTGGAAAAGAACTCTGATAATAGAAAAGATGTTGCATTTGTGGATCTATTTTCTTGTTTGGGATGCAAAATTATTTCTTTTTGCATATTTGAATATAATAACATACTCTAACAACACTATTTGTGACCAAATGTTTTTTTTTTTACAGTCCACTGTTAAAAGAAAAACACTATTGTGTTAATTTCATTGTCACCAAAATGTTCTTCCCCAGTTCTGTCGTATTCAATCTTTTTTTTTTTTTCTAAAATAGTTTATCTTTAAGTTTTTTGCACTATGACAATAATAGCCAGCGGGTGAAATGTAACTAATTCAATGGAACAATGCAACTCCATTTAGCTTTAGAACAGATAGAAATAAAATATTTTTTTTCGTCCCCAAAAAAAAAAAGAAATTACTGCTTATGTTATGTTTTTGCTGGGATTTAAAAAAAATACATTGGATTAGAACTCCACACAACAAAATCAATCATCACTTCAGTCAAATTTGTGATTATAGTTCTATTTTTCAAATTCTTTTGTGTGCACGTTTCTCTATAAAGCATCTTAAACATCATCCACATCAGTGTAAAACATCAATTTTTTCTTGGTCAGGATGAAGAATCCATAAATACTAGACCACAAATAACTCAAACTCAGATGTTAGGTTGTGAAGCATCAGGCAACTTTTAAAAAACTTTAGGATAACCAATGTTTGACTGTTGTTTAAACAGAGGTTTAGCAGTGACTTGCAGAGTTCAAATTCTTACTGTCTGAGAATAAGAACTGCTTAGTCTTTGACCCAAGCGGTAAAAGATTTTAAATATCAAAGCACTTGTCTGATGTTGTATTTGTTGCCAGTTGCCAGCATTCATTCTCGTAACTCTGTACAGATAGAGTCCCAAATTGTTCTTTTGCATTTATTTCATTTATTTTCATAGTATTGTATTCATGAGTTAATGTTCCTAACATACATGATTAGTAGAAGAGAAATACATGACTTTTACTTTTGAGAACTTGTCAAGATGTAGACAGACCAATTTTTAGTTCTCTAGTCCTTTAAATAAAAGCCATGTAGGTTATAAAAAATATTGTAGTGAGTGGAACTTTGTTTGTTTTAAACTATGGTCAATTTATAACTCAAAATGACTTTACAATGAAGAGCTTCTTTGTCGTTATGGTACATAAGGATTATATTGATAAAACAATCCCATTTATTTTCTGTGTGCACTTTCTCATTGTTGGCACTTTTGACAGTTTACAGGGATTAACTCTGATAATTTGTAGCTTTCAGTAAAATTGGAAGAATAAGATTGCCTTGCTGTAAATAGGTGGATTGCCAGAAACATTAGAAATCCATTCCCGTAAGGTCTTTGTTTATTGTCAATTTCTCTGAAGAACATTCCTTAAAGTTTCTGTTTGTGTACTGTAACTAAAGCCCTGCATCATTCACTGGTCTGGTTTCCAAACACCGTTTTAGACAAACCCAAGATAAAGAAAGCTCTTGACTAAATGTTTTTCTAGTTTTGATGTAACAGTTCTGTGTGGAGTTGTTGAGGACCGAGCTGTGGGCATGATATAGAAAATATAATTTTTAAAGTGTCATAATAAGAGATTTTCTTCCAGAACACTTTTTATTAATTTCTGCAAACTCAAACAATTACATACATTGAGATTCCTATGAATGTAAGCAGTTTGAGAAAGCCTGGTTGAGGATGTCATTACCTTGTACACAGATTTAAATAACTTTCAGGCACACTTGTAGATTTTTATAGCAACATGCCAAACACAGTTCCTCTTTGTGTGCCATAATGGAAATTGAGATCACACAAAAAAGATTAGTTTATCTTTTGGAATAACTTCCAGATGCCTGAAGGTGTGATATGGATTATATGTGCATAAAAACAACATGGAAATTTTCAGCCATTATACTCTTATACTGTTTGTCTCATAGATTATATCCTGGTGAATAATGTGAGTTTCAACCAAGGACAAAGGCAAAAGACCTTATGAAGATGACTAAAACTTTTAAGAGTATGTTATTATCCACTGGGAGTCCTGCGCCAAGATGGATTGAAAGGCCATTTGGAGAAGAAGAAGAAACCATGTAATATTTCAAATGAAAGATAAATTAGTTACAAAGTGGGTCAAAGACAACAATTTCAACCTTGCGGAGAGTACATCACAACGTCTTGATCTCAGTTCTGTTTTTTTTACAAACTTTTCAGATTTCTTTACTAGATATGTTTTTCATTGAGGAAAAGAAAAACTTAGCTAATCAAAGGCTAGATTCACAGCTAAGGGACTTGCGAAGTTTAACTCGGCCTCACACATCAGTTTGGAAACATTAAATTCATACAACTGTGGTTTTTGTCAGTCACAGTGACATCATGAACATATAAAAACAGAAAGGGTTTTGGCTGGGCCGCCATAAGTATCCATCCGACAAGGTGTGTCGGTGTAAACAGCAATGGTGAGTTTCCAACTGAATATTACAAATCTTAGAATTTCTCAAACTTTTCATCCGGCATTCCAACTAAAAGGTTGTGGCTCATAATTGAAGATAAGTGAACAAACAACCAGTGCAATTGATTCTGGTAATCAGTTACTCTTACTCCCTGCCGCTGGTCCAGAGGTCACTGCAGAGATATATTTGTTGTCTTGCCTCCTCTTTCTTTCTGTCTGTTATGTGTCTCTCTGCTTTGAATTGTGTGAGTGTAAAACTAGAAAATCCATTATAGCCATGGACTGGGTATCCTGGTTACAGAAAAACAAAAAGAAGATCATAGTGAGTATTGCTGGTTGTTCCTGATGGGAATCTGACGTTAACTTTAATGCAGCAGATATAGAGTTTTAGACCCTATGATTTCAAAACCTTGAATTGCAATAAGTAACTATGTTTGTTTATTGAGTCTGAAGAGAAATGTCTGTGCGTCCAAATTCTCATTCAGAATAATAAAGACTGTGTTTTGTTTTTCATCATTATTCTGAACAAATACTGCAAAATATGATTATTAATATTCATATGCATCTTGACAAATTAGATGATCAGCAAAAATTCACTTTATTTAAACAAACCATTTCCAGAAAATAATGGGAATTAAAAAAGCAGGTTTATTTCAAGGGTTTATTGGTGTTTGTTTTGATGAGTACGAGTAGACCCATTTTTTTCAGCATACAGCAGGTGGACTTGGTCAGAACATCTTTTGCCTGAATTACTTCATTATAGTGGTGTGACATAAAGGTAATCTGTCTGTGGCTCTCCTGAAAGGTAAAATAAGCCGGATTGCATCTAGATTGTCTGCATTTGTTCTAGTACCTCTAATATTCCTTGTGAAAATACTTTCAGATAAAGCAAATACTTTCACTCCACTTCTGTATAGTTTGCTTTTGATTTAACTCTGTCAAAAGGCAACTTTCTTGGTAACTATATTTTATAGATTATTCTCTTATAGATGGTGTAAGTGTGTGCTGGTCAAGTGTCAGATCAACAGTCTTACCTTATTGTTTTGTAGGTCGTGACTTGGACATAGCATTTGTTTTTCAGAAATATTTTATGATGTTCAATATATTAAATGTATTTTGGCTTTAATTAGCTTTAAACTATAATCACTAGAAATCAACAGAAACATATCCTCCAAATAATGCTACTTATTTCATTTCATTATATTTTTAATGACATTTTCCTTTTTGAGTTAAATTAGGGAAATTAATTTTGAGCATGTTCAATGCACCAGTAATAAAGGAGTAATGACCCATAGAAATTTCTTCATGAATCTAATTTAGGTCTTTGCTACCCAGTTGAAATATATTAATATTTGAATTAATATTCAAATATTAATTTCAAAATATTTCAAAATAGCATATTTTAAGCCTGACCTGAGTGACTCGAATGAGTCAGAGGAGTTTTATTTAGCTCCGTCTAATGGTGACTTTTAAGTGGAGTCATATTTATAATTCCTGAATGGAAGCAGTTAACTTTGACCTGCAACAGTCATATGACAGGAATAAATGACTATATTGCAGTTACTCAATCTGAACTATAATGTGAGCTTGTGTTTGACAGATTGGGGTCTTGGCGGCAGCAATCGTGATTTTAATCCTTGGTCTTGGATTGGGTCTTGGACTGGGTTTGCACAAAGATAAAGAAGAAGGTAATCCCAGAAACATTCAGGCACCTCCACATTCCAAAACCAGACATGTCGCTGCATGCAGAGTCACTTCATGAAACCAAACACTGACGAGTAAGGTGTTTGTGGAGTTTTGCGTTAGCAACCACATACCTTTGCTAATTCAGCATGTTTTAAGCCTGACCTGAGTGACTCGAATGAGTCAGACGAGTTTTATTTAGCTCCGTCTAATGGGGACTTTAATTTGTTGCAAGTCAAGTCTTTTCAAACACTGTGACTCATAGGTTTAAAGACACTTACTCATGATCACTCGTGATAAACCAGAGATAAGCCAGTTCTTTTGAGAAACATTTCTTGTTTGACAAAGTCAAAAGTGCAACTTTCATTGTTTTGGTTACCACCTCCTATTCATTGCTAGGAAAGAAGAAAAGCTTTGCATTGAGTGTCTAATCAGATCTCTCAATCTCACTTGAGAGTAATGTTACCGAAACTGTGTCAAGTGACCAACTGTCACTCTGATGTATCTCTGTGCCATAACAATGAGATGCAAAATCAAGTTTGCCCCAGTAAACAAGCTAATATATTTTGAAAAGAAAAACATTTTGCACAATGGTAAAATTGAGAAACAGATTTGATTTCCTTGTGTTTACTTCTTAATAAAAACAATGTTAACTCCTTAAAAAATATATAAAATGATGTAATCATGAAATGAACTAAAAACAAATCAAGAAAACTGCAAAGTATAATCAAACACTGAACTGACTTGACATCAATTCAGCAATTTTCTGATGTTATGAGATAACTATTTAGAAATAAGGAAGAAAAGTAAGGAAGAAAAACTTATTTGGGGAAGATATACTATCTTCCTACATTGCTTATTTTCTATAAACTCAAAATAACAATGATAGAGTGCGATTTGCATTTTAATTAATCAACAGATTCCCTCTTTATTAAGCAAATTTATTGGAGATGACCTGAATAATAAAAACTGTTTCTTTCAGTACCTCTGTAAGAACAGATGCTTTGAACGTTTTGACAAAGAAGTCACAGGCTGCAGATATGATACCAACTGTAAATCCACAAACAGTTGTTGCCCCGATTACCATGACATCTCCATGGCCTCACTGATTTCACTCAAATATTTACTGTGAATTGCTAAAGTTCAGAGCACCACTGAAAATGTAAAATGCAGAATTAAATGCTAAGACAGATCCTATTTTTCTCCCTGCAAAAGAGCACAATGATAGTCTTCTCTATATTTTACTTTTGTCTTAGTGTGCACTGTGTGTAAGTAGTTGCTGTTCCTTTCAGCCCAACACTGGGAATGTTCAAGAAAACGTTGTGGTGAAAAGAGGCTGGCAGAGAGCAAATGTCACTGCGACAATGATTGTCTGTCTGCAGGAGATTGCTGCTCCAACTACAAACATGTTTGTCACGGTAAGACATCTGGATCGATGCAATGTGATTTTACATTAGGCCAAAACGCTGCTGGTGCTGCAAAAAGTAATTTCCTCATACAGATGACAGATGTTATATTTATGTCAGTCTTATGCACACCCAGTCAAATAAAGTGCAACCAAAGTAACTTCAAATACTGTTAATCTATTTTGAAATAATTTGCAATAATTTACCATGGGAATAACATTTATCCCAGTATCCAAACCAATGTGGTGTTATGTGAAAATACTATTTCCCTCTGGGCCTGTTAATGCATTATCATTTAGTTCAGGTTTTGGAGCCTCATTGACTACTGTCAAACTTATACAATCAGAAATTCACTTGGACTAGTGGTTGTTAAAACCTCACCAGGTTTTGGATTGTGTATTTAAATTTAACAGTGAATCCAAGCAGATCAATACATGAAGAGTGAGTTGCTTTCTGAGTAAATCTATCTGTAAGGCATGTCCTCATAGACATTGGTCAAAATGGCTATGAGGACATTTCAGGAGAGGAAAGCTCAGAAAGCTATTTCTGAAGTATTTTTATATGTATCATCCAGCAGAGAACCAGGAAAAGCACATTCACTGATCACTATAAATCATCAGAGGTTCTGAAACAGAAAAGGCTTTGATTTAGAGCTGTTGAATGGACTGCTGTGCAACTTAATGAAAATGTCTGATAAAATGTTAGTTTTTCAGTTCTGCACAATATTGCACTGAACAGCAGGGTTCTGTGCTGCACAACATTCTGTACAGAGAGGAGTCCAGAGAAATCTCAGGACTCCTTCTAGTTCTACCAAACTGTGACTAAATAAATTAGGCAAGTATTACAAGAAAATGCATAGCATTTTTACACATGGTATTTCTGAAGCCTTTTGAATGTTCTGAAGCTCACAGTGAATAGAGGAAATATGCAAATTTGAGAGATTCAACTTCCAACTCTTCATATACCAGGGTAGGCCTGGCCTGAGGATTTCTGTGTTCAAATATATGTCAGTTTCTCATAAAGGAGTCAAAATGTGTCTCCACATGAGCTTGGAATGTTCATAAGTTATTTTTTAAATAAGTCAAGCCTTAAAAGTTTAGCATACAATTCTGAATCGACTCAAATTTAATTTGAGTCGATTCAGAATTGAGAATTCAGAATTGAGTTGAAATCTCAAACTTGGGTCGTCATCTCTGAAATGAGCTAAGGTGCATTTCTTACATCCAGTCCTTTTGTGGGATTTCATGAGAAATGCTGTGGTGATGTCACTGTGGAAATAAATGTGTGAGGGTGCAGTTCTGATGTCAAACTTGGACACAGGCAAGTTTACAAGGCACAGTACCTTCCAGAAAGCAATAAAACAGCTGGCTGATTTTCTAGGTTGATGTAATGATCTTCCAGAAATCCATTTATTAACGTTTTTGCAGAACTTACAAAAGGTTAAGCAGGAAACAGTTCCAAAGATGAGATTAAAATGCCTAATTTTAATTAAAATATTTACTCTTTTATGTGTATGAACATGTGCACAGTCATTGAGACATTTATAAGGTTCCCTGTGGAAAGGTTGACTTCATTGCAGTTAAAATTGATGTCTCCAGTATGACCTCGCTGTACTGGAGAGTATGGTGAACATTGGATAGAAACCCACAGAAACTCACAGGACAACTGAACTATTTTGTTCTTCTGTATGTCCATTAATTACCCAAGAGAGGATGAGGCATACTGAACATAATACTGTGACATGCAGTTATGAAATACACCCCCTCTTCAGTGCTATTCATGTGTTCTATTTGCTGTAGGAGAAACAGAGTGGGTAGAGGACCAATGTGATGACTTGTCAGCTCCCAAATGTCCTGAAGGGTAAGCCGTTCCACAAAAGTTCAGTAGGTTCACTTGGATTTTCTCAAAAATTAAATGTTTCATCTAAATGTGCATTTCTGGTATGAAATGGTTCCAGCATACCTTCTTACATGCAATAACATTAAATGTTCTTTTACAAGTTTTGTAATGAGGTATTTACACAGTCAAAGCCATTACATCACCACAGACAAATATTTTCAAAGATTTTGTGCAAGAATATGGTTATAAAATGCTGCTTGGGCCAAAGCATTTATGGCTGCATGCAAGTGTTAAGTAGATGTTATCATCTCTGCGTGTATGTTCCCTTATAGCCTTCTCTTATGTTGAATGACATGTTTGCATCTTATCAGTTAGTTTATGTTAATAATTAATTGAAGTATCTCTTCTCCTTCTATTCAGTTTTTTCTCTTTTCTTTTGTTTTCTCATAGCTTTAAGCGACAGCCGCTGCTGCTGGTGTCTCTGGATGGACTAAGAGCTGAATACTTGCAGAGATGGAGTCATCTCATGCCTGTCTTGGACAAACTCAGTTAATATCAAGCATAATACAATGTGTTCTGATTTTGTGCGACAAGAAAACCACACTGCATTTTTATCTAATGATGCACTCCTTAAAATATCCTGACCAGAAAAACTTAAAAATTGATAGCACTTCCTTTTCCTGCCAGTCATGGTGATTCTGATTGTAAACAATGATCAGGAAAGGTGGTTTTAATCCTGGAAGTGGAGACAGGATTTCCTATTAAACTTCTCATGAAGTGATAGTCAGTAACAAGTTCATTCATGCTTTTAATCTAAAATCACCAGTTGAGGAATCTGAATTAATGAGTTAGAACATTTAATTGCCCTTTGGGATCAGTTGAGTATATTTGAATTGGATCAAATTTTCAGTTCTTTGATCTGTTGCCATCCAGTGACAGAATGTAAACTCACATGAACATACTGACCCACAAGCCGTTTCCCTCATTCCAAGGAAGACTTTGACTGAATAACATGACTCCACTATGTTCTGCATGTCATCTTCAGGAAGCTGTGGAACATCGACTCCCTACATGCAGGCAGCATTTCCAAGCAAGACTTTTCCTAATCACTACACAATTGTCACGGTAAAGACTCATAAAACTTCACTAACAAACCTACACACAAATTTATGTGTATCTGTAAAGGCCTGAACTTTGTATATGTATGAGAATGAAAACTACTCAAATTACTAAATTAAATCCATAATAACCTGTTTGAAGGAGTTTATATTTTTATGTAAAAGGTAAAGTGTTTATAAAACACCTTTTAGATCACAATATTTAATGTAAAATTACTTGGATAAGTTCAATATGTTGTATTTTAGTCAGTTGAAATATCTCTGCTTTGCATAAAAAAACTCCTGGAGATTTTCAGAATATGATTTCCATGGATTCCAGTTCAACAGCATCTCAACAAACTGCATTTTTTACTTGCACATTTATATGTATTTACCTAAATGTAGTGATTAAGATACGCAAGGAAATAATGTGGTATGACTTATGCATCGATATAAACCAACACTTTTATCAATGACTAGGGTTTATGATTATGGCAGATTTAATCACACAACTGAAAACAATGCATATTTTTTAAAAATGTTAATAAAATGTCATATTTTGAATTAAGACCAATATTGAAAAGTACATAACTGGGAATGAAAAAAAAACTATTGTAGGTTTTCAACATTTGACCAGAGCACTTTCTTCCACTTTGTTGTTTTTCCTACAGGAGTTGTGGCAATCAACTATAAAAGTATTTTATTCAATAGATGTAAGCTTTGTCTTAAATTTGTTTATACATTTTAAATAAAGCATCAATGCTCTAAATTTCTTTACAACTGCATACCTGATGAGCAGGAATCTTGGGCTCCCTGACAAAAAAATCTATCTGACCTATCAAAATTGTCACAATTATTAATTGTGACAATTTTCCAAAGAAAGCAATTGGACCTTGCTTTCTTTGGTCCAATACTGATAACTAGCACAATAATTACTGCTCATGAGTTTTACATCCAACAGTCACCGTCAAGTGGGTCAAGCAGGAGCGAACCTTTACATGCAGATCCAGGGGGTTCAGGCCATATAAGCATGTGTGTTTTTACATAACATTTTTACAGCTAAAAACAGTCTTTGAAAATACAATATAATAAATTTTGTAATTGACAGGGCCCCATTTTTTCTTTTTCTTTTTTTACTTCAATGAACAAAAAATAAAAATATGAATTGTAGACAGCCTCCTATTGGTCAGCCCTTGGAATTGTCATAATTGTTTCCCTATATTATACCCCTGCCGATGGTGTGCTGTCTTCCTATTCCTTGATCTTCATGGTGCTATTTTGTAACATAAACTCTCAAACAGACTTCTGAGGTCTTCACAGAACATGTTTTTTATGCTGAGATTAAGACACTATTTTAGAATGCTAATGTGTATTGAACTCCCAAATAAACTTGTTTTTGTTGATAAACTTTCTAAATATTTTACTTAGGGTTCTAGTTTTATGTTTCTGTGTCACAGGGGTTTAGTTGCACTTTACATAGTTGCTTTTCAGCTTCTTAACTTTTCCTGGATCTTGATTGAACTTTGCTGAACTTTCTAATTTCTGAGTCAGAAAATTCCAAGCAATCTCGTGGAACGTTTTTTTCCAAACCCATGCAAGGGAATCCCATTGTATGTCTTTTCACAGTTTTACAGCAGCTTGATAGACTGCATTTGTTACTTACGCGCGCATGATTTAACCTTTGATGACAAGATTAAGTCATCAGTGTATTGTAGCAATGCTATGACATGATACTGATTGAGTAAGTCATTAAGTCATGACTAACATTCATTAGCAGGAGTTCAGCGTTTAGTCATGCAGTTGGCATTTAAGAAAATGTTGAATAGAATGTTATATCTCTCATTCTGTTGCTCATGTTACCTTCATTTCATGTTCAGGGTCTGTATCCAGAGTCCAATGGTCTGATTGACAACAATATGTATGATCCAGTGTTTAATGCTTCATTCAGCCTGGGCAATGATGAGAAAAACAACCCAGCCTGGTATCTTGGACAACCTGTGAGTCCTTCTAAGTTTGACTCTGGCTCAGGGTCAAACTTTTTGTTGAATTATTATTTTTCCTTTTGTTTTATTCCAATTAAAACATATATCTTTATTGTTTTTCACTAGTGCATGTTCAGATAGTTCTCCTTTAATTATAACCTAACATCGATATATTGAGAAGAGCAAGCAGAAACAGGAGATGCAAAGAAGAGGCTGGGAAATGTTTTCCTTTGGCTTGTAAAGATCAAAATGAAAAATTGTGGTAGAAATTTGATCTCTAAAAATTATTTCTTCAGCTTTCAGTAAAGTATCATGTCCTGTTTCTCTCAACAGATTTGGAACACAGCAAAACATCATGGTCTGAAATCTGGGACCTTTTTCTGGCCAGGATCAGATGTCAAAATTAACGGAAGTTTCCCTGACATCTACAGGCCTTATGATGGGTAAGATGCAGATGCAATGTACTAAAATACATCCAGAAAAACTGTAGACAGCCAAATCGAGCACAATCCACTCGGTCCTAATTTCTGTAAAGAAGCAAAAGAGGATTTTATATCTCTCAGCCTTACTGTAAAGCAGATTCAGGATGATGTTTCATCTTTGCGTGGGAATGTCTGACGCCTCAATGGATCAACAGATGTTAACTTTATCAGCTTACGTCTTAACATTTTGGCCTTCGGGAAATCTAATACAGTCTGTTTATCATAATTTATTACACAGATAGCAGCTATTTACACTACATTCATGTTCTTGTTTTTCTCAAGGCTTTTGACATCAATGCATGGCAGATTTAGTTTTTCCCAAGTAAGATAGGACTGACATTTACTGGATCAAAACCAATGGGAAGTGTCATATATTAGGCATATTTTTACAGAAACCTGGATGAACTGTACTGCTTATGATGCCAAACATTTTAAATGGGGTTTTAAAAAGGGCTTTGAGGCTACAAACATTGCAATTAAATTAAACTTTTTTTTTTTTTTTTGTTATGCACAGAACAAACTTATTCTTTACCATTTGACCAAAACTTAATAAAGTTAAAGGTTTAAATATTTCACGTGTTAATTAAAGCTAGGCACTGCTCAAAAATAAAGACCACACTAAAATAACAAACCCTAGATCCTTTATTTGTTATTTAGTGAAATGCATTGAGAACAAAATATTACACAACACTTGGGCATGGTTCCGTCAAAGTCAATGCATATGGAATTGAAGTTCAGGGGTAAGCCTTAAAATCTGCTGTTCAGATCAAATCCAGACTTGAATTATCTCACAGAGAGCGCTGGGCAAAAATGTCTGGTTCAAAACTATGTTCTCAATTAAATTCTACTTTGTGATGATTTTCGTTTTCACAGAAACCAAAGAGAACACAGTGATGCTTATGACAATATGTCCAAAAAGAGATGTGATCAATTTTGCAAGTTACTGTAAATGGTTCCAGTGGATTCAAGAACAGTTCAGAGTTCTCAGTCATTTTATTTTTCAGATCATAACTCACGACACATATATTCAGCTAAAAAGCAGATGTTCTGTTGATACAGACAGAAGGAATTAACAGAAATGCTCCCATAAACCAGCTTTAGGAGAACTTGACATTTGAGCCCTACCCTGTTGGTTCAGAATAAGAGGTTCCTGTTGGTTTTGGGTAATAACACATGACAATGGTTGAAAGCCAAACCTACATTAATGAGGTAGTTGTGGTTCAAAGTGACATTTACACTTTGAACCAATGGACAAAAATATTTACACAACCTAACCGTCTTTTATAACAGAAGAGGTCATGGCAATATTGAGAACCATAAATTATTTTGGTGTCTGTGAGCAATGATTGTGGGAGAAGGTGTTGTGACATGCAGTTTTACAAACGCAAGGTTTGGAAACAGAACTGATAATGGCAATTAATACTGAAGAAGTTCAACATTCAACAGTCAGGATGACTCAGCTGATAATAGGTGAAAACTAAAAGCACATTTCTGTAGAAACAAAAACAAAGCAGCTTGGAGACTATTTACCAGAAAAAATGAATGAAAGGTCACAGGATAAGATAATTAAAACCTCAAGAAACAGACAAACTGGTTCCATTTATATGCATCTTGTACAGTTTAACTTTGATTGAAATCAATCCACCTACTTTCATAACAATCCAATCAAATAGTAAAACTCAAAACCAGTCACATCCAGTTTAGTACTGCAAAAATTATAATACAGTGCCAGTTTTGATTGATAATTTATTGCTAATCGGTCAAAATTAGCCATATCTAAGGAATCTCTATCAGTTTCAATGAATCTTTGAGTGCAGCAACTATTAATTCTGAGCAAGCATGAAGCATCAGTGGAAAGGAAAGACTTCTCTTTAGCTTTAATAAACTCCTCCAGCCGGTCCAGGTTCTTTATGAAGGGCAATCTTCTACTGATGGCTGAAAGAGGAAAAGCAGGAAGAAGCAGAGAAACAATTACACACTGTGGCAGAGGCACTTTTCACAGGAACTCTGAGGCACTGCTAAATATGAAATTATATGTGCTTGGAAGAGAATTGATGAGCTATTTTGGTTTAGCAAAGACAATAACCATAAAATCTGTAAAAGAATAAAAACATTAGAAATATTGAGTAGCAGGAGAAATTGTTCTTGATAAAACTCAAAAGGAAAAAGGGAATAGAAAGCATTTATCATAATTACAATGTACAATAGCAAATTAATATCACATGCTTTCTAGTTTATTGATGAGCCTGAGTAAGAAAAAAAAAACACTAATAAAACATGGAAAACTCAAACTTCTGGTATAAATTATTTTTGGTAATAAATTGCTCTTATACATGATATTTCTTTTTCAGAGATGTGCCGTTTGAAGAAAGAGTATTTACAATTCTGAAGTGGCTGCAGCTGCCAGATAATGAAAGGTTAGTAAAATGATATTTACTTTCCGATTATCAGTTAAGTTATCAAAGTGAAATGATTAGATCTTACGTTAGTTTCTTTTCACATTATCACTCTTAGATTATTGTTTTGAAATGATCGTCAGATTTCTAATTTTAATATCAATAACTGTCTGTCAGGCCTGATTTCTACACACTCTATCTGGAGGAACCTGATAAAGCCGGGCATAACTTTGGTCCCGTCAGTGCAGGGGTAAGGCCATTTCAGTTTATTGTGAGACAATAAGGAACCTAAAGAATCAGATAATCTTAGATGACCTGCATGCTCTTTTAAAGCTTCTCATAAATTTACCTTCTGTTATCTCAAATTCCCCTAATCCGCAATCATTCACAGACAATTTTATCATCATTATTTCTTTAATGCACCCTATCATAGCTGATTATAAAAGAGTAAAAGTTTTTTATTGCACAGTAAGGAATGTGTAAAGTCCATTTATAGATTAGAATATAACAGAACTTCTGGTGCAACAGCAGCAAAGTGACGGGCAATTAAACCAAGGTTAGAATGAAATATATATTCAAAAAGAACAACATACTGTCCAGTAATTGTAAATTTTCAACATAAACTATGCAATTAAAATAGAGCACTTCTCCTCCAAAGGAATGGGCAACTGGGTAGGTTAAGTTAAATAATGTGCAAAATGTGCCAGTGTAATTGATTATTTACATTAAGTGACAACTATATGTGCCATGGGGATCAAATACTGATACTGATTATAATCAATTATGTTCAAGTTATTATATATTCTGTTACTCCACTTTCACATTAAACTCCTGTAGAAATCGATTGTTCACGTCTTTGGGTGCAAACTTGCAGAAATATTTTTAGGAATTAAGTGGAATTAAATAATTCACAGCTTAAGGGAAGAACTAAAATGTCTAACCACTTCCAACCCCAGTACATAAGAAACCTATTCCAGCCCAGCTACATGTTGGATACTCAAACTTTCCACCTCCATGAGTTCCAAGTTACCCACCGTCATCTAAAGGCTCTCTTACTCAGAAGCTCACCTTGAACTCCTGTCAAACATTTCTAAACATCCATTCATCTTAAGCACTAGCAAACTAAAACCTTCCCCTTTAGGGATTTAAGCTCGTCTCTATTTTGGCTTCCGAGTTAATTGCCACCTCGGAAAGTTGGCAGGAATCCATTTAGATGACATACAGCTTGACCACACAGGTGAGCAAACAATAAAAAAAATGCATACTCGATGTTTGAAAATATTTTGTGCCATTCACATTTTCATTTACGTTTTTGTGTAGGTGGTGTTTAACAGAGTAGCATTAATAGAAACAATGAGCTCATGTGCTGTTTACTCCTTGTGGTCCATTGCTGTTTATGAGCTATGTTTTAGACACCATAATTTTATTTAGTAAATAAGGTTGTAAAGTTAAAAGCATTTAGAAAGCCACTCTCATGTAGATGCAAACTTTGGACTTGAGATTCAAAGTGAAGATGGACTCACTTTGATAAACTTAACTGAGTCATTCAGAGGAAAGAAAACAAACTGCATTTTAATAAACTGAAACAGGAACAGGCTTTTGGGTTTTGCTTTCCCGAAACAGAAAGCAAAACCAGGTGTGGAAGGATATGGAAAACTACTATTCAAATCAATCAAAGGAAATGCAAAAGAGGTCAAGACTGAACAAAAAATAAGTTGCAATATGAGCAAGGAATGCCCTCTGCTACCCGTGTGTGCTGTGATATTCAGAGTACATCTAGGCCTAATAATATTGGCATAGGCCAAGGCTGCAATACACCATGAAACACATTGATTGGTGCAAAGAGATGTAGTCGGACATTTTATAGACTGAGTTTTACAGCTGGTCCTCATTCTGTTTGCACCACAGAACTCTACAAAGCATGGTGGCTTAGGTATTTCCTACTGGAATGTTTTCTTATACAATGATGTTTCTTAGACCTCTTTCCACTCCATTAAATTATCTAAGGAGGTCAAGTTGACAATATGCTGAAGAAGAAATACAATGAAATGTGGGATATAAGCAGACAGTACCCCAAACATGCCATCAGGAAAGCACTATCCTGATACCCAAGCAACTAAATGAACGTTATCGAGTGTTAATCCAAAGGTGATCTCAAGCAAACTGTTTCTGAGGAAAACTAAGGAATGCTGAAGTAATTGTGAAATGCATAACAGTTGCCATTGCTTGGCAAAACTTTTCACTCATCTTTGAAGTTGGTCAATTTTATAAAATGAAGTTAATGGAGTGATGGAATGTGACAACAATCTACAAAGTGCCTCCTCCATTTTTTTTTATTTTGGAACAGAAGATTCAACATTCCTGATGCATTTTTGGATCTAGACAAAAAAGCTGTTACATTTTGGAGCTTTGTTCCATTTATTCAAATATAGTGCGATCATTTTGACCACAGCAATACCTCAAATATTTTCATAACGTATTGGTGAGCACAAATGTCAGCCTCCTAGAAATTTTAAGAACCACTATCTCCCCACTGTTGGACTATGATACTGTTGAATTTTCATTGCCATGAAGATGAACGCTTGGCAACAAACCAAAGCTGTTCAAAGGGTGGCATCTGCACCGCCTACACAGCAAGTCGAAATGCCAATTCTGGAGAAAACGTTACTGTATGCAGGAGAGGAATCAGAAAATGTTATAACCTAATTACCAAACACCAAGCAAGTGGGTTGTAGGGACAAGTCCCTACATTATCAGACATTTCAACAAAAAACAAACACAAAAAGAAACAGACTATGCAAAGGTTATTTTGCTTAAAATTATTTACAAATATTTTATTATTTTCCAGTTTGAAGTTATAGGGAAATTAAATGTTGTGGTAATTCATTCTTAAAACTTCTTCCAAGCATTGTTCTAGTTGCCGACAGCTGTGGGCAGGAAGGATCTCCTATAGCAATCTGTATTACAGCAACTCTTTAGAAGCTTCTGACTGAAGACACACTCATGCTGTATAACAGTTTCATAAAGAGGGTGCTCAGAGGTATAACTACTGTTTTGAAGAAAATTTTCAATCAACTCTTGATGGTCATTGTCAGATTTTACAACAAATCAATAAAGTTAAAAAATACAATCAACTCAATATGGGGCATGCAAGCTGAATTATGTGACTTAATAGAAATTATGTTAAACTTTACAGTATAAACTAGGAACCACTTATGTAAATAAGTCACACTGTTTAGATAAGTGGGAGTGGCTAATCTAAGGTTTCTCGTAGCATCATAATAATTATGAGTCTATGTACAGTGTTTACAAAGTAGAAGAATATTTTTCAGCCATATGTACACCTCTATCCAATAAAGAGCCCTGAAGAAGATGAATGGGTTACAAGACTGTCTCCATCTTCTATCTAGAGTCTGTTTCAGAGCCACTGCAGGAACATAACAATTATTTCCCCTTAACCCTCAAAGAAGTGAGATCTATACTCAGAAACAACATGTTTAAAGGACACTCAAAGTGAAAGTCTGCCATTTGTGTGCTTTGGCAGCAGATGACCACCAGCTGATAAAACATGAACATCCTGTTTCTACAAAACATGCCTCTTAAGAGATGAGTTTGACTAATGGGTGAGAGAGGGAGGATAACGATAAATTCTTCTGTCTGTCTGCGTTTCATTTTTGATAAGAAAGACAGTGACGTGTTTTAGAAGAAAACAAACTGCAGATTACTAAGTGGAAGTTTGAAGTCTGAACAAGACTGGAATTGAATATTTTAAGTATATGTAATTTCCTCCTCCATTAGATATTTCAACAGTGGAATTATTGTGGATTATGTAGTCATTTGTCCCCCTCTACTGTTGTTTCTCTCTTTCAGGAATAAGGGTGAGATATTACAGCACCAGAGAGCAGATTTTGTTTACTCATCATGTCAACAACTTTAGTCACTCTGAATAAATGCACATTGCATCTCAACCACATGCTTTTCTTAGAAATTAACAAACTTCAGGAATTGTAGCTTTACATTTCACTGCTGTGTTTGGAAAAAAATGATAGATGAACTGGTTGGTTTCCAAGCATGGATGAGGCATATAAACCAGGTCTAAAAATGTCCACAAGGATGTTTAGCATAAAACCAGTAGGAAACCAGTTAGGATTTGTTGTTTAGGATTATTTTTCATGTGTCTAAGGTAAGTGTTTTCATATTTTACTCATACAACTATTGAGAGGTAGTTTTTTTTTCTATCAGCACTTCTGATAATCCGGCTGACATTGTGTTTGGCTTTGAATTTTACTCAAGCCCAAACATATCAATTTTAAAGAACTCATTTCTTTTTTTTTTTTTTTTTTTTTGTTTGCACCTTCTCACTTTGTTTAATTTTCATTTTCTTCACTGTGGAGATTTGGTTATTGACATATTTCCCATCAGTTTCCAATTCAAGGTAGGCTAGAACTTTGGTGGATTCTTGATTGCTCCAAAACACAATTTGGCATTCTTGCATGACAATGACTTGAAAAGGATCAGCAAACTAGTTTTAAAATATATAAAGCAGATTAACAGTAGCGCTGCCTTCCTAAATATCTAACATCAACCATATTGAAAATCTGTCAACTTTCTTAAAGTATGGAGACAACCAAGTGGTCAGTTCTACCTAAAACAAAAGGCATACATTCTTTTTGACTGGGTGCATTGATTGTACAATATGCAACTCAAATCATTTTTAATTTCCAGAATTGCATTTACAATTATGAATTCACTGTTGACTAGATAATATAGAAATACAACAAAACTTTAACTTCAAAAAAGTTAATTCATTGCACCTGAGTTAATGTAATCCTGAATGTCTTTTGATCAATTCTGTGTGAATATACTTAAATCTGCAAATGTCAGCATTTTTATGGATGGTTATGAATGTTTGTGAGCAACAGATGTCTCTGCAATCTCCTCTGGATTATTATCACTTAACCAAGCTTTGTGTTGAAGCCAACTAAAATTCTGTCTAGGTATTAGACCAATTGTTTCCCTTTAACATTATTTAATTTATTTTATGCCATTTTCTGCAGAAAAAAAAAATATTTTTGCTGAATATTTTTCTTGATCTTTTGCAGACAAGCACAGCAATCCAGAAAGTGGATAAAATTATGGGTCAGCTCATGAATGGCCTCAAGCAAATTGACCTGCATCGCTGTCTCAACATCATTGTTGTTGCTGATCATGGTAACTCAGAACACACTGCACATAAAAATGTATTGAACTTTATTTCATTCAGATGAACATTACTCTTTAGTGCCAGTAGACCCAGTCAGTGTTTTGAGCCAGAGAACTATTTTGGCTGTAGTTGTGAATTTTCTCTTTCTGACGAACAGTTAAGAGAAACCACAGTTAAGTTTTAAGAACTAGTCATGAATCTGCCAAACTTCTAAGAAAACCTAAATCCACTGCGTATTTTTTTGTTTGTTTGAATACAACCTTCATTCAGTCAAGATGCTTTTTCTTCATTTTTCTTTTTTTTCTGCTCCCCTCCAAGTTTCACGATGAAGAAAACCAAAAGTCTGAAAATATCAAAATGTCTGACAAGTCAAGAGCTATTTCAAGTGTTTCTTTCTTTAGTCGATTATTTTAGTTAAGACAGTTGTTGGATCAAAACTCTCCCCTTTTCTGTGTGTCTGAGACGGTGCCTCGTTTCTTCAAGTTGTCAAACCACAAACACAGAAATGCGACCAAATTAAGAAAACTGCTCAAGCTGTTTTCCCACTAAATGAAACCTTGTGCGTTCATATTAAGTGCTCAGGAGATGCAAACAAACCTTGAAGACAATAAAAACCGACAGCCTGGCATCCTGCCTGTGTGTGGATGTGGCTGGAGTACAGCCTGTACTCTCAGCTTGCTAATGGATGAGTGTTGCTCATCATTATACATCATCCTTTAATGCACTGCAGTTGTGCCAATCCACCTCACATGAGATTGTTAACTGGATTACTGTGCTATAAAGCTGTGAGAAACTGTTGTTCTGGAAAAAACTGCAGCAGAAAACCTCAATTTTATGTTTCATCAGCTTTTAACACTAAATGCCATTTATTACCATTCATGTTAAAAACTGTGTACAGGAAATAGTAGACTAATTTAAATATTTTATTTCAACAATAATATTAAAAGCATAAACTAATATGATATGCAGTCTAGACAAGAGATATCTGAAGCTATTTGTAGCCCCACACTAGATGAACACAAGGAAAGCAACAATCGTAGTTCATGTCCTGGATGTCTCTGTGGTGGCTGTGGAAAGTCCAGATCAATCTCCCTGCAAAACTCGTGATCTGCTTCACAAAATATTGAGGCTCCACTTATTTTTTCCCGACAACATTCTACTCAACTTTAGATTAACATGCTTATGCACATGCTTTGTGAAGAGCCAGCTTTTCTTTCCAGCAATGTCGTACTGGAGTCCACCTTTCCAAGAGGGTGACAGTGAGAGAGTGTTGAGCAACAGTCAACTCAACTATATTTCAATTGATTGTGTAGTATTATCTGACATGTCTGTATTACTATTTTTTTTATTTGCCCTTCTGTAATGTTGTAATACTCTGAGAACTAGTTATAAATAGCTGTAAATAATAATCATAAAAATTTGTAGAATTATGCAGTTAAAATATATCAATGTGTTTAATGAATCCAGAAGATTGTGTTTCACCTTTTGACTCTTAGGTATAAATTAACCTTTGTTACACTTAGTTTTTAGATGCAATGTGTTCTAGTTTTTTAAAACATCTCAGTAGTTCTGTGATGCACTTTATTGCAAGAGTCCAATGCTTTGCAGGTATGGAGGAAATCAGCTGTGACAGAAAGGAGGTGATGAGTGAGCTGGTGGGAGACATCAGTAATTATTTTGTGAACGAGGGGCCATTTGGACGCATCAGAGCCAGGAATGAAGACTATGTTAGTAAGTAGATGTGTTACTGCTATAGAGATCATTAGAATATGCTTTAGGCTTTGCTCATCACAATGATTGAGTAGGTATCAGTGTGGGAAGAAGGATGTTGTTTGTCTGTCACTTTGTGGAAAAAGTCTGTGCCTGTTTGGGTTTCAGAGGGAGGAAGCCACAAAATTATCTCAACTTTGATTAATTATATTCAACCTCTAAACAATTGCACAATGGAATGGATTTCTTTGTTGCATTGCTCTCATGCAACAAAGAAATCCATTCAAGAGCATGGATGTAACAGATATGATATAATCTGTCAACAACCTTGATAGCTCCATTATTCACAATCAAGAAATGGTATGTTTTGGGCACTCTTCTCACGAAATTCAGATTTGGTTCACGCTCCTTCAAGGAACACTCAAATCATGTCCCATAGAAGTTAATTTGCAAGTGTTTATGTCAAGAGGAAGACTGATAGCATACAATTAGACATAATAATCCAAATCCACACATTACTGATGTTTCTTCAACAGCAGAAACATGGCTTACATTACTATCTTCTGTATATGGAAAAAGACTCCCTCTGAATACAGACATTGTTTTTTGTGTGGACCATAAACTGATTGTAATGAATTCTCGAGAAAAGAAAAAGATATTACAGCGACACAAGATTAGATTTTAAGCATAATCCACAGTATGCCTTTAGAATTAACATTAAATTATTCTCATAAAAATTGAATAGGTGTAAAGTTGGGTTTTAGGTCATAACCTAGCTCTGTATATATAGCCAATAAGGATGTTGATTACAAATATACTAGACCCATAAATACACATATTCATAGATTTTTACATGGAATTCAACTCCAAATTATTTGTTCATAGAATATATCTGACAAATTTTAAAGAAAATATCTCTTGGTAATCTGAAATACCTGAGCACAATGCAACTAACACAAATGTTTGCAAAGCAGCCAATCCAGAAGTATCATTTTACTTGTTGCTGATTGGCTGCACCCCAAAGAGTGGATAAGGAGCACCGTTGATATTAATATTATGCGCATCAAGCATTTTTAGGTATATTTAGTGTTTGTACAATTAAAATAGGCAGTTATAAATGTTTTTGGAAGGGGTCAAAAGTATTTGCAGATTTCTTGCTGTGAGACACTTGTACAGCCGGTTATCATAGTCAATTTAAAAAAAAAATTGCCAAGAATCTCATTTGTTTCCTTTTTTAAAATGATTTTAAGATCACACACAGATAGCTTGTGCAAATAATTCAGTTTTAAAATAGTTAATTTACTACAGGAGAATGTTATTTATCTAAACCTGGCTCCATGCAAAAAACAAACAAAAACAAAAACAAAAAAAAAACACTATTGTGGTAATAATGGTAATGTCCAACAAATTAAAATTACAGCTTAACAGCATGAAAAACTACAACTCTGTAAAATTTCATGATACTTATTGTACAGACTGGTTCCTAATGCAGTTTCATGTAATTCGAAGTTTGTTATTCAGCATATGAATAATTCTGAAATGACTAACATGTTTCTCTCTCAACAGTGGACTCTGCTGGACTTGTTGCTAATATGAGTGTAAGTATTTACATCGACAATACTCTAAATAATGACTGTATATGTGGGTGGAGAAAAGTGTTACTTTTCTGAAAGATTAGTTTCTGACTTCAAGGTTTACATTTAAATGCAAACATTTTTAAAATGATCTCCCATGTGTAAAGTTACATTTTAAGAAATTAACAAGTAATATCTATTTAAAAGTGATATTTATTATAAGGTCAGTATTTTTGGCTTTTGGTAATTTAAGTGCAAGAAGCCGGACCAGAAGATCACACCATACTTGAAGTCCAACCTACCAAAGCGGCTCCACTATGCTAACAGTCGACGTATTGAAGATGTCACTGTCCTAGTGGAGCCAAAATGGCAGTTTGAGAGGTATTCATTGATTACTTGCAATTTGTGTATCTTGACTGCAATTAAAAATTTTGGCTTACGTTTTTGTGTAGAACTCCATCTTATCTCAAGACCTTCTGTCATGTGTTTTTTTCTTTTTCTTTTTACTTTTTCAACTAAGTATCACTTAAGATATTTCTGATCCTTGTTAACAACAAATGATCAAAAGAAATTTTATTTCATGTTCAGTTTGTTTGAAATCTAAAGAAATTGGCTTTGATTGTTAAAAAAAAATAAATCAACTGACATAAAAGAAACAACAACCAAATAATGAATAAATTATAAGTGTCACAATTAGAGTAGAGTTTAATTTACTGATATTCAATTTTTTAATTTGATATTTAAGCATTTATATAGTTATTATATTACTATTATTATCATTATTTAGTTTTCAAAAATATGACTAACCACATATAAATGGATAGAGCAAGTGAAAGAAGGGCCATCTCTGTGTACAAAGCCATCAAAATCAAACAGATTCACCAAAGAGCAGACAACTAATGCTCTTTGGTGAAAAGCAGACATTAAAGATGACATTTGTTGGTTTATATTTTTGTTATCGCATTATTCATTCAGGAAATTATTCATTCCTGGAAATAGAGCCTAATTTTTTCTGGAAATCAAAGGAAGACTGGAAGGCACTGATTAAACAAGCAGCATTTGTTTTCATTATTTTTTTGTGGTTGTTACCATAGCTTGATTCATGGAATGCTATTGCGAGTTAGTAACTCCCTCCATTAACAGTTGAATTTTTTGACCTATTACTAATGAACGACTGGAAGCAGAAATGTAAAAAAAATATTTTTTTCCCCACAGATATTCAGGATCACTTACATTCTGCTCAGGTGGGAATCACGGCTACGACAACAATGTTGAGAGCATGCATGTAAGCAAAGAGTTCTCCTCCAATTTGGAAACCTGCCCACTTGAATTACAATTCATAGCAAATACAACAGAACTTACGTTTTTTCTTTTTTACAGGCAATGTTTCTCAGCTATGGACCAAAGTTTAAACAAAACACCACAATTGAACCCTTTGCTAACATTGAGCTATACAACTTAATGTGTGGTGAGTGTTTTATGTCTGAAAGAAAAAATGTGATCAATTAAATTAGCCCAAATATTAACTCTAAATGTAAACAGTTACTGTAAAAAATATTGTATTGAAAAGCTAAGAAACACCAAAGACGTTTTTTTTTTTTTTTTTTTTTTTCCACATTCCCAGACGTGCTAGAGATCTCTCCTTATGACAACAACGGAACCCGTGGCAGCATGAATCATGTTCTCAGCAAGACATTTTACAACCCAACTCACCCTGTGGAGCAAAGTGAGCCGACTCAGTGCCCGTTCATCAGTCTAACTCCTGAAGACCAACTGGGATGCAAATGCCCAGACCTAGTGAGTAACATTTTATGGTTTCATGTTATAGAATGTCCCACTGTTAGTCTAGGGTGAGAGGAAAGGACACATTTCTCTTCATTTTAAAAAACTTAAAACAAAACTGTTCAAAAGTACATTTCTTTTTACTTTATGCCAAATCGAAATTTTTCATTTGCAAACAACAATTAACGGATTAAAGAAATTGTGCCATCATTTTAATTTTTGCCATAAAAAAATGGCTTGCTTGTGTTTTTGTGTTCTTACTTATTTGATGCAGCCTGTATGGCTAAATGTGTAGTCTCACAAATCATTGCTACAGTGAGGGGCAGTTTGGTTTTAATTTTATTCAATGATTTTATTTTTTCAAAGAGTAAAATAATACAAACTGCAAGACAGGCACCAAAAACACTATTTGGAAAAAAATAGTAGCTATAGATTTCTTCTATTTTTGAATCTGTGTATAATCTAAATAAACCCACAGTGATGCTGCTTTTAAACAAATAAACACATTTAAAAAAGTGTGGTTCATTTCTGAGGTGCTTAAGCTGGTCTCTGGAGTCTTCACTCCAGGAAGTTCTTTAGATCCGAATGGATCCTGCATTCTGCACCCGGGGGAGAGAGTCTGGCGACAGGTCGCACTCTCATGAAGAAAATGGAGAAAATGTGATGCATAGTTGGGTAAAGTTCCCTGTGTACATTGTAAGACACCCTGGATCACACATATTGTTCTTTGTAAATGAACAATTTTATGGCCTACTTATTTTGGAGAAGACGGAACTTGTCGTTCCTTCCGATGGTTTTGCGGCACAGCAACCCCGCTGCAGTCCACAGCGATGCAGTGGCCTTCCTCTCCCTGTGGAGAGCAAACGCACTCACTAAAGGCTGTTAAGGATTCTGTTGACTGAATGAACTTCAACAGACGTGCATTCCAGGTGACCCTGCGTGGAAATTCTGCTCCCTGCTGACGACAGTGAAAAGCGGCGCGGTGGACGCGTCAAGTCTGCTCTGCTGTCGTAACGCGCATTGTTTTTCGGGAGTTGTAGTTTCCACTGCGGGGGAGGTCGGGTATCACCACGCGTCAGAGAGCTTGTCTCTGTTCGGCCCGTGTTGTTTTGACCCGGTTTCTGCCGTCTGGCTCCATCCGTGCGACCAGGAGTCTGTATCCTGAACGTTTCAGCTTTCCTGAGCTTGTTGGAAGTCAACAGTTCCTTAATAATGATTTGAAAAAGTATTAGTTCCACTGGCAGATTTTCTACTGGCAGAAGTAGAAAATAGTCAGAAAATACACAATGAAGTAAATGCAAACCAGCAGCACCTGTTTGGTGCCCCGGGTGAACCATGGGTGACAGACACTAGAACACAAAAGTCCTCAAATATTGTGGCTGTAACATAACATGTGAAAAATCAACACATTGCCAATGTGTTGATTCTTGAGATGCTTTTTGATCAAGGCAGTCCTGGAGTTAACTTATTCATCAATAATGAATCATATTCTGATGCATGAAAAACTATACAATCAGCCTTTTCAGGACAAAATAAACATAGGAATGTGAGCCTTGACCAGAAAAAAAAGTCTAAATGTGCCTGACTCCGTACTATGTGGTTCAAGATGTAATAGTGCTTGTCTGTGCAATTTTCTAAACACACCTTACAATGTTATGAATTTCTTCCATATCTTTCTTCATGTCTCAAATCTGACATAAAAAAGACAAACAGTTCATGTCTCTCAGGGTAATATGTCATATTCCAATATTGTAAAATTTTCAGACTGTTGCTCCATTCTGTCCTATATTGAAGGTTTTCTGCTGAATCATGAGGTCCTTGAATTAACATGTTTTTGAAAAACAACATGGACTGTTTGTACTTGCTGACAAGTGTACAGCATTACAGCAGTGATCTGTAAAATACCTTTATATAGTAAAATAAAGTAGAAAATATTTTGAGAAAGCTTTGACAAGTTTGGAAAGGAACTAAATCCAAGTTAAATAAGATTCTTTTGATAATGGTTCAATTGAAGCTCTGAAATATTTAAAATATAATGAAACCCAATGACTCAGGGCAGTCTCACCAATTCCATTGAAATTTATGCACATTACATGTCATTTCCAAACATTTGAGTTCATTTTTTTCTCCTTTTTATTCAAATGACTGAAAATACACCTTCAATTTCCATCATCTAAGATAAATGTAATACTTTTAAGATGAAAAGTTATTTTTCTGGAAAAAAAAAAACTGGCAGTGAAACTGACTAAATTCTCAGTAATACACAAAGCTTTAGAGAATTAGTCATAACTGAATTAATCTTATCTTTCAGAATCAAAACAGCTGGCTCATCAAAACTTCAGTGCTCCTATTTTACATCCTGTAATTCAGTCTTTAAGCACTATGTACTTTATTTGTCAAATTTAACACGATAAAATGAGAATATGTATAACTTTCCTGCAAACTTTCCTGTCTTCTTTGTGTTGTGAAAACATTGCATTTCTTTCTGTAACAGTTGCCAAATCTTTTATGTTATGCTGTAACTGAGAAATGTTTAAAGCTAAACTAACTTCAACTCGTCTCCATTTTATAGAATGAACAAGAACTTAACAGCCGTTTGAACTTGACGTTAGAGGAAAGTAAGTGGCTTTGACAAGTCTTTGTTCAATCAATTCTGTAAATATTAAAATTAAACACAGTATGTATCTAATAGATAAGAAGTCCGTTTATTATTATTATTATTATTATTATTATTATTATTATTATTATTATTATTATTATTACATTCAAATTCACTTCTATTTATATGAACTAGGAATTTTCCAACTTGCACAAAATGCTGCCAGGTACAATTAGACATGTTCTTGGAATAATTCAGGCAAGCGAAATAATTAAGCAATGACTCGTCAGCATTTCTGTCTAAACATTTGGTTTACCAGGTAAATAATCAAAGGATTTGCATCTGCCCTCTTTTAGAATCTGCTTCAGAAAAGAAGCACATGCTTTTTGGTCGTCCCCAAATGCTGCAGCCTGACAGAAGTTATTGCATCCTCCACCAAGAAGGATTCATCAGCGGCTACAGCCATGAAGTCCTCATGCCTCTCTGGAGCTCATTCACCATAGACAAACCTGTGAGTGTTTCGGTGAGCATGGAAAGTGGCAGAAAAGACACAATTTAACATGTTTTAAAGGTTCAAACCCAGTACATGCTTATTTTAAACTAAATCTCATCTGGATGCCTAACTTGCTTAAAAAATCTTATTTTTTAGAAATAGAAAAAGAAAAGAAAAGAAAAAGCTGTGCAACTACCCCCCTCCTTCAAACTGACCATGTGGAGGAGAAGAAATTCTGCAAGTTTCAAGGCTTTGAAACCTCACTCGTTTAAAGAGTTCTTGAGTTCAGACCACTTGAGCCCAGACTTCAGACCGCCCAGGAACAAGAAATTTTGCCCACTTTATTAATTTATCACTAAAAGATTTACAGTCACGTAATGTTTTTTAATCACCATTTTATGATTTTTTTCTTAGGAACTGTGTAAGCATATTTGTAAAGTCTTCCATTTTGTCCAGGGAACTACCATATTTCACCTCTGTGTCTCAGTGTGGGTCCATCTCCCATATTAGCATTTTCCAAAAATTGCCCATCCCCAAATCCTTCCCTTCGCTAGCGGATGGATAAATAATTCCCATATTCTAAAGTCCAAAATTTGACCATTATTAAAAGCAATAATTTAAGGGTAAACTATTGATTTGAACTTGCTTCTGGGTTTGATTTGTTTAAATAACTAAAGCATAACTTCCTTTTCTTTAGACCAACTTGGACCCATTACCACCAGTAATATCCAACTGTTTGAGGGCTGATGTAAGATTGCCAGAACACCAGAGCCCCAGATGTGATCAGTTTGAAGCTGCTGTACATTTGACTCATGCCTTCCTATACCCACCAAGTAAGTATAAAAAACTATCAGAATAAAAGTTCTGCTTTGTTACATATAAGGCACATTATGAAAACCACTATCAAAAACCATTATATATTTTACTTCCACAACTTTCGCAGGGCCAAATACCTAGTAGTCATTAGTGCCAGCTTAGAATACCTAAAGATTTAAAAAGCTTAATTAGTGGTTTTAGAGCATTTTCAGCCCAATAAGAGTTGACATTTTAAACCTTTAGCCCTCAATTAGCTGCACTGGTCTGGCACACAATTTGGAAAATTTTAAATTCCCAATATGATGAATGAATGAGTATAAAAAATTAACCAATTAGGATAAAGAGGTGTGAGTTTTTAGGTTTCTGTGTTTTTTTTTTGTTTGTTTTTGTTAATTTAGTTTGTGCCTTTCCCTTAATTATCTCCAGCTGTCCCTTGTTATGCTGACTACTCATCTGTGTATTTATACTCACCTGAGTCTTTTTCCCTGTTGATACTAGTCGTTATTGTGTCCTTTAGTCATGTGCCTTCCCAGTGCTACCTGTGTTTTTGAGCTCCTAGCCTCATCATTTGCCTCAGCTGCCAGGATTTTCTGTTCTCCTTTGAGTTTATCATTAAAATTGTAATTTCTCACAACCATCAACCTTCACCTCTAAGCCAGCATTTCATAACTGCTGTAATGTTTAACATTAGATATGAAACATTAGAAGCAAAGAATTGATTGCCTATTTTTATGATTTTACAGATCTGAATATAACAGTGGAACAGCAGTACGATGCCTTAATAATGAGCAATGTTGCCCCGATGTACCCTGCATTTAAGAGTAAGTTTGGATTTGTCTCTTCTAAGCCAGAAACGACAGAATTTCTTCTAAAAGCATTATATTAAGTCATTTTTATACTCTAGATGTCACCTTGTTAAATTGCCAGTTTGGTGATTATAAAAAATTAAAAAAATGTTTCCCAAATTTTTCTGCCTTTAATGTGACAATTATAGTGAAAGCCATAATGCTCTACTTGTGAAAATAAGTCTGTTGGCTGACAGTAATTTTGATTCTACACTGTTGGACAAGATATGATAAAAAAACAAAAAATAATAAAAAAATAAAATTGACAAAACACTTGACATCCATTTTACTTATGCTTATTTGAACATGTTCTTTTTTCTCAGGGATTTGGGATTACCTCCATAACACTTTGCTAAAGAAATATGCTTCCATATACAATGGCATTAATGTGGTGACTGGACCAGTCTTTGATTACAATTATGATGGCCGATATGACACTACAGAGCAGCTACAGCAGTAAGTGTCATTTCTGCAATGGGGTGTATCATCTTAAAACATTTTTAAACCTGTACTAAACTGAAAGCCCCTGCATTTTTTCTTATTTTTTATTGCAATGATATATTTGTAAAACATATCTAATTTTCTTGAAAATGATTAAATAAAATAAACTGATTTGGGGAAAAGAATGTCGTAAATGCAGATCAAAATCCACTTTTACATTGGATTGTTTGTCATAAAACCAGCCAGCTGTGATGTCATGGGTTTGATCAGGTGAAACGTGATATGCATTCACACGAATGAGAATTATGCTGGCCTCGCACAACATGAGAGTCCTTTTGCAATGATTCTGGTGTTTTCTTTAATATTTACAGCTAAATATGATCAAAGAATCTGTAGTATGTATTATGTAGACATAATCACAATCTGTTCATTTCCATTAGTACTGAGGTAACTGTTTAAGTAAATGAGTCTTAACAATCTTGTTTATGCTGGACTTGGAATCTAATGACATGCTCATCAACAAGTTTCTCTAAATCTGAGGTAAGTATCATGTAACCCCTCTGAGGCTTTAAAAGGATGCTCTGATTAACTTGAATTTCATCAGTAATATGATTGAAGATGAACTGGAAGAACTTTTCTGGCTGTTAATCTCTATAAAACCAAATAAGTGGTTGGGGTAATAGCTAAATATTTTTTCTGTGCACCTCTAGGTTTGTACCTGGCACCAACATAACTATCCCCACACATTACTTTGTGGTGTTAACAAGCTGCAAGAATGCAGGACAGCCAGTGAGCGCTTGTGGTGGTGAACTGCAGACTGTGTCTTTCCTCCTTCCCCACAAAGCTGACAACACAGAAAGATGCAAAGTAAGACTAAACCCACAGTGTTTCCTTTAATTCAGTGGTCCAAAACTACATACAGAGGCCAGCAACTTTTACATGTGTCTCTTGTCCAACACACTTGAATTTAATAGTGAAACTGCTGCACTGGCATGCAGTCAGGTTCAATATAAACTCTGCCAACGAGTTTATATTGACTCCAGGTGTGCTGAAGCAGTGAGACATCTAAAGTTGGTTTCCTTTCTGTTTGCAGACTTCTTTAGTCTAAAAGCACCCTCTGGGCCAGACACGGAAACCAGAACTTTTTCTGTTTGACGAAAACACGGAAGCAAAAAAAAAAAAAAAAAAACAAAAAAAAACATGCACAAGCTGTTACTTGGAAAAGCACCTTAGGGGAAACTGCTTCCCACTGATCCTAAACAAAGAGTTATCTTGCCTTGTTGTGTAATGTTATTTTTGCTGAATGCTGGAACTGTGGAGGAGTAAAGCTGACAAAGAAAAATCAGCAATGTCACATGTTAACTTATAAGGAGTACATAACATTTAACTCTGGCTTTCCTCATTTCGCATAAGCAAAAATCAAAGCGAGCTTTTTGTACCCTGGCTTCCTTGTCTAGATGTTGACATCATTTCTACTATTTGTTTCAATTCGCACCTGAATACCAACTTTTATTGGTAAAAAACAGAATTATTATTATTTTGTTGTATGGAAAAATAGAGAGTGGGACAACAACACATTAACCATAACCATTAACATGCAGCCTCCTCTGAATTCCACTGAGAACTTAACTGTGTTTAACTAAGGTGTACTGCAATCATAAGTTATTGAGGTGCAATAAGCATCTGGCATAGATTTAGGTCAGAGATCATTCTTCTCAGCAGAATGGTAAAATTCATTTCAATTTATTGGTTGCCTGGGTTGAGGTTGGAATCTTGGTAAGGTCAGTCCAAAAGCTTGATATGTTTTGTGTGCTTGAAATTACTATCCTATTGATAGCGATGCCAATATTTATTTGTGTTTCAACCTAATTAGAAAGCCTAGGTTGAGAATGATTCCATTCACTTCGTGTCATGCTCTAATATCACTGTCAGAGAAATAAGCTTAGCAATGTTCTGACGTTTGAAAACTTTACATTGACTTCATTCATGCAAGTCAATCTTTATCTAATCAAACCAGTCTCTGCAAAGCAGATGAAAACTAGACCTTTAAAACTAGACTAAACCCCCATCTGATTAGTTGCTTTCGAAACATAATCAATGAAACATTGATGTTTCAATTGTTGCTTGTGTGTTCTGTGACTTTGTATTTTTATGTTTTTAAGATGTAAAGCACTTTGAAATGCCTTTCTTGCTAAAAAGTGCTATCCAAATAGAATTTGAAATATCCAGCCAGAATGATGCCAGAAGGTTGATGGTGGCTTACAAATTAAAGTGGAAGGTGGAGCTCGCAATGGAAATAAATAACCAAACATCATTAAGGTGTATCTAGATATCTGAGCTTGTATGTACAATTTTTAGGTCTTTTCTTTACCAAGTAAAAGTAGATCCAATTAATCATTAAAAGTCCATAAGTAATATGCCATAAATAATTAATGTACACCTCTGAACAGAGCTGTGTAATCAGAGCTGTGTAACCTGTGTAAACAGGTTTGTGTAATCAAACCTGTTTTCCCTTTTCTCTTGTTTTAACAGACCACAGAAGATGAATCCTTGTGGGTGGAAGATCACATCTGGTTTCATCAGTCAAGGGTCAGAGATGTCGAGTGGATCACAGGACTGGACTTTTATTCAGCCAGTAGTCGACCAGTTCCAGAACTGCTGATGATGAAGACGCGCCCCACAGCTGCAATCAAAAGAAAACAATGACCAGTTAAATCAGAAACACACAGAAACTTGTAAACAAATGTTTAATTTCAGCTATTAACTAAAAGCACTTATCCAAGTAACTTTATTTATTTAACTTAAATAAAGTTAAATAACTTTATTTAAGTTAAATAAATAAAGTTTATTTAACTTTATTTAAAGTTAAATAAACTTTAAATAAAGTTTATTTATTTAAAGATTTCTTTAATCTTGTGTTAAAGAAATCTTTGACGTAAGATTTCTTTAATCTTACGTCAAAGTCACTGCTTTGTTTCAAAAATCAGTTTTTGAGTACAATACAGAATGTATGAAGCCCAGTAACATGTAATCAATGTACCATTTCTGTAAAAGTAGCCACTATATAACTTTGTAAACATATTGTTTTACATGTAAAGCGAGACTTTTTCTCAATCCAAACTTGAAATTAAAATCATGTTTACATGGTTCTCAAATAGGTTTACATTTATTTATATAGGATTCTCCTGAAACATGGTTGTTCACATGTTTTCAGTTTTACTTGAGGCGCCATAAAATTTGGGAAGTATGTAGTTTTTGAACCAAGCCCCTATTAAATCCGAACATTTGCTCCATGGGAAGTGACTGTACACACTGGTTTCGTTTACAGAATTCTGGTCAGGATTTTCTTTCTTTTCTGCTTGTGTCTGTTTATAGCTAGTCATATAAACATTAGTTTACTCTCTATGAGGGGCACTGCTAGGAATCTTGGGCCCCATGACAAGGATTTAAATTGGGCCCTCCCACCCTGCTGCTGTTACAATTTTGTCGACATACAGTACGCAAGAAGGTTGCTTAAATTTTTTCTGTTAGTTTAGATTACTGAAATATCTCTCCCCAAGAGCAACAGTCATGGGCAGCATGCAAAATACACATGAAGCAATCCAGACTTCCCAAAAATGCTATGCAGTTACATTTCATTCAAGCTGCAGCATGTAACCTTAATAAAAATATATGTTTACTCCATATTTGTTAAAGCTGCCACCATGTTGTGACAGTTTGTTATGAGGCAAACTGTCTCAAAACAAACCTGTATTTATTGTGTAATTTTTAATCTGATTTAAAGTAAACTATAATTTTTAAGCTAGTCTTAAGATCAGCCGGTATCTAAAGGTAATGTATCACATCACCACATAATATTAATCTTCCTCTTTTAGTTTAACAATTAAAAGTGTTATTGTAAAGATGAGATATTGACATGCTTTTTTGAAAGGCATTTGAAATTATAGTTCAGTCAAACCATTACTCATGTTCATAAACCTATCAACAGAGCAGACATAGACAAATCGTCTTTTATATGCTGCCAAATTCACTGGATGCCAGAAGTTGAGGAAATAATTCTGGTTTCCCTTGTTTCCAGCTCAACGATTGAAAGTGAGAATCATTTTAGCCATTAAGAAAATTGAGGCTCTTTCAATAGATTTAGGCTTTGCTTAAATACTATTTCTATTTGATTAATTTTTTTTTCCCAGAGTTCAAAGCCATCCATCCATCCATCCATCCATCCATCCATCCATCCATCCATCCATCCATCCATCCATCCATCCATCCATCCATCCATCCATCCATCCATCCATCCATCCATCCATCATCCATCCATCCATCCATCCATCCATCCATCCATCCATCCATCCATCCATTTTTTTCCCGCTTATCCGGGATCAAGTCGCGGGAAGGGAAACCTAGACTTCCCTCTCCCCAGCCATTTCTTCCAGCTCTTCAGGGGGAGTCCCAGGGCGTTTCCAGGCCAGCCGAGAAATAGTCCCTCCTCCTCCAGGTGGGACCCAGTTCAAAGCTAGAAATTGTTTTGTTTTTAATTATCCTACAATTGCTGCTTACCAATAAGCTGTACAGTTTGCCAGAATTTAGATTTTATTTAACCTGTGATTCTAAACATTAACTGAGTCATCATAAAATTAAGACGATGAATCAGCTGTTAAATAACAGAATAAACAAATAGTGAAACTCAAGATTTAAATCAAATGTGCTAATCACATAGAGCCTGAAGCTTCTTTGTGGATGAAAACATGTCAGATAAGTTGCCTGAGGCAAACTGAGAGCATTTTATTAGGTTGCAACAAATTGAAACCTTGACAAGTTTTGACAACTCTGTAACTACGGTATAGCATCAGAGTGACTCTGGAAAAGTGGTGTGTGTGCAGAACAAAACAGATGACCTCACATTCTTTGAATGTATTCATCCCAGACCTGGAAATACATGTATACACAAACACACTGAGAAGCAACAGAGTGATGAGAGAAACCAAAGAATGGAGGGAGGATACTATGTCTGATTTTATAATGTCCTCTATACCATAGGATATCATAATGACATCTCTGTGTTATTATAACTAATAATAATTTATGTCATTGTGACTCTACAGCATGAGGCTGACACTATCATGGTTTAATGGTACTAATAAGTTTTCAGGGCCTGGCAGTATCAGTCTTTTTTTTTTTTTTTTTTTTAGTTTTGGCTACTTTTTCTTTCCCACTGATGACTTTTTATATATCGGACAGAAAATTTCACTTTGGTCTATTTTCATAAGTGGACCTTATTCCTTACAATTGCTGTTTCACTTACATGGCTTGAGACAATTTTAATTGGTGTCTTTATGGATGCACTTCAAGAACTATCTTCTTTATTTTTATTAAGGTTAAATGTGTGGAATACATTACTCCCATATGAGCTGTGGATATCTGCAGTTTCTCCTGCGTTATATACTTTGACCCCCAAGTTACTAACAGCTGGAGGCTATATCCAACTTATTTGTTTATTTAATCTTTTTTAGTTGTTTTTTTCTTGTGCTCTGAAAGAGTTTAATACCCTATGGAAGGAGTGAGTTCTGAATATTTTTCAGACGTTTTACCTCTTTGCATCACTCAAATACAAACAATTTCTGTAAAAAGCACAAAGTAATTCCAATTGCAAATAGGATACACAGCACCAACTAATACTGGAAAGGATACAGGTGACAGTGAATTGGTTTTGGGGAGGAGAGCTGGTTCGCAGGTGTTGATTTAATCAAAACTGGAGATCATTAACAATCAAGAATTACTGAAATATAATGCAATAATGCAAATTAAAAAAAGACAAAGTGTAACCAGAGGTGTTGAGGGGAATGAATCCTCAGACAATCTGCCCAGATGACAGTTTTTTTCCTCAACAAATTTATTTTTAGAGCATTTACTCTCACTGAAACCCCAGTTTATGTTGCGTTTTGATGTTTTTACTCAACTGACGTGCATCACGTGAAATTGTCAATGTGTGTTGCATAATGGCATTTTGGAAGTAGAGCACATTTTAACCTGAAGGCCAGAAATAATTACATGACTTAAGATTAGATCTGTTTTTTTTTCTTTTTTCATTAGTTCCTGAAGGCAAATATCTCTGCCAGCCATGATCTACTCATGTTGCAACATAAAAATATATTTGTGGATTCTATCTTTGGTATTTAGTGCATTAGTAATAACATCAACACATCAATATAATAAAGTTATTTCCTGCTCAGTCCATATTGAAAAACCCCAGAGAAGAAAGTGATGCATAATCAATAACTTTTCCATTAGCTTATAATAAGGAAATGGATTTTTGTGTGTGTTTCTAGTTTAGGTGTTTTCTTTGTGTCTTGTCTATGCCTTGGTTGTCCCAGGCTGACTCCAGTTTTCCCTGATTACTCTCTTGTGTTTTTAACCCCACCTGTGTCAGCTGCTTCCATTTGGATCCTTATCATTAGTTGTGTGAAGTCTCTGTGCCTATCTGCATCTCTGAACTTTATCACCATTAAAATTGTCATTCTGCACTTCATCCTCAGTCTGACCACATCCATCCTCACCGCAAACACCACAACTCATGACGCTCATAGCCTTGGTTTTCCATAAAGAAAATTCAATAATTCACTATTCCAGTGAAACCTTTTTTTACATAGACTTAGCAAAGGCGGCTTTCATTCCAAGCATCAGTCCAAGATGAAAACCACTGTTGACAAAAATAGAACACAGACTCATAATTTGACAAAAATATATTGATGGTCCCCAAAATATTCAGTCCATTAATAAGACAAAAGTAAAATTTCTCACAAGTTGTACACTCCATTACAAAAAGAAAATAATGAGCAACCTTTAAGAAAGATGACTTCAAACTGACGGGGTGGTAATTAACAGAATCTTGAATTATGCTCACTAGCATTAAAAGATGAAGAAATTGCCCCAGCTTTCCTTGGTTTTGACCCAAAGCTCATTTGGGTCTTACACACATAATAAATCAATATGAAAGCTTTATAATGGCCAAGTCAAAGTCTGGACTCTAAATATCTGTGCTGTGCCATTACTTTTTTATAGAGTCCATTTGGGTTGGAAGGCTTTTGTTCCTTTGTCACATGTGTAAAACTCAAACTTCACTCGAGAGAGCGACAGAACATTATGTTGAAAGTCAAATTGACTCGTTTTAAAAAATAATTGGAAGTATTATTTCTGCATGAAAATGTTTCCATTTGTCTTAATAGGCACATTCTACGTATAAATTGAAAATAGTTCATTTTACACATTTCCAATCCCTCCAGCCCCCCTTTCCTAGTCTATATATTGCATAGATGCTGTTTGTGTCAGTTTGACCCAGAAGTCAAGTTGAAGGGTAAAAAAGGTAAAAAAGATTTCCAATTCTGTTTCCTTGCAGTTATGAGACATATTTCACCAGACACACATGCCCACCCACGCACACCCACACCCACACCACACCACACCAGACGCATACATCCACATGTGGAAGCACACAGAACCCCTTTTCACTAGTCTCTTTACTTCACTAGGAAATTGCGAGAAAGCAGGTGTTCATACAACTTTTGACAGGAATCTTTTCTGTTCCCATGGAAAACCTCAACTCACACTGAGAGGACACTCAGCAGAAGTGGAAGAAAACATAAATACTCTCTACAGGACTCATTTGTCTTGATTTCAATCACTGGGTCAATTTGACCCTGAACAGAATATGTGTCTCAAGTTCAATTATAAAGATCACCCATTGAAAGAAAATTCAAAATGTAATATAAAGAACTTTACAATAGATACATTTCAAAGATAATTATTGGGGTTTTTTTTTGGTTTTTTTTCAGTGGACATAAAAAATTTAAATTGCAATTTTTATGTTTAAATAAGTAAATGAGTATGTTGTTGTCATTGATCCTTTATTTGTGAGAAATAAAAAAGCATCATTACACAAATATTGATTGAAATGGTTAGTATTGAAGTTAACAAACAGGTACAAAAATGTTTTGGAGGATTTTTTTGGTTTCTGACACAATTGCATGATTAAACCCTCTATGGGTCAAACTGACCCAGGAACATTATTGCTGTACCTCAGAAACGAACAAAACAGGAAGGTTAAATATTATTTTATTAGTCAAATAAAATAAGTTTTTATTTGTATCATGCCAAATTACTGAAGTGTAAAAGGCGTGTTTAATTATTTGTATTTCATTGCAGAGAAAGCTACAACATTTAAACTATTTGTTAAAATATTAATAGAAACTGCATTTGATCATGTTTTCAAATGCATTTGTATTTATTGATACCAGAAAAAGCTTCTGGCTTTTTCCTGAATTGAAATGGGTGGAAGCAGATACTCAGTGGAAAAAATCATTCAGACAAACAAAACTCAAGTAATTGATTGGTACAAATTCACTTTACTGTGAATCACCTTTAGATGGTTTCAGGACGTTAGAATAATGTGCGTCACGTCGTGAGGGAAGATAAATAGGAGACCCATGAAGGGCATCCCCACCGACTATCTTCATGATGGTAGGTGGAGACTGAAACTGAGACGCTTGTTTCGCCTGTTTCCTGTGAGCCATCATAGAAACAGGCGGACAAGGACAATTTACTACTTGATTATTATCATTCGAAAATCAGCTTGTTCGTATTTCCTGTGATTTCCGTTTTGCTTAATATTGCTTTTGGTGTTTTGTTTCTTTCTTCCAGAATTATTTCACCCTCTCAACGCAGCTGCTCGTCTTCCTCTCCTGGCTGGTGAACGGCGTCACCTCCCAGCTGACGTATGAAGTGACCGACCCGATCACCGGCACCTCTCTGCAGTGTGACAGCTGCCAGCCGGGATCCTTCCTGCGCGCCAGATGCTCCTCCATCAAAAAGAGCGATTGCGCTCCGTGTCCAGAAGGCTCCTTCACGGAGCTCTGGAACTACATCGGAAGATGTTTACGCTGCGGAGTCTGCGGGCGGAACCAGGTGGTGAAGAAGGAATGCACCGCAAAACACGACTGTCAGTGCGAGTGTAAACAGGGTTACTTCTACCGTCAGGACTACGACATGTGCTTCAGACACAGCGAGTGTCCCTCTGGACAGGGAGTTCTCACCAAAGGTACAGCCACCTCTGAGAATGTCCGAGATCTCCTGGAAAATGTGCAGATACAGGGCACATTTTCTTCCAATAACGATATGGGGGAATAAAATACGCTGACCTCACTTTATGGCGTTGCAAGCCAAAACAAACACAATATGTGTGAAAGAAATATGTTGAAGGCTGTTCATAGAAGTTGCCAGGGTGATATTTTTTTAATTTTTATTTTGTTCATTTGAGCAAGTGATCAATCTCTATATTTTCAACTCTCATAGGTTGTTTCAAAGCGCAGATAACCAGAAGAATATTTTACTTGGTAGAGGGCTGGATTGCAGAACCATGAAGAACATAAAACATGTCAAATTATTATTCAGGATTCCCACAATTGAGCAGTTTTTACCTCTGTTGCCTTTGGCTGTTTATGGAAGGAGATTCCATTCTTCCTTCAATATATAAAGTAAATGAACTTAATTGTGAAATGAAGAATTTTCTTGTTCACATTGTGTGATGCTGCCTCACTGAGGCAAATTATTGCAATTGCACTTCCAGTGTGTTTTTCTTATTCACAAACAAGGAAATGTGTGATCATTTATTTCTGAAAGCTGTTAAAGGCTCTCGGTTTCATATTTATGGTCTCCTTAATTATTCATTTAAATACATTTCCATTTCAAACACATGAAGTTTGATTAATGGAAATGCAAATGATAAATAATTTAATATTAATGTTATAATGTAAGAAACATATTTTGATACTGCTTAAACTATATATTTGTAATTAAAAGGGAAAAAATGATTCACTTGCAGGTACAGCCGAGAACGACACAGTGTGCAGCATCTGCTCTGAAGGCAGCTTCTCTGATATTTCCTCCACCCAGCAAAACTGCACTCAGCACAAGAGCTGCAGCGATGCAGGCCTGCAGTTAGTGCTGAGAGGATCCACGTGGCATGACAGTGTGTGTGCAAACTGTCAACAGCTCAAAGGTAAAAAAAAACAAAAAACAATAAAATTCAAAAAAATAAAAAAAGTTTAAGCAGCAGGTGTTTTAATCAAGGAAAAAAATCTGACATATAATTCACCTGAAATTAACATTGATGTTTTATTACTATTGAAATTTCCAACTTGACTGTTTGTCCGTTTTTAAGAATGTTCTCAGTAGTTCTCTAAGTAGCTCTAACAACATTTTTTACTTTCAGATGGAGCTGAATACCTGAAAGAAATAATCCCGTCTTTTTTCATTCACCACAAAATGAACATCAAACGGTTGCGACGAATTGTACTCAGGCTCCCATCTGAAGAAGGCAAAAAACCAAGAGAGTCTCTGGAGCTCAACATCTCAGAACTCCATTCACACATTCGCAGTTGGGTATCATCCGCCACAGCGGCACAAATTCAGCAGCTTCCAGACATATTGACTAAAACAGGAGCAACTACTGCTAGTGAGAAACTACAGAGCAAGCTCAACAGCATTGAAAGACATCTGACAGAGCACTGTCATTCCGAGATCTTTGATAATGTTATCGTGAGTTAATCCACAGCAATTTGACCCAGAAATATGTACTGTACCACTTACAGAACGTAAAGATGCAAGGCGGCATGAAATCCTCTGTTTAAAACAACATCTATCTCAACAGTTTCTGTTTAAAATTATTGGAAAAAAGCCAAGAAAATACATAAAAGTAGAAAACTGATGAGTTTAAATATTTTAAAACAAACTGACCCCTATTAACACTTCTCTACCTTATATGGAGGTTTAAATTTATAAAAAAAGCATTTAAGTAAATTAAGTACTTATAATTTCATTCTTCATTTTGCTAATTTTGCTTTATTAGTTTTGGATAATTGGTCAAATTGCATCCGATGCATCTGTTTTAGTCATGTTATATATCCATGGAATTAACTGGAAGCAAATAACAGAGAAATAAACATTATAGAATGAAGCGTTAAGTAAAGATTAGAAGAATGATAAAATTACTAAGACAAAGCTGTCGGAATCAGAGTACCAAGTAATCTACATAAAGAGATCGTTTAAGCTCTAATGCAAAACCTGACAGCCCACAAACATAACCATCGAGATGAAACTGTTCTTCTGAAGTGTGACATAACAGCATCTCTAATGTCTTAGTCTATAGAGGAAGTAGCAGCCTAAATAAGATGGAAATTTAAAAAATACTTAGTCTAATGACAATACTGTCAGTTCCTTCATGCCATTCCTGCCATTGAGGATTTGAAAATTAAAAAAGAAAAAAACTGTGGCACTTACAAACGTTTATTAACCGAGATAAAATGAAAAATTGTTTACAAATTGCTGCACAGGACACAAGTCTTTCTTAGTTAACTTGATGCTTCACATCTGTGGATGATGGTACCAAATGGCTTTAGAAGATGTTTCCTTCTAATCAATGGACAGTTAGATTTTTATTTCATTTTGCAGCTTGGCCACCTCTGTCAGGGTAGTAGCACTGACAACAGAAAGTTTTAGATTAACAGATTGCTGTTCCTATTTATTTTATTCCCTTTTTTTCTCTTAACCAATCAGACATTTCTTACCTCTACTTCCCTTACTGGGAAGATTTGCTTTTATGGTGGTAGTACACACCTGAAACTGTATCAGTAAAAGTGGGTAGGTATGTATAGAAATGCTTGTGTAGTGTATGTTCTTCCACCTGCTTTGTTTCTCATTTTGACTATGCCAAAGCGGAGGGATCTGACCAAGAGTCAAGTTTTGTTTTGTTTTTTTGTCATTTTTTTACTGAGATACTTGTAAGCCAGAGGGGGCATATGTTTTACAGTTGATATTTGTGTATTTCCAACATTTCTGCTTTTTGGGTGCATTGCCTGAGCTTGAGATTTTGTGAGGTTAACGTGGGATAGTTAAGTCATGGAAATACATGTCTTACGTTGCTCTCCATTTCACTGTTCCTTTAGAACATTGGTCATTAATGCTTTTTAAATAATAAAACATAAGGAAAAGAGGTTGTTTTTTTCTATGACTTTCTTTTTATGTGTGAAAAACCTGCAACTTGAACCCTAACATTTTGAAGTGATTATCCCTTCAGCAGTATGAGGTATCAGCTTGTTGTATATCTTCCTTTTAAAATTTGTGGTAAGGATCTGCAGCATCTGTGTTCCTTTTTCTATGGTATGTAAAAATGATCCTAATTTATGTTTTCTATTTATATTAGGGAGCTAAAATATGAAGTCAGTAGCACTTTTTGTTTCTAGTCAGTTACCTTTGCTTAGCATATACAACAAATATAATTTAGTATATACAATAAATATAATATAAACTATGAGATCATAGTTTATTTATAGAAATATAAATAAACCATAGTTATAGATAGATTAGTAAGTAAAAAATATATTTATATGGATGAGGTAAAATGTGAAATCAGTAAGACTTTTTAATCAGGGACAGGGGATCTACACTAGATCCACCTCCCAGTCCCAAGTCGTTTGCATCCTGTAACAGTTTTTAAAGGATTATTTATTGTTTAAACTACTTTTGTTTTTTTGAATGGATAATTTTGAACCAAAAACATAATAATCAGATCTTTCAATAAATTCAAAAGCTTTTGTTGAACTGCAGTCATCTAAGTCAGGTGTGTTAAAGCAGGGAAACATCTATAACATGCAGAGCGTTGTGCCTCGAGTACAGAGAAAAACAGAATACTTCCTCTGTGTTCCTGAAAAACACATTTGTCCTCAAGAGGGCGTAATCAATCTAAGTAATTTATCAAGGATTAAGGCAGAGGGAGTACAGAATTTGGCTTGGAATCATTTCCACATGAACACATTTTCTACACCAACAAAACAGGTTAGAAAACTCTAAACTTTTCTCTTATTAAAATAAATGATTACTTTCATTTTTTTTTATGAAAATATTTTAGGTTTAATTTATTGATTGGCCTGGAGTGCTTTAATCTTGGTGACTTTGGCCCTTGGCTGTTGTAATGTTAATATTACACTTAAACAAATAAACACTTGCATGTGTTTTTGAGCAGACACCTATTTGCACAGTTTCAAGAAAAAAAGCTGATTTTCTATTGATAAAACTATTATCAAAATGTTAGTTTATTATAATTAGTTTCAAAAGTAAAACTCAATGACTAAGCCAAATTAGAAAAAAGCATCTGTTTTTACATGCTAAAACATGTATTCCAGTAATCAGTAAAAAAAGGCTTAATGTCACCACTTTTTGTGATTATTTTTCATAGTTCATGTCTTGCAATAAGTCTGATGTTGAAATGTCTGACATTAATGCAATCTTATATTCACTGAAACATTTACGACAGAACTCTTAATTTAAAAATGTTGCAAATATCCAGTCATTTTGGGCAAGTAAAAATATGTTAACTTTAAATCTGCGAAAGACATGACTAACAAATAAGATGATGTATTTCACTGGTTTATGTCTGTATTGTTATTTTTTTTTTAATCAGTAAGGCTTTCAGCTAACAGCTGAATAACTTTATGAAGATACCCATCTCAGTAACGTCCAAGTGTTGAGGACATAAACTGAGCTAACCTGGTTAAAACCAGTCTCTTGTACTACACTTTGCTTTGTAGGTCTGGTCTCTCAGCTGTTGAGAAACAATTGATTCCTGGAGGTGTGGACTGTGTTGAGGTTTTAAACGTTATTCAGCTAATAGTGTTTTCCAATCACGTACGTATTGATGCAGTTTGAGGTGTGGTGCGGCAGAAGCACATCTAAAAGTTGCAGGGCAGTGGCCCTTGAGGACTGGAGTTTAACACCAGGGCTATACGTCCAACTGCTGAGGACTTATTGACATACTTTTCATCAGGCATGTTTTTCAAATCCTTTTCCTGTTATTGCTCAAATGACATTCTATTTCAATTTTCAGCATTATATTACAGCAATCTAAGAGCCAGCTTCCTTAGCAATGACCTTTTGTCGCTTCCCCTCCTTGTGCAGGGAGTCAACCTTCTAATCAGTAGTCTTCCACATGATTGTGTAGAAGAAAACATCACATTTTCATACATTTTATTGGTCTTTTGTAATTGTTTTAAGAAACTGAATTTTGCCATTGGTAAACTAGAATAATCCAATTTACAAGAAGTAATTAAACAATTGTTAATATAAATTAATTAAACCATATCTTTAATAAATTAATTCAACGATTTAATTGATATTAACAATTAAATAATAATAATAATAATAATAATAATAATAATAATAATAATAATAATAATAATAATAATAATAATAATAATAATAATGGAGGAACTGGTTTCCTGTAATAATTGACTATCGCAACCATTATTACCTTCTGGTTGTGATAGATGTGAGTTCTGGCCAAAATTCCCATCTGATCACACTGCACAAAAGCCTGAATTATACGCAGTATTACCTGTGGATTATGGATAAAATAATTAAATTAACAAATAATCTACTCAGAATACACGTGAAATTGTGGCTGATGCAAATGGGGAAAGAGGAATTTCCCTAGTTCTATAAAAAGCTCATCTCAACCAAATAAATAGAGGTGGGAAGCAGAAAGAAATTCATCTTCCTGACTGCCTGTCCAGATCATCCTCATCATAATGGTATGTGGAGGCAGTGCGGCAGAAATGTGCTCTTACTGCAAGCGCGTTTTATGAAGGCAGCATCTGACAGAAACAGTTTTACACGATGTATTCTAACAGTGCCCATGTTTAGCTCTAATCGTGTAGTTTCGAGTGAATTCTTTCTATCTCAATTTAAGTTCTGCTAAGTTTTGCTTCCTGGCGTTTTTTCTTCTCTCTCCAGGAGTTTTTAAACCTCTCAACGGAGCTGTTCATCCTCCTGTCTGTGCGCTCCTGGCTGGTGAACGGCGTCACCTCCTCGTTGACCTACGAAGTGACCGACCCGATCACCGGCACCTCTCTGCAGTGTGACAGCTGCCCGCCGGGAACATTTCTGCGCGCCAGATGCTCCTCCGTCAAAAAAAGCGATTGCGCTCCGTGTCCAGAAGGCACCTTCACGGAGCTCTCGAACTACATAGGGAGATGTTTACGCTGCGGAATCTGCGGGCGGAACCAGGTGGTGAAGAAGGAATGCACCGCAACCAGCGACTGTCAGTGCGAGTGTAAACAGGGTTACTTCTACCGTCAGGACTACGACATGTGCTTCAGACACAGAGAGTGTCCCTCTGGACAGGGAGTGATCACCAAAGGTACAGCCACTCTACACGAGCTTGGTTTCATTAACAATGTGGTTTTATTGATAGTTTATGCTTCACCTGCAGGTACACCAGAGAGAGACACAGTGTGCGGTATCTGCTCTGTTGGCACCTTCTCTGATATTTCCTCCACTGATCAAAACTGCACTCAGCACAAGAGCTGCAGCGACGCGGGGCTGCAGGTGGTGATGAAAGGCGCCATCTGGCATGACAGCCTGTGTGCAAACTGCAGTAACCTCAAAGGTAAAATATTTTCCTTCAAGCCAGAAATTGGCTGGTCAATATCTGTAGCCTGTTATAAAGGGGTTATTTAATTATGTGTTGGCGCAGATAGAGCAGTTATTTTATCTGTCAGTCCTATCTATAAAGGTCAAACGGCAGGACATGGGTCAAATAGACTGACTGCATTTTAGCCAATCAGATGTTTCAGTGCACTACTGCATAACCAAATATTTAATATTCCACAACAAATGGTCTGTTTAAACTGATCTTAATTTTTTCCTCCAATGTCTTATTTAGCTTTGAATGTTTGATAATCTATCTAGCTGTACTAATTAATAAACTAATTATGACAAAATTAAATAATAAGGACAGGAATCATTTTCTTTTTCATTCATTTGTTTTCATTATATAAAGTGTTGCCTTGTTGCTGAAATGTGCTAAAGATGTAAATTTGCCTTCATTTTTTTTTATAACAAATGTTTAATGTTTTTTTTCTATGTCTAAAAATGATTCTGTATATATGTTTAGATTTGTTTAATGTTCTGGGCTTTTATTAACGTTCTATATTCAAACACTACGTCACCAATATATCTAAAATACGTCCACGTCTCAGTAACTGAAAGTTATTTAAAACATTACTAAACACTGATTTATGACTTCAAAAGGTCTTGTTTTACTTTCTACTCCCTGAAAGTAGATAGTGAAACAGTTTTGTTATGTCTGTGTTGCTGGAATGTGTCATAACGTCCCGACTGTCTGTCTCCTCTCTCTAGATGGAGCTGAATATCTCAAAGAAATTGTCCCCGCCTTTTTCATTCATCACAAAATAAAAATCAAACGGCTGCGTCGAGTGGTGAACAAGCTTCCATCTGACAACATCAGAAAGCAAGAAGGAACTTTGGAGCTCAGCTTCTCAGAGCTTCACTCCCGCATCAGCAGCTGGGTTTCATCTGCAACTCCGATGCAGATCCGGCAGCTTCCAGCCATTCTGATTAAACTGAGAGCGTCTCACGCAGGAGAAAAACTACAAAAGAAGCTGAATGGAATTGACAAAAATCTATTAAAGCTGTGCCATTTAGGACATGATAGGGAGGTAGATTTAAGTTCAATTTTTGCTTAATTTCTATTTCTTTTTTTCTTTTTTTTTTCCTGCACACGGCCTTTCAAATATTTCACAGGCTGCTTTGTTATGATAAGATTTGATTGTTTTGTGTCATACCAACATGCTGTCTTACTTCTGTTTTTTCAGGCATTGACACTTTATGCCAAGTTAAAGAAAGATGGGAGCTTTGAATTTAGTTTTAGGAGGTAGAATTTGCACTGAGGGCATCTAAAATATGTTAAAGGGGCAGAATTATGTAAAGTCAAAATTTTTGAGCTTTACATCATGTTGAAATGTTCTTCCCTCATTAGAACCATACCTTTAATCTCCGAAGCAACCAGTTGGGGCAAAAACGCCTGGGTAGACCGAGTGCCTCCAAGCAGGAGCAGGAGTTTCCAAGCTTTAGCGTCACAGAGCAGCCCTCCCTCACTGAGCTCCTTCAGACTAGCCAGCAGCAATTAGCAAACACCTGGTGGAATTGAGCATCAGCTAAGGTCTTTATAGGAGCTCACCTGGTTATGGAACTTTGGTAAAAATGTTGTTAAAGGGTTAATAGAGGAGCACTGTTGTGATGACTTCCTGAAGGCCTCATTTCAAGGCATTAAATTATGATGTCAACATTCCTTTAAGTCATATTTCATCTATGCATCATTTTATAACAACATAGTTACTTGATTATGCTATAAAATGGCACTATGTGCCTAGAAAATACATAATACTGCCCCTTCAAATTCATAAAGTGTAAATGTTGAAAAGCTTCAGTCTACATTTATCTACCTCCCCTATTTATTTCTCCTGAAGTCAGATTGAGCGTTTTTCACTTTTACTTACTGTATTTCAAAAATTGTATTTTAAAAGTATTACTTTGGTACATATTGTGCTGAAATTGTCAAAAGAGAGATATTAATTTATTTGAAGAAATATGCTAAGTTTATTTTATTTTATACACATAGAATTATTGTTTTTTTTAATGTGGAATATTGCTGCTTACATTGCTCCAATAAAAACAAAACACATATAATCAGTCCTAATTCATCTTTTGTAACAATGACAGCTCCACCAACATCTTCAATCACTACTTACATATCCAGACAAACTGGATTTCAGAGATTTCATGTTCAGCCATGCACAGGCCAACAACTACATAACACCTTCAATACAATGTTTATTTAGTGTTGTTTCATGTTTTTAAGTCTTCACATATGAAAGGTAAAATAAGATCAATTCAGCAGAATGTATAAAACACCAGTTATCCCCACAAACAGCAGAAACATTGATCTAACCGTTATAGCAAAGTGTGGCCAATTATAAGATAAATCTTACTACATTCGCTATAATACAATATCATTAAAAATTTATATCCTGTGAACAGCCCCTAATTTAAATGTATTTTATCAAGATTTTATCTCACCAACCAGCATAAAGTATTTCATAGCTGTTAAGTGAATTGACAATACATGGCTATTTTCCTCACCACCAAAGAATCCCAAACTCCTTTGGATTTCTTCCATCAGAAAGCTTCAAAAAGTATTTCAAAGGGAATGTAATATGTAAAATCAACTTTTTTGAGCTTGATATAATGTTAAGTTATTATCTAATCAAACCTGGAGTGTTGCTTTGCATGTTTGAGAAATCTTTGAATCTTCTGTGGCAGCCGTACAGAATTGTAAAACACTTGGGGGAACCAAACACCGCCTTCCATGTTCAGCTCCTCCTCAAAGCTGCAGTCAAGTCAAGCTTTCGCATTACAGAGCACCCCTTCTTCACAACTCCCCCATTGAGCTTTTTCAGGCTAACAACAGCAGAAATTAGCAAACACCAAAGCTACAATAGGAAGCAAACTTCAGTGACCACTTTGTCCAAACTATACAAAAACAGCCGACGTCTGTGTCCATTAGAGCCGCCAACTGAAACACGCATTGTGTCTGTATGGCCAAGGAAAAATAATAAAGTCAGAAGTTATAGTGTTACTTTATAATAAAGTTGCTAAGCTTCATTTCACTGATAAACTGCTCACTGTCTTTGTTGAAGCCAGCAGCTTTGAGCTAGTGTAATGCTAACCAACAGGTCTTAAGACAGTGCTCTTCCTCATTTGCATATCGAGGCAGATATGCATGAGGTAAAGTGAAAAGAGGAGATGAGAAAATGTACAAAGAACAATGCGTGTTTTAGGAAAAGACTAAACACAATATACACATTTTTGATTAAAATGCATGTGAAAAAGGGAAAAACAAGTATATTTACATTTCTTCATTATTATGCATATGAACTGATTTATTTATTTATTTTTTTTAATTTTGTCAGTTTTTGCCCTCCGTAGACCAGTTAAACAAAAGGCTGGGAAATGAAAGAATTACTCAAAGAAACAGCCAAGTGGCCTATGGCAATTCTGGAGGCACTGCAAAGATCCACTGTTCAGGAGGGAGAGTGAGACAAATGGACAACAACAGAACAACACTCCCCAAATGAGACATGATGTTATTGAAATGTTAAAAGAAAGCCATAAGATGCTCTGTTTAATTTTGATAAAAGCCATATAGCACACACAGAAAATTGTGTGTGCCATAAAAAAAATTTTTAGAAAATTATTAGAAAATTATAAAACTAACCTGGATGCAAAGTAGATTGTGTTACAAACAAATGATCTACTGTCCAAGTAAATGAGATCTAATCTCATCTTGTACTGGGGAACATGGTTTCATAGTCAACTTTTACTTAACCTTTACATTTCTTAAAAAGAAATGTGATCCTTTTTTGAAGATCAAAAATACAAAACCTTAAGACATGCTTTTTTTGTAAATTAGTATATATTTAGAACATATATTTAGATAAAACATCTAATCTAGTACAAAAACATGAATAAAACATGCCATTTCCATGTAAATGGTAAGTTACTGGGGTCTGTTCCACAGTGTCAGTAGGTCAATAACACTGCTGTGGATGACAGAGAGCTAGAGAAAATCCCCTTCATCCAAGTTAAAGTTTGGACCAGAAAAACGTAAAGGGCTGAAAGACATCACTTCCAATTTTATTCTGTTTTATATGTCAGCTAGCTGCTTTTAAACAAAGTGGATATTTATCAAATCTAAACCTGGAACTAGAATAAAAAGAGAGTTTTGGGTTTTTTTTTTTCACAACAGTAGTTTTAGTTTTCCGACTGTTATAACGCCACCAATATCATTAGTGTCTCACCCGTATTGCTAACTCTTCATTCAGTAACTATTTCACCCAATTGCATAAAGGTTGTTGTCATCGGGGAAAGTAACACCCAGGAAGGGTGGGCAGTGGTTCATCATAGTGGTTAGTTAGCTGATGAGTCCTCACAGAATGACGGAAATGACACACCACACACTTTCATTTGAGTAATGTCTTCCCAGTTTTCTGAATGTACAAAGTGGAGCTAAACTCTCTGTGAAAACATCACCCTGCCTTCAAGTAAAATTTAGAAAAATTCCACCAAAGTGGAGGGAGTTTGGTCAGGAAGAGCACTAAAAGCATTGCTGTCAACTTATCACTTTGTCACCGTATTTAGCAACTTTTCAGAAACTTCTAACATCGTAAATAAATTTAAAAAAATACTAGCAACAAAACTTCAAACTTGTTTATGTATTTTTGGAGACGTTGACAACACATGAAAGCAACAATCACGCTCCAGAAACTATCCTACGCAAGAAGCGAGTGCCACTCCCATTTCCTGAGCAACGCAGTCAGTCTCATACACTCATCTTCCATCAGAGCAGAGGTGATCCATTCCACTCCTTGTCCATATTGTAAATGAATCACGATTGCACATAGCTGAGAATTATTGTAGATTAATGCCCACTGCGCTCACACTTCCAACTCCTGACTCGCCATGGGGACGTAGGTCTGAGTGAGATGGTTTGATACCCAAATGCAGAGCTGTGAAGTAGACAGCAACCGAGCTGTACCATTGTACACAATAGGCTGGTTTAACCAGAGCAGCCATCCTTTAACCCATGTATGTTGCAAAGAAAATCAGTGTAAGACTATTTTTGTCACCATTCAAAGGAATTGCTGCATTACACAACAAAGAATTTAGCCTTTTTAGTCTCACCAAGCAACCAAGGCACAGTTCCTGAAAAATGAGGGAACAGAATCTCTTTATACACCCGCCACCCACTTTATTTGGAACATTGTTTCAATCAATTTATCCAAATAATGACTCTGCAATTTCAATGCATCGTTTTTTCCAGATGTGGTCAACAACATTTTCTGGAGTTCAAGCAGATCATTAGAAAGGGAATTGAAGTGACTCTTAATTTTGGATGAAATAAGTTTTTCTGTATTTCAGAAACAACTAATTTACTAGGATTTTCTCATACAAGCAATTACGGAAGACTGCCCAAATATGAGAAAATATCCAGTGAATGATAGAGGGGTAGAAGAAAAAAGAACCACGAAATTTAACTACATGACTAACAATTCCACAGAAAATAGAGAATAAACACGTAGAACATCATCAGCAGATTAAAGATTTAACTGATTAAAATTTCATCAATGTTTATTCCATGTTTCCATGTATACTTATTTGTAAGTATAAATACCATTCTTCAATTTTAAGGAAAGTTTAGAAAGAAATATATATTCCAAACAGGAGAAGGCCTCTGAAGTTCATGTTTGAGAGCCAGAAAACAGACAGAAATAAATTAATAACACCCGGTTTTGATATGTCACCTCTGGGTGTCAGGACCTGTGGTTCCCATTCCTCATTTCAGTGGATTGGAAAGCCTCTTCACAACCTTTGTATAAGTCAGCTTCAAAATTGTATTTCCGAGGTGGTACAAACTGTTGTCATATTGCACAGGGGTCTGATGTCCTTCAGTTCTCCTCAATGGAACTTAGAAACAAACTGAATTTGGAAAGTCAATCTTGCCTCTGTACCAAATGCATGGGAGTAAAGAAAGGGCTTTCAAGAAATGATTATTTATATCTCAGAAGAAGGAGACATAAAGGAAAAAGTTAACAAATAGAAACTTTTAGCAAAGGTCAGCCTGTCAGCTTGTGATTCTGTTTCCATGTGCCTCTCCTCACTCTACTAACCCAGAAATGACAATTCACATACATTGTGCCATGAATCAGACCACAGAGGAGTGTTTATTCCCTTCAGGCTTATATAGCTGTCTGGAAAAAATAGGTTATATTTTTTGCTGCTCTTGTTTATATCTGAAAGGGAAATAGTCAAAACATATAGATAAGACCATCTTTCTGTCAGGAGTTGCAGAGATCTACCACAAGGATTAAGAGTCATCAATAAGCACTTTCAGTTCAGAAGCTATTACAATATTATAAGGAATATTTTTGCTGAAATAGTTTACATGTGAATAAACAGTTAATATTTCCAGCTTCATAGTCATAAATATTTGGTTAGGATCTAGCAGCTGCAGGATCATCAATTAAGGATGGGTCAGAATCTGATAAGTTAATTAGTCAAGGTCTCATGTCTTCACTAAATATGAGTTGGAGAGTGAACTTTCTTTTGCACTGTGTAAATGGTTATTTATATCTCAGAACAATTTATACAATCAAATTAAACAAACTAACTAAGGCCACCTCACAGAGTTTGACTTCTAAACTTGTCGAAATGTATTTGCACCAGTTGCAGAAATCATGTTGAAAACAGAAATAAACATTTGCTTGGGCTTCCTTATAAATATTTTGTCTCCTGGGAAGTGCACAATCCACATTTAGCAAAATGAACATTTTAAAATGTCACTTGGTTAGTTAAAGGTCAGTGGTTGAAGCTTAACAGAACCAAAGCAGATGTGTTTCCTTGTTTCACTGGAGAATGTCAGATCCTCACTTTGCTTTAAATGTCATGGTAAAATAATTTCTTTGAACAAACAAATAAAATCACTTCTAAGTAAGTCACAATAGTTGACCCTCACTTCTCCAAAAACTGCAGCCACTTGACTTGTTAAAGCATTTAAAATCTACTCAGAAAGTGTTTTGTACTTTGACT